GGGGCAAGGACAGTGGCAGTGAGCATCCCGTTCCGTTGCCCATCGCCACAAATCGCATTGCCCGCTTGAGTTTGCAGAAAAGAGGTCGTAAACTTTACATAGGAGCTTGCGTCGTGAATTTCTTTTTCTTTCCAATTCTGGAACTTCCTCCCTTTGGTAACACACAGCATAGGGACCATACTTCGAGTAAAGAATGCCAGAACCGCAGCTGAATTATCCGGGGAACAGGAACGGGGAACGGGGAACGCACCCTCGCCTTGCCAGGCTCACCCGTGGATATTCAGTCAAGTCGGATCCGAAAAGCAGCGGGAACCAACCTTGTCCGCTCTCGCCCGCTCTCGTCCGTTTTCGTCCGGACGAAGAGCAGAAGACGAACCCTTTTCGTCTGTAAGGGGAAGGTGATGGGGCGAAAACTAAAGTGCAACTCGTATCGGGATGGTAGGTTTCAGACCGCCTGGGCACTTTACGTCCAATTTAGGGGCTTGAATGCTGAGAAATAGGGAGATCAATTGATTCAGGTGAAGCGGCTTAGGCGGAGACGCAAGGCCCCTCTATTTCCTGCGCTTCATTTAGTTTGTCCTTTCTTTCTTTCTTTCTTTTTTTGTTCATTCCTTCTTCCTTCGTTTTATCTTCCTTGCCGAGCCGAGCGTCCCGCGTGAGCCGAGTTTTCCATCTTGAGATCTTCTTTCGCGGGAAGAACGCGTGCTAATGCAGCAGCATGTGTGTCATGGGGTTCGACGGCGAGGAGGGGTAGCTAATATCCATCGCAATCACTTTTTCTTGTTCATTGATGAGCCATTGGTGCCGCTCCTTCCATGTTGAGGAACGGACTGGACTGAGCCTCTGCGAGGGCGGGGAGGGGGATCGGCCGCTGGCTAAAGGCGAGGCCGAGAGGAAAGAGATTCGTAAGCGCTAACTGACACTGCCTGCAGCGCGAGGCATGAGCAAACAGTCGCTTCACCCATGGGAGGCCAAGAAGAAGCAAAGAATTACAGATAAGGGCGAAGAAGGGGGAATGCTTGGAGCGTGAAGTGCGCAGTCATGTGGGGGACGTGTTCACTGCAGTGCTCGCGATAGGTTTGTGTATGGCAGGCTAGGAAAGCTGTACACGACACCACCCCAAGCCTCGCTAGGAAACAATGATGTGATCCCAACGTCGTAAGATGTGCGACGAATACGCGGTGGCTTGGAACGGGGCAGTCAACCTGATAGACTAGCATGCTTGGAGAGCGCGCTGGAGAAAGGCCTGGGCGAAACTACGCGTCACACACATCCATCCATGCGATGTGTCCGACAAAATCCTATATAGCACTGCTAAGCTTGAGCACGTTTTTTCAGCAGAATCGCTTCGCGTCCGGGCCCCATATTAACGGTAATCCTGGCGGTACATGTATTGTTGCGGAGGAAGAGCAGTAGCCGGCACTGTGAAGTGAGCGTCTATCCGTCAATCGGATCCACTTTGCCGTTGCTTGCAAATAGCCCTGAGGCCGGTTCGGCCACGTTTCTTGTGGGGAAACCCGCCAGGAACAGGCGGTGATGGGGTCGCGCAGCTCTGCCCTTGTGACCGCCGATTGATTATTCTAAAACTTAGAAGAATTGGGCCCCAGGCGGACTTGGGGCGGGACCTGACGAGCTGGGCCCCGCCCAAGCCGTCTGCTAATGGAGCACAATGTCCTCAAGTCTAATTTCTTTCGCCACTGTGGGCGATGAGGAGGAGATTGATAGTCTTCCTCGTCCTTCTTTAGCCCGTTCTTCTCCTATTCAAAATCCAGTGCGGATTTATAAGCCGAGGGCAAAGAACGCGAATGGAATGAGCTGGAAGATGATTATCGGCTGAGTCGGTCGGCCGGCCGTCGCTGGATACGGGGTTCCCCGAAACCATCGGGGGCGGATGCCGATGTGACGTCAGCCGACCTGGATCAAACCCACCGTGAGGCGTTGTGGCTGACTATACCCTTGTCAACGAAGACCGGCTCATGCTTTCGCCTTTCGCAGCAGACCAGTTGACAATTCTGCAGGGTGTACCTCGGTATACCTATCTAGAAGAATCAAGGAATCGACTGGAATATCGTTCCTGGGCAGGTTCCTGGGCAGCTGGGCAATCTCGTGCCACCTACGCAGTCCGTTCACTTCTACTCCCGAAGAAAGTCGAGCTTTGCAAATAGCAAACATCTCCTCGGAAAACAAACAAAGTACGTACACACGTGCTATGTGAGATTTGGCGGCGGAGGGTCGGGTTGGGTTGGAGAAGGGGATGGAAAAAGGGAGAAAAGGAAGGGGGTGGCTCAATTTGGAATCGAGATGGTAGAATGTAGTGGAGCTGCAATCTACAAAATGTCATCCGTCAATTGCTTTTCACCTATCATTGCTCTGTACGTTCGTTGGCTTGGCTCGTGGGCTTGAAGAAGTTTGAGGTTGCCTCCGCTTTAATTTACTGCTCATTAATCTGAAAGGCGATCGCCCTTGCACTTTGATTCGAACGCAGTGGCGACTTTAGAGGGGCATTGTTCTGGCCTGTAAATCTCGGGGAATCGTCCATGGATAGTAGTGTATATCGAATCACCTGTGCTGGGGATCGATCATGGAAAACGGCAACATCGTTGATTAATCAGAATCGGGCTTTGACATCTGACCGTACATGTACTTGTAATGTTTCCATTCACGATCTGTAGAGAATGGATATTGAAGGTGGCTAGTCCCGGCTTTGCTCGTGCGCTGGAATGACCAAGTATGAATAAAGTTATCAATGGTGGCTCCGATGTGGTCAAGTGATAACCTCATGTTTAGCGAGCGTGATTGGCGGCCGCACAAATCGCTTTCTCGCCAGAGCCCAGAGATGGTCCACTTGTCCACCCATCCACTTGCCCACTAATCCATTCAGAGGTGGGAAAATTGTGTGAATTATTGTTGACGTCGTGTTTTGCCAACATCTTGGCAAAGAGGTCGGGTCGAGCGAAATTTGCGGGGGGAACCAAGCCGGAGAAAGAGGAACATTGGCACCAACCAAGACGTAGTAGGTCTCGGCGGTACTATTTTTCTTCCTTTTTTTCTCTTTGCTTTCTTTCATGTTCGAGGAGAGTGCACTTGGACTATGCATTGATTGATACCTCACCTTTGATTGACGGACGGTGGTTAATCCATCGCGAACTACGGTTGGGAAAAGTGCTACTGTGTGGGAGCCTTCTGGCTACGTAAACAGAGTAAAGGATTGTGGGATATGCATGTGCTGCCCACCTATATCTTCTTCAGTCCCGAATTCCTTTGGCGTTCCACGGAAGAGGACTGGGTGGCAGGACACAATGCATCTAGTCACCATGGACTCAACATACACTGGGGGATGGATGTGTTAACAATGAATGCAAGAAAATCTTGATCGCCCATGCCGGATCGCAAGTGGTGCTGGCGCACGCGTTGAGAGGTGAAGAGCGAGGTGAGACTAGTGCTCGTAGTGGGGTGCCACGCTCGAACGACAGGATGCCAAACCAGTCATTCGCACTCTCCCCTGGCACTAATAGCTAGAAACGTCCATGGCGAAGTCTCCACAATGTTCGAAAGGCCGGCGCTCAAGCCACTCACCGCCTGGCTAGCGGGCCGAGTGGTTTGTGCGGTCTTCCGAATCGGGGGTTGAGTTCTTTGTGCGGCCTGCAGATGCGCTCTTTGTGCGGATTCGCCATCATGGCTCCGTAATGGCACGGATATGCCAGGAAATCGGTGTGTCATCAGGGCATCGTCTCTTTTCTGTTATAAGAGCAAGCTGGGGGCGTCGAGTGATGACTTCGGGAAAGAGGAAATAACTTGTTGAGAAAGAACGACCGAGAGGCTGCTTTACCTATTAGTTCCTTCCTTTTGACATTGCTGTCTTTTTTGTTTTTCTTCTATTCGAACTAATATTCGAGGGAGATCCATTGCAACTCTGTGTGCCTTGGCCATCAATTGATCTCGCATTTTATCGGAATCGGCGTATAAGCAAGTCCTTGCTCCTCGATATATATTAACCTGACATCGCGTGCCGCCACCAATTCTATTACATCCACTACACCCACGGATACTTGTCTCCGAGATCGTCCCAGGTTCAGCATCGCCCAAAGATTCCTTGGGCCGCAAACCGGAATTTCACTTCTCAATCACACCTGCACCTGCCCTTATACAGCAAACCCACTAAGACATTTGATACTCCCCAGCCTACCATACACGGGAAATACAGGCGTGTCATACCGTCGTTCCGGGCCAAGAGCTTGCCTGGTCACAACCGAATCCCCACTGGACTGGACTGGCCTTCTCTCCCCACACCCACTACCTTCAGGCTGATATCGACTGCTCCTTTGACAAGTTCAGACTCCGCAGCCCGCCTGCCCTGGTCCCCGGGTTTGTCCCATCTGCTAGTGGGAGACTTGTTCCGTTGGGCATTCGAGCTCCGAACTGGGGAGATAGAAGAAAAAAAAACAAGAACACCGAGTGTTTGCCTTGGCATCTCCGTTGTATCTTTGACGGTTCACACGCCGCAAGGAATGGTAGTACGGTAGAAGAGTAAACAACCACTCGTACTCGGGGTTCATACTTGGAAGATTAGCGAGAGAAAGGCCCTAAGCTCGGCCATCTTGGCCTTGGTCTTGGAAAAAGGAAATTCAAGGAGCGATTGTTTGTCTTTGCGCCGCCGTCTTACTACTACATACAGCGTTGAGACTCCTCCTGTGCCATCCATCCCCCGGATTTCCGGCACGTACGAGTCTCGCATTATCAGCCGGGACTAGCATCACCCGCCAAGCAATACCCGAACAGGGAATCAATCAACGACCTTTCATCTAAATCACCCGTACAGCACCTCGATATTAACGACTACCCGAAAAACTAAGGAAAATCAATCTCGAGCTCGCGACAGGGCAAGCCGCAAAGGCACCAGTGTTTGGCCGGCTTGGCCCCGCCGACGGCTCCCGTCCGTTACCACCCCACACCACCTAAATCAAACTACCCCTCCCTTTCGCCTCGCCAGCACGCCCAGCATGGTGCCGGCTTCCAGCAGCGTTCCGCGCGAGGGCGCTCACGTCACAACCTCATATCTACTCGCCAACCTCCACTGCCCTTCCTGTGTATCCTCCATCAAAGATGTCTTGCACGACGCATGTGACCCCGACATCTCCTGGATTTCTCCCAACATCGTAACGTCGGTAGTCACCGTCCAACACAGGCCAACTTCTAGGGCGAGTGTGACCAAAATGACACGCGCGCTCGAAGACATCGGCTTCGAGGTCGAGGCCGTGACGACCACCGCCCCCGTCGCCGTCGCCGCCGCCGCCGCTCAACCTGGATCCCTCAACTCCGCCGTCGGTCATGGCGCCAATGTCGGCGAGACTAGCCACCGCCTGCCCGAGCAGGATGGTAGGGGAACGAGAGACGGCTGGCTGTGGAACCGCAGCCCCAAGCAGCCTCCCAGCCACGTCCAGGCCGCCAAAGACCGTGCCCACCTCAAGAATTGTGAGCAGTGCCGCCGCGAAGGCGTAGCTTGCGGCCGCGGGGACAACGTCGCACTTAAAAGAGACCGATATTGGCAACTCGCGGCCATCTACGGTATCCTCGGCCAGGCCATCCGTTTCGGAGCTGGAAACCACCACAGCCGCTGGTGATGTGCCAACGTGGAGAGCCACGTTCGCCGTCGGAGGCATGACGTGCGCCGTCTGCGTCAACACCATCACCGACGAGCTCAAAAGGTGCCCTGGATCTCTCGGGTCGCGGTCAACTTGGTTTCCAACAGCGCCACGGTAGACTTTGTGGAAGAGGGAAGAGCCGCCGACATTGCGGAGAGTATAGAGGATCTGGGCTACGACGCGACCCTTGACCAAGTCATCAGCCTCGACAAGAAGCAAGAAACGACCCACGAAAGGACGGTCGATATCATGGTGGACGGTCTCTTTTGCTCGCAATGCCCCGAACGCCTATCGGCGTCGCTGGATGGGTTCCAAAGGAAAGTCAAGATCACCAGCCCCGCAACGTTGCAGTCCCCCATCGTGACCCTTAGCTACGTCCCCGACGCGCCCAACTTCACCATTCGCCACATCATATCCGCCATCGAAGCCGCGGACCCATCGTTCAAGGCTTCCATTTACCATCCCCCGACCTTGGAGGAGCGATCCAAGGTAATCCGGAGACGGCACCAGATGCAGCTCATCCGCAGGCTCGTAGTCACCTTTATCGTGGCGATCCCCACTTTTGTCATCGGCATAGTGTACATGAGCCTCATCCCCCACGACGACCCGGTCGCCCACTTTTCATGAAGCCCTGGGTCTCGGGGCTTTCGCGCATGCAGGTATCTCTCTGTATATTAGCCACCGTTACCTACTTTTCGGGGCCGACATCTTCCACGTCCGATCCTTCAAGGAGGTACGAGCCATGTGGAAACCGGGCAGCAGGACACCCATCATCAAACGGTTCACCACGTTTGGAAGCATGAACATGCTCATTAGCCTGGGCACGACGGTGGCGTACTTTTCGTCCGTGATCCAGATGGTTTACGCCGCGGTGACCAAACCGGACCATTTCGAGGGCAAGGATGTGTATTTTGACACCGTCGTCTTCCTCACCCTCTTCATCCTCGGCGGCCGCCTCATCGAGTCGTACAGCAAGTCCAAGACGGGCGATGCGGTGGACTTGCTGCGGAAACTCAAGCCCAACACGGCAGTGCTGGTGGAAAAGAACAAGGAGATGGAGCACGACACGACCGTCGACGTCGACAAACTCGAGATTGGCGACTTTGTCCGCGTGCCCAACGGCGCCTCGCCTGCGGGTGATGGGGTTGTCGTCAAGGGCGAATCCAAGTTTGACGAATCGAGCCTCACGGGCGAGGCGCGGCTAGTCCCGAAAGCCCTCGGCGACCAAGTCTTCGCGGGCACGGTGAATAAGCAGAGCCCGATCCTGATGCGCATTACCGGAGTGGGTGGCACTTCAATGCTTGACCAGATCGTCAACACTGTGCAGGAAGGACAAACGAAGCGCGCGCCGATGGAGCAAATTGCCGACACCATGACGTCGTACTTTGTGCCCGTTATCACCCTTTTGCCATCATCACATGGGTCACGTGGATCGCGGTGGGTTACGCTGGCGCGGTGCCGGACGACGTGTCCGAGGACGAGAGCTGGGTGGCCTTTGCTCTGCAGTTCGCCATCGCCGTTTTTGTCGTGGCTTGCCCGTGCGGCCTAGCCCTAGCTGCGCCCACAGCCATTTTCGTGGGCGGAGGCCTCGCGGCGCAGAACGGCATTCTTGTCAAGGGCGGAGGCGAGGCGTTTGAAAAGGCGAGCAAGATTGACTGCGTCGTCTTCGACAAGACGGGCACGCTGACGCGTGGGGGCGAGCCCAAGATCACCGACGCCGTCATCTACCCGGACGAGCCCAAGGTGGACGACGACGAAGCGCTCCAGCTCCTCGCAGCGCTCAAGGCGGTGGAGGACAACAGCAGCCACCCGATCGCCAAGGCCATTGCGGGCTACTGCGCGTCGCGGAGCACGGAGAAGATTGTGGTGGATAACCTCGACGAAGTTCCGGGCAAAGGCATGAAGGCGACGTACCACACCAACGGCGGTAGCAGCGGCGGAGATGCGGAAAACCCATGGAGCATGCTCGTCGGCAACGAGGGCCTGATGCGGGACTTTGACGTCGTCATCTCGGACAAGGTGGCGGCCCTGTTGCGCAAGTGGAGCAACGAGGCCAAGTCAATCGCGCTGGTGGCCACCAAAGCGCCAAGAGGCAGTTCGGACTCGGCCTCGGACTCGGATTCGGACCCGGCCTGGAGGCTCGGGGCAGCTCTCTCCATCTCGGACAATATTCGACCAGAGGCGATACCCATCATCCGCATGCTCAAGGCGAGCGGAAAGCAGGTGTGGATGATTTCGGGCGATAACGCGCTCACAGCGACGGCGGTGGCGCGACTGGTGGGCATCGACGAAGCCAACGTGATCGCTGGCGTCCTCCCATCGGAGAAGGCGGAAAAGGTGGAGTTCCTTCAGCGCACGGTCCGGGGTAGCTCGAAGAATTCCCGGGCTGGAGGCGACGAGGAGTCGGGAGGGTCGAAGCGCGCGATGGTGGCGATGGTGGGAGACGGCATCAATGACTCCCCGGCGCTGACGATTGCGGACGTGGGCATTGCGATTGGCAGCGGCAGCGACATTGCCATCTCGTCGGCGGACTTTGTGCTGGTCAAGTCGGACCTGCGGGCGGTGGTGGTGCTCCTGGACCTCAGCCGGGCCGTGTTCCGGCGCATCATGCTCAACTTTGCGTGGGCGTGCGTGTTCAACATGTGCGCGGTGCCGGTGGCGGCGGGCGTGCTCTTTCCCATCCGCACGGGGAGCGGAGAGCGCGTGCGGCTGGATCCGGTGTGGGCCGCGCTGGCGATGGCGTTGAGCAGCATCAGCGTGGTGATGAGCAGTCTTGCGCTGCGGTGGAGGATCCCGGGGGTGGGGTTCCGGGCGAGGAAGATTAAGCTGCCCGCGGAAGAGGCGTGAGGGGAGAACACTGGCAAATTAGGTGGCCTGAGGAGAGGAATGAGGACCAATGTGTAGAATGAGATGGGTTGGGACATTGGAGCAGAGGCTACGAATGGAAGGCAACATAGGCAAAAGGCTTTTTAAAGACTTCAAGATACCCAAAGCAAAGCAAATTGATTTATTTCAATGTCATTAGTTTTACGAGAATATGGAAGAGCTAGGTGAGAAAGGGATCAGGATCCACGTCGTGAAGCAAGCTTGCCTCTTGTGCGCTGCTGCGATGGTGGCATCAAGTCATGAGTTTACCATGAACAGTAGAAGTTGCTCCCTCATGTTTCCTTTTTCTTCTTTTTGTTTGTTAAATATGAAATAAATGCCCATGAAGCTGCTAGTGAAACGGGGAACGATGTGATTGATGGATGCGGCGTTGATGGCACTGATTTTCATAGATCATGAATGCCAGTGTTGAGCACTGCTAACAATGCATTGACGTGCTTCATGATGTTCAATGTTGCCATTGAAAAGGCGCAAAGGCAAATGCCGAAGACGCAGAGCGTGTTAATAAGCAACCGACGTCAAATGCCGCTCCGCCCGTGGCGCTGGCGTGTCCAACGAGCCTCGGCAACCCACCCAAAATCGCTGTCCCCACCCAAACTCCCCGCCGCAGCCTCACAGCTTGACAGGCTCTGGCTGGGCTTCTGGGCCAGGCCACGGCCCCACGGGGAAAAAGGACAGGGAACCAACCGAGACTTTCGGCTCAGAGCTGTGCCGTGGGTCGGGGAATAGAATAGATTGTGTGGTAGAATATGGGGGAGGAAACCCGCGCAGGGTCGTTGTGTCTGACTATTTGGAGCACAGTCCCGTGGGGAATTTGTTTGAACACTTTGAACCTTTTTCTCTTTTTCTATATTTTATTCAACTTGGAATTTTGTACTTCCCCCGACAGCACATAGGGTCGAGATTCTTTGCTTGGAGATCATTGCAAGACGAGTCCGAGACTGCCAGTCGTAGAGGTAGCCTTGCCGTTGTTCCCGAAAACCCCCTACCCGACCCTATTGAAATCTCCCCCAAGAGGACCTGCGCGCGCAAACCAAAGCAAAGCAGCTCTCTCCCTCTTTGCCCACCACCCCTTGTTAGTGAGCCGCACACAAGATCGGCCAAGAGAGCAAAATGTCGTCCCCTTTCCTCATCAAGGAGCACAAGGTGCCCGGCCAGCACATCCGCGAATACTCGCACGCGCTGGCCAACTCCCAGGACGACGTGCTGTACCTGTGCGTCAAGGAGTACGTCCCCAAGGACAACCTGAACCCGCAGCCCGGCGACGTGACGATTCTCGGCGCCCACGCCAACGGGTTCCCCAAGGTGAGTTGGTGAGCCGGACGGAGGGGCACGTTTGGCAGGTTTTTGGGTGTACTGTAACTTTGACTGAAACCCTTTTTTGGGGTCTTTTAGGAATTGTATGAGCCTCTGTGGGAGGACCTGCACCGCGAGTCCAAGAACTTTGGGTTTCGGATACGGAGCATCATCATTTGCGATGCTGCGTGGCAGGGCCAGTCCGGCCTTCTCAACGCCGACAAGTTGGGCAATGATCGTGAGTTTACGCCGTTTCAAGTCCCTTTTCACCATATCAGGGCCATTCTCACTGCTCCTTCATCTCATCTCCCCTAACCTACTATGCTTCTCCAATCTTCGCTTCACATGTCTCTCACCTCTGTGTTCACTTCATCTCATCCTTTCCCTCTCTCTCCATCTCCAACCAACCTCAAATGAAGAAAGCAAGGCTAACCTCACGAACCAACCCCCAGCCGGCTGGCTCGACTACACCCGCGACATCAACCAAGTCATCAACCACCTCCGGCCCCCATGCCCATCGTCGGCATCTCCCACTCCTTTGGCGGCGCCGCCCTCACCAACCTCGCCCACATGAACCCCCGCCTCCTCACCTCCCTCATCCTCCTCGACCCCGTCATCTCCCCTACGCCTCCACCCCGGGCCCCATCAACGAGAGCCCCGCCGCCAACTCCTTTCGCCGCCGCGACGTCTGGCCCTCCCGCGAAGACGCCGCCAAATCCTTCGCCAAGAGCCCCTTTTACCAGACCTGGGACCCCCGCGTCCTCGACGCCTGGGTCACCCACGGCCTCACCCCCTCCACCCCAACTCCTCCTCCTCCGCCTCCGCCGAAGTCCAGCTCACCACCACCAAGCACCAGGAAGTCTTCACCTTCCTCCGCCCCACCTGGAACGCCTTCGACGCCACCGGCCAAAAAATGGTCGACCGCTCCAAGGTCCCCGAGCTCGACGTCGAGAAGCACTATCCCGTGTACCCCTTTTACCGCCCCGAGCCCGCCATCACCCTCACCCGCGTCCCCAACGTCCGCCCCTCCGTCTTCTACATCCTCGGCGGCAAAAGCAACCTCTCGCACGCCCCAACCATCGGCAGCCGCCTGCGCTCCACTGGCGCCGGCATCGGCGGGAGCGGCGGTATCCAGCTCGGCCGCGTCAAGCAGGTCGTCATGCCCGAGCAGGGCCATCTCGTCCCCATGGAGAAGCCGGCCGAGTGCGCTCGCCTCGGTGCCGAGTGGATTGCCCAGGAAATTGGTCGGTGGAAGGATGGCGAGGCCAAGGAGTTTGAAGAGTGGAGGGCCAAGAACAAGTCGGAGAAGACGATCCTTCCCGCTGAGTGGGGAACCCGTCTTGGAGTGGTGCCGAGGAAGCCCAAGGCCAAGATCTAAAAGACCTTCAAGAAAGGAGAGTTTGTGTGAGGTTCCCTGGTTACTTTCTGTTTTCTTTTAGGAGAATGCGCTTCCAACAAAATCGACGTGGACGCCTACCTTGTAAAGCATTCCCAGAGTATAGAGGCTGTAAAATAAAAACACAGTACAATGAATAGAAGAGAATAACAAAACCGCCGAGCAATGGATAAAAAAGTATATATTTGTATATGTGCACATGAACGATGAATTAGACCTGCCTAACGCTTACTCTCTCCTTCCGAGGTACACCGCCCCAGAGCCCGCCAACTATTCGGTAGTATCGGTACTCTCCCCTCACCATCTTCGTCGCCGTCCCCGGGTATCCACACCAGCAGGCCATCCTTATCCGCCTTCATCCCCTCCGTCGGCAGGATCCGCAAAACCTTTTGGAAGTACTTGTCCCGGACCATCAGCGCCGGCCTCAAAAATCTCCTCGCACCAGTGGCAGCACGCGGTACGAGACCGTGCGCCGCGCCACAGGCAACACGTGCACCGTCGTCTTCTTGGCCCCGGAAAAGGCAAACTCATCGCTCGGCTCCATCGTCAGCCCAAACGTGAGGAAGTGGCCCGACGGGTTCTCGATTGTGATGTCGAGGTCCACCAGCTCGTCTGGCCCGAGCGCCTCGTCGGGTATCAGGAGCGGTTTCGATAGGGACGCGAGCACGCGCGGTTCTGTGCTGAGCATCGTGTACGCCGGCACGGGCATCGTTGTTGTGTTGATGGTCAAGCCATTGCTGTCGTTGGCCCGCCGCCACTTGATGACGAGGGCTGCCTCGACACGCGCCGAGTTGCGGTCGTCTAGGCTGAGCTTCTGCGCCATGATGTCGAACTCGGCGTCGTGCATCACGCGCGGCTGCACCTCGAGCCCCTCGGCCGGTAGCGTCGGTCCGCCCTTGACCGAGCAACGCGTTCCCGGGGTGCTAGATAAAATTTGGGCCTCGAGACCCACCACACGCAGCTCTTCCGTGGCAAATGAGGCGTAGCGGCACCGGAGGCACCACCTCTGAGCTAGTCCAAGCGCCAGCTTCGCAGTGCCGTCTTCGTCGGAGAGATCCTGTATGGTTTCCGGATCGAAAAGGCTAGGCCACGGGTCCAAGTGTACCCGAGGCAGCAATTCGTAGTTGGCCTCGAAAGGGCTCACTACGTTGATCGTAAACGTCTCCTTTTGAAGGATCCGGGTTCCCGGATCAGATGCCAAGTGGTATGACACCCTGATGCCAAACTCCAAAGATGCTGGTTGTAGCACCTCGTCCAGCGCGACCTCCACCGAGACCTTGCTGGAGCTCGCAATCGTCCCTAGAGCAAGCCCGGCAAGCTTAGAGGCCTCCGCGTGCGGAGGAAATCACTTCGGGGAGATCTCGGACTTTGATCCTAGCCCCGGGAACCAACTCTCCAAATGCGTGAACGTCCAACTTTGTAACTGCATCTTCATCCTCCTCGTTCCCGACCTCGAACATGAGGGAAATCCTCTCGTTCGCATAATATTGCTCCAAGGCACCCACGAGCTTAATCTCCATCTTGGGCGGTCGCGGCTGGACCTGGATCTTTTGGCCATCAGGTCGACCAATCATCCTGTGGAACCCAGAGGCTTCAACCCACACATTTCCATTACTCGTCTCGGGTAGCGTGACGCTGTAGTCAATCCTAAATGCCTCCTTATTGACACTGATTAGGACCGAGGTGGCGCGGGCCTCGCCCGGCTCTCGCAACGGAATCGCGAGGTCATAGGCCCTACTCTGCCCGGCACCGAGCGTAAGATTAGCAGAGCCGCATAGCAGCGTTCGCTCCTCTCCGTCGTCTTCGTCGTCATCGTCATCGTCGCCCTCGGCGGCCTCTGCATCGGACTCGGTTTCTTGCTCCTTCAGTGGAACTTTGGTCACGGCCACATTACGCTTAACAACAATGGGCCCGGAGGCGTTTGGGTCGTGTGTCAATAATATGGTTTTCAGGCCCCCTTCAAATTCCACTTTTAGGGAAGAGATTGGCACAGCCACAGATTCCGCAACCGCATCTGAAGCGATAACGAGTTGCGCCGCGGAGACCTCGCCTGCTCTACCTTCACTAGCCCTGAAAACGAAAGAAGCGGTGACAAACGAGGAGACGGTGTCGTCGGCAAGTCTGGCAATGGGCCTGGAGGCCAGGGTGAGGCCTGCAAGAGACTGGGACAGGTCGTAAGCCCAACCTTTTCGCCTTGTAAATCCTACCAAGTTCATTCTGTTAGCTTAGATCTCAGATGGCAGCATTTCAGGGCGCCTCCGCGCGATATTTGCACCTACTTCTATGCAATAGCTCCCAGTCAATGGCGAGAACGAGCTCTCCTAGACCTTTCTCAGCAGCCGCCGCTCGCAGTGTCCAGTTCACATCTTCTACTATGTCGTTCCAGCCCTCCTTCCGAAAAGGCATGTCTTCCCAAACTGGTCTCAAGAGCGCTATCACATCCTCCCATTGCTTTAGCTTCGCGGACTCCCTCGCGCATTCTAAGGAGACTTCGGCAACTAGGCGGTACTGCCCGTGGGCCTCGAATTGCCCCCTTGCCGCCATCAGGCAGTCAATGATTAATTGAGAATAGTCCACCCCCACCTTGCCCACCGGCAACTCCTCCCAAGGCTCTGGGCACAGATACGTGTCGTAGAGGTACCCTGCCTTTTGCGGAGCGGCAGACGATGGAGCTGTCGGTTCTTCACGGTCTTCCTCTGGCATCTTGTGCGCCAAAGCTCTCCGAGCGGCCGTGTGCCACGCAGCTTGCCGATACCAGTATCCCGTGTGATGAAGCAGCTCCCAGGGTACAATCGCTCCCGGGGCAGACCTTTCTCAGGCTGAAGGAAGAGCATCCCGGTAGATGAGCCGAGAGCGGGAATACCCACTCTTTCGACAAGGTTCGCCATCACCAAAGACCACCTCGTCTCCCAAGCTTTCCAGCCATAATTATTAGTGCCTTGCCCTCGCTGGTCGATGAAATCCCCGATGCGGTCGCGATGGGCCTGCCACCTCGAGACTGCCATTGACGTTTGTTCGTTCCACAAGAAACAGCGGAGTACACGGATCGCTATGATGTCGCAGAGGAGGCGAGCTTCATTCCACCGCGGACTCCAGCTCGGTATCAAGTCCCATACGTCGTCGCCTAGCAACCCGTCGTATGCCTGCTCGTAGGCTCGCATAGCAGCCTCAGCTTCCTGACGAAACTCTGCAAACACGCCAGATTTGAAATCGTACCTCACTTGCCAACCAGATAAGGAAAGGGTTTGGGAGGTTCCGGAAGTGGGGGATGGTGGGTTGAGGCGTGATGCCTCGGCCCTTCTTCTTCCTTGAATGACGGCCTAGATCTCGGTAGTATTCTATCGACTGCGGGTAAAGAGCCGTGAGGATCGTATCGGCAGCTTGCGTAAGCTCTTCGGGTGACTCTCTAGGCGCAATGTAAAAGATGGACCGTCCCGTATCGAGCCCAGTTCCCTTGCGAATGTTTTCCAGGCGTTCCTGGATACTCTGGGTGAGGGATTGCGGTAGGGGCGCCGTTTCGCTCATGAGCGCAACGGCTAGTTTAGTCTTGTAGCCCGATTTCGCAATTTCAGCCTTGATGGCATTGATATCGGTCTTGAGCTGGTTGTCGAGGAGCGTTGCTCGGCCTTGGTCCGAGGTGAGCGTATAAAAGCACAGATAGACACTGGGAACGCGTTCTTGGTGCTTCTGAAGCCAATCAGTGTTGATGAGGCCATCCGGATACAGGGTAGAAGAGGGGCTGAGCGGCGAGAGGGGAGTGCAGGATGAGGCCGGTCTCGGGCACTTCGACGTCCTTTGGGAGGGTAGCTTTTCGAGGTGGAAGGGTATAAGACTTGCGCGGGAAAGGGTTAGCTCAGATCACCGGCTCTCAACATTGGGATTTCTCCATTACCCTGCCGACAGACTCGACTCGAAATCTGTACGGACGCTTCTTGTCCCCGAATGACCATGGTGGCTGGGTAGCGTCAATGCTTGCCAGATAGCTGTGGAGGACCTCTGCATTCTCGCCTGTAACGGCCGGGATCTCGGATGTTAACGTGGTTCCCTGAGAGCCCTCGTCTTGATTTTCGGAAGAACGGCCGGTTGGCAAGTCCACGAGCCCAGATGCGATCAGAAACGGCACGCTGGGATCGAGACTTCCAGGAGGATAGCCGTCCATTGTTGTACGGGACCTGCGTCGGCGAGGTCTATATCGAGGCAAACACCGCCGAGAAGAGAATTAGAGGGGCTTGATGTCGATATAGGTTTCTTTTTCACTAAAGAACACCACGAGGAGTCAGCGTCACCTGCATGCGAAGAGGCGCGCACGAAACATTGACAGATCACCTAGAAGATAGGCCAACGCACTCATTGAAGTAGCATTCCAAAATCGGACAAGTGGACACAAATTTACTAGCCTCGAGCCTTTAGGAGCTATAATTTCTCGTCATATTCTCACGACCTGAAAGAGGCCATCGGCTTGTAGAAATGGGGGCGTGTCGCGTAGCGGGACTGGGACCCTCCTTCAGGCTTTGAGCTTCCAGCACCCCGCCATCAAAGATCAAAGGGTTGGACGAATCTGTACAGTGCATATGTAGCTTGAACCTGGTTCTACGCACAGTAACAGGTGAGCTTGGGTGCGATTCCTTTTCGGAGAATCATTTTGCCTGATCTCCGTCATCAACCCCATTCCCCACACAGTGCTATTAACGAGGGCGTTCAGACACGGACCAAGTCTCATAACCAAACTTTCGTCAGCCTCGCAAGCCCACTCCCCGTGCCCCCAAGCAGGATCCGCCGCCTTTCGTCCATTGACCCAGACCACTCCGACGCGCGAAGCAAGATTTACCACCACCACCGAACTTCACGCCTCCTTACTTCTTGGACTACGTCTATAATCCAAGCAGGAACCATATCCCAGTTTTTCACTGGATGATTCCTTTTGGTTGCGCTTAGCTACTGCCGGGCACCACCCACCACCTCCTCTTCCTCCGACGCAGAGTCGAGATTTTGCTTGTCGGAAGCCTCCTCACGATGGCATCGCAACAGGTCCTCTTCGCCGAGACGATAGCTTCTCTCAAAAGAAATTTGAAACGAAAAACTTATGGTACGGTGTTTTCTGCGAGAATCTACTCTGGGGCGGCCCTCTGTCCCTCGAGCGCACACAGCTAACCGCAAACAACCCCTACAGAATCCGACTCGGACGACTTTATCGATCACAACGGAAACCGTGGCCAGAAACTCAAGAAACGGGCGCGATTCACTCGACAAGGCCAACTTGCACCACCAACAGGCCCCGAAGTATATCGCGAGGTACGCACCTCTCCGCCAAAAGGATTGGCTTCCTTTTGTCTCGAAGCCGCCCTGGCTGGGTCGCGAGCATCCGCTAATTCCACACACACAGGAGGTCGACTATGCTGGCACGAGGCGGAATATTATTAGCCGAAACCCGCCATTTGTAGACGATGACGGCTTCGAGGTCTACAGTGAAGACGAGATGGACGAGCGCTTTCAGGACGCGCTCGCCAATGCAATCGACACAAATCCCTACGCAAACGTGCACATCGAACGTTTGTCACACCCTGCTCCCACCCTCCTCTTTAAACGCATCACCCAGCTAACGCAACCATGCCTTGTTTAGATATTCTCGCCCCCTTGACGTCCGTTACCGATCTCGCGAACCACCCTGCGCTCGCGGCTGCCTACAACTCGAGGAGCCTGACGCAGCTTGCAAACCAAGCCAGCGAATTGGCGCGCAAAGAGCAGCACGCGCTTTCGGAGGTCAAGAAACTCATAACGGGGTTTTACGGGGATTACACGTGGATCCCCTGCGGTCTCCTTGTGGGCCCTAACGATATCGACCTCTACAGGGACGACAGCGCGTTTCAAGATGTGATCCGGCAACGCTCTGCGAGGATGCGCAAGCCGCCTCCTCGGCACTTGCCATTCTCAACGGCGACAAAAGGTTACGGTTAATGGCACGCCTAACCCTACGGGGGCCACCTTGACAAAGGAGTCGGGGGTGAGGACCACTGTTGTAGAGGATGTGGCCATGACCGACAGGGAGGGTGCGCACGAGGGGCCAAATAATACCGATAGGTCACTAAATGACGAGGGCAAAGAGGGCCAAGATGGTCGACAAAATCTCACGTCGGACAAGTCTGGCGCCGGGGACTCGGCTGAGACGAGTTCGAAGGCCAAGCCAGCATCAAAACCATCAGAGGCCCTCCCAGATGCGGAAGGGGCTGCGAATGCCGACACGGTTCCGAACAAGTCAAAGACAAAGGCTGCAAACCCTGCGGTGAGAAATGGAGACTCTAGCAGTCTACAACCAACCAGCGAACCATCGCAGACTCAAACGAGCACTAATCCCGACTCGGACGAATTCCCCGTCCACCCGTTCTTCACTCCGCCGTCCTATCCTCGGGCGGATCGGGACATGGGTCTCCCGGAAAACGAAGCCGACAACGTCCGCCAGCTTCTCTCCCACTACGTCCAAAAGCAAGAGGAAGTGTGTAGGGGAGCGCTCAAGCTATATTTCAATCTGTTAAAGGCAGATAGACTCCGCCACCAGGTGCTGAAATGGTCCAAGGCCGAAGGCCACGTCGGTGAGCTTTCGGATGGCGAGGACTGGTATGATATGGACGAGTGGAAGTTGACGGAAGACCTGAAAAGGGCCAGGACGAAGAGGAGGAAGATACTTTACCAGTGGGGAAGAAGACGCGAAACAGGCGAAACTAATGGGCTGGATCGGTTATTTCGGTGTCGGTGGCTGCCCATTATTTGGGTCGGTCATGCTTCCCTTCCTGAGTTGCCTGCCGGCCGGAGGGGCTGGCGGGGGCGTAATCTTCCATATCTTTCACGGCTGGGTTGGCTCGGTTCTTTCTTCATAATGATTCCCACGGAAATGCATATAAGCTCTAGTATAAATTAACTTGGATTCCATCTTTCTTTCAATCAACTTTTCAGAGTACATTGTAACATGAGCAGTGTGGCACTTTGCGCCCTGCACCACTTGGCGATCGCGCTCACAAGGGCTTTCCGCAGTAGACAAGTGGCGTACAGCCGCATGCAGCCGGCCACGCTCCGGATAGTTCTCTGATATCCCACGACTCCTCCATCTCATGATCAAATTGAATTTCGGGTGTCGGCAGATATGGACGAGAGCTAAAGATCTGTGGATGAAAGCACCAGGCACCGACGGGCTCTGATTGGACGGCGATGTGGAAATGCCCTGGCCCGTCTTGGAAGGAATCTCCGCGCCGGCCGAGTCTGTTTGCTTCAGCGCGTAGAAAAGCGGATCCGCCGACGTTGGGGAATTCCCAAATCAGCGCTTCCCGAGCTCTCATTCGTCCCTTCCTTTCCACGCCATCACCCTTCACCTCCTTGTCCTTCACGGCGCCCCCTTGTATAATAAGGTGGACGTGTGGCGGCGTTCTTGGGTGGCACGCGAAATTAAGAGGATGGGTCTATATTCCAGAGGTTCCTTTTTCCCCCGTTGGAGGGGTCCAAGCGGTGGACAAAAATATCGGGACTGCAAAAATGTCAAGCTCACTATTACTGGGGGTACAGGGGGCAATACAGAGGTGATTGGGTGGCGAGGTGCTTGCTCTGGTGGACAAAATCATTTTGCAGTCCCGTTTATTTTGTCTACCGCTTGGGGTCGTCTCCCCACCAAAGAACGGGAGTCAGGCGATTCACAACGATCACGGGAAGGGGATTGGGTCTCGCAAGTTTCCCGGCGTACAAGGAACCCTTTCCCCGATCGATGGTGCCGCGGATCCAAGCGTGGAGGAGGGGTGGCGAGGGGGCCTCTGATTTGTTAAGGTGAGATAGCTCAATCACATTAGAAGGGGTTTCGTAGACCCTTCGGTTTCTACGCATGGATGACAGTCGCGCGAAAGGCATCTTGGTGTTTAGGTATTCACCCATGGTGCCGTTGTTTTGGAACTTGAACGTTATAGAAAAACCACGCATCTCGCCCTCGTTACAGCTCTTCGTGATAATGCGCCGAATCTACCGTCTGTCTTGGCCTACCGAAGGGGCCAACAATCCATCGCACCTTGTGACTCTTCAGGTCGGTAGGACGGAGGCGTGGAAGAGATACCAAGTTACGGCATCCGGGCCACACGCGCCGTGCGCGACACAGCAAAAGGGCCACCGGTGAGTGACCTAGTAGCAAGTGGTTGTATATCGTTCTTTTATTTCTTTTATTTCTTCTTCTCCTCCTCCCTCCTCGTTATCCCGCGAAGCCCTATTCGAGAGTCTAGACAACTCGCCAACCCACCCAATCGAAAATGTTTGTGGAACGATGGATCCTACTCCTCTTCTTGCCCCTCGTCTCGGCGGCAGGACTATTCGACTTCCTCCTTGGCTGGAATAGTGCCAAGGCCACCGATCCCGCGGTCTTGGACTTGCCGTACGGGTCGTTTAAGTCCGAGTATCGAGAGACATCGGACATGTAAGTGTCGACGTGCTTGATCCCCAGTTAGCTAACATGTCCCGGGACCAAACGCTGATTTTTTGTTTCTTGTTCTTTTGTTGAATTACAGACACGTCTTCCGCAACATTCCTTATGCGGCGCCCCGGTCGGTGACCTGAGATGGAAGAAGCCGGCTCCGCCCGTAAAACAGACATCAAGTCAGAAGGCCGGCGCAAAGCCTACTTGCCCACAGGCTGTCATCAATGGCATTAACCTGATGGGTTCCGGAAACCAAAATTCCGTAGGAACCGCAATCAATCAAATGTATGGATACCACCCTTGGCAAAGAGGGAAAAAGAAATCTCGAACTTGGGGGAGAGTGGTTGGGCTATGGCTTGAAATATGTTCTAACAGTGAAATCTAGCTTGGGGGCTTTCTCAACCCTAACTTTGGCGATGAAAGCGAGGACTGCTTATACATGGACATTTTCGTCCCTTCGAAAGCGCTCAAGAACCCAAAAACGCCCTCCCCGTAGTTGTCTGGATCTTCGGCGGCGGATACGTCCTGGGCAGCAAGGACATCTACCAGCCCACCCTCCCCTTTACGACGGCACAGGCCTGATCCGCCAGTCGGGCAACAACATGATTTTCATCACCTTCAACTACCGCCTCGGCGCCTTTGGTTTCCTCGCCGGCTCGTCCATGGAGAAAGGCGGCCTCCCGAACGCCGGCCTGTGGGACCAGAGAGCCGTCTTCGAGTGGGTGCGCTCGTACGCGCACCTCCTCGGCGGGGACCCGAACAAAGTCACAGCCATGGGCGAGTCGGCGGGCGCCTCGTCCATCATGCACCATCTCGTCGCCGAGGGCGGCACCAAGGATCCCCTGTTCAACCGCGCCATCCTCCTCAGCCCCGCCTTCCAGCCCATGTGGGATCGGGCCGGCGGCCTCGAGGATACGTTTAAGTTGTTTGAGCGGCTGGCGGGGTGTCAGGGCAAGGGGCTCGACTGCCTCCGCAAAGCCGACGCGACGAGGCTCATGACCGCCAACAAGGAGCTGATGCTGAGCCAAGTCCCCGGCACCTTTGCTGTGGGCCCCGCACCGGACGGGTCCTTTATACGACAACTCCCCGTCCTCGAGCTCGCCAGCGGCCACTTTTGGAAAGTCGAGTCCCTCCTCACGTCGCACTGCGCCAACGAGGCCATCCTCTTCGTGGACGGCTCCATCGCCACCAACGCCGACTTTGACCGCTTCCTCTCCGCCGTCTTCGCCAACTACACGGTCGACATCGGCCTCAACAAGCTCGCCTCGGGCTTCTACCCGGCCGTGGGCGGCGCGGGCTCCAGTACAAGGCCCAGGCCGACCGCACGTCCGACTTCATCCGCGACAGCAGCATGACGTGCAACATCCGCTACCTCAACGAAGCCTACGGCGACGCCAAGGTCTGGAACATGCAGTACTCGGTCGCCCCCGGGTGGCACGCCTCCGACCTCGCCGCCGTCTTCTACGACCGCACGTTTTCCTCCCCGGCCTGGGATAACGTGCTCCGCGACCTTGTCGTCGTGCCTCTCGGCTTCCTCTTCTCCGGCGTGAGCACCGCCCTGCAGAGTTATCTCGCCTCCTACGCCGTCAAGGGCGATCCTAATGCCGACCGCGTCGTCCTCAACGTGCCCCCACGGTCAAGTGGAATCACCCCGCACCGGCGCCGGCACCAAGATCGGCAGCGTCGTTGACGTGGGTAATTTCCTCCTCCGGGAGATTGACGACGACCAGGTGCCTAGGCCGGCCTGCGATTTCTGGAGAGAGTTCTACGCCGCGGCTACAGCAGAAGGGGGTTACGTCCCACCTGGGGCGAAGTAGCCCAGGAACTGGTTCAAGTAGCCACAGATCCTAGCCAAAGATTTAACTTGTGAATAATCCATTATCGGTCCATAAACAATTTATTTTTGGCGCTACCTGTAGTGTCCAGTTCCTTCAGAGCAGTCTGCCGATAATCTTCTTTCCTTCGACCCACGAACAAAGAGAAAGGATCTGTGTCATCAAATTATCTCCCAAATGAATAACGATCCATTTAAATGAGAGGCAGTAATTGATAGGTTTATAGGATTTGATATAAACAACCTATACTACCTCTTTCATGGTTGCAAAATCCACACGCATACATAGGAAAACTACGTTAAGACGGCCGTGAACCAGACAAGAAAATAGAAAGGAAGCACAGTGACTATAATGAGAGTAAAGGGTGAATATCGTTTTGAATAGGTCGCATACCTTAAAATCGGAAGAGACACCACTTAGAGTAATCTTGGAGTCTTGTCAGTACAGGCCTAATGAAAATTGATGAAGGGCGAGTTGTGAGCTTACCAAAACCCCGGGAAGCCCGGCTAACTCTCTGGACCTTTTCGGGTTCGTGGGGTGTAAAAAAAGAAAAGAAAAACAAAGAAAGAAAATGAAGAACGAAAAGAGGGGGCAGAGGAAACATCATTGATGCATCCATAGATCATTGATGGACCTCCGAGTAAATACATCTATCCATGGATCATGGATGGATGTATCCTGAGGAGACACTGGAGCGACAGAAACAATGGTCGCTCGCTCTCACAAAGATGACGTATGTTAGCACTCAAATCCACAGCTGTAGACAGCACTGAGGTGCGGAAAAACCACCAATTTCTGGCCTCAGAGCTATCAAAAATTGGTTTTTATTTCCGTGCCCCACTGTATGTCCTAGCCGACGGATATGAAGAGCACTAAGGACTGTCGGGGTCGACCGGCAGTCAGGGGCCAGCTCCCGGTTTCGGGTTTAACCGGAAGTTCTGGCCAAAACGTTTTTAGAGTCTGCATACTACTTTTTCGCGAGGAAAAGTACTACTTTCGCGAGGAGGGAGTACTACTTTCGTGAGAAAAAGGAGTTCAGACTTGTGTAGTGTCGCCCGTACATCAACGTATACACTTTTCCTCCCTAGAGTCGATAGTCTCTATCGCTCAAGGGAAGAGGAACCGGACCTGGAGTCTCATGAACGGGGTACCATGGGTATGGGACCTGCGCCGTGAGGTCATGGAATTGGTTCGCAGTCGGAGCCGGTGTCTCCGGAAAAGGACCGCTCCATGTCGCCTCCGCACCTTCAAGTACATGTAGACTATTGGTGTGTGGAGGATAACTTTGTAGAGGTTGGATGTTTTCTGATCCGGTGATGGTGGAATTATTGCTAACATGGGAGCTCATGCTCATGCTCAGGGCCGAGTCTACGAGAGGACCTTTTACCAGTGCATTAGCGATCAAAGCCTTCCAATAGATCTAAGCGTGGGACGGGGCGGGAAGGGGGGTGTTAGATACTTAAATGAGGGCCATCCAACATATAGGGCGGAGCAGTGAGCGCCGCGAGGGCACCGGTCGCGTCACGATGAAGCTGTTTCAAAATAGACTCTTGAGCGCGAGGACCGAAGCTGAACTTGACGTGCCACCTTTTGAACAAGTCCGGGACGACTTGTACGCTCAACTTGGCAATGAGGAAGCCAGCAGGGCTAGCTGGTTGTTCAACTACAAGCAAAGGCTCGGCGTAGCGCGCCCCGGACCCGGGCCTATACGGCATGATCGGAAGGCCAAGCGATAGAGCAAACTCCTCGTCAATGCAAGAGCCATCGAGCACGGCTCCACAGCCCTTGTCCTTGAGATTCCCCGGACAGTACTCTTGGCGCGCTGGCCCTTCGAGCACCGCTTTCACGCTGACCGGTCCCGAGCGCGATGGGAACATTTGTGGTTCAAGGAAAGCTTTGGCAGCGAGGAGGCGGTGGGTCAGAGTGGCAGGCGGAACGGCCATCCCAAAAGATTGGGCCAACCCGGCTTGGGGTACGGCCTGGGGTACGGGGGCGTAGGCGTACTCAACCCCCACCGAGCGTGTCGATTTGCTGAGTTGCCACGTAGAGTGCGTCGATTCCCTCACTTGATCCAACCGCGGAAGGTTCGAAACCCGGCTCCTGTGGGAGGAGATCGTGAATCAACATTTGGACTGGCGTTGCCGTGGAGGTTGAGGTAGGACCCCCATCAAGGCGCGGAGGGGAGTCTGGCGGGAACCTCTGCGCGGGGCTTGGGGCGGGCGCTGGATGTGGATGTTCTGGAGCACTGCGGATGTGTGGTTCCGCGTGTCCTACGGCGGCCCGAGGAGACAAACGCCGGCGTGTTCGAGGAGGGGGCACCCGAGCGGCTGTCGGGGCCCTCCTCCTAGGTGGACGTTGCTCACCGCCTGCGCGATCCTCACTCTCTCGTGCCGCTTGAAAGCCGGCGAACTCGCGAAACGTAGTTGGACGCCTTTGACGTGGCCTGGGAAGCATGTAGAGGGTTGAAATCTCTATCGAGGCGGGTGGTCAGATAGTACGTGGCTATGGATGAGCCACGGTTTCGTGTTAGTTAGAAGAATGAGTAAAGCAGAGAGCCCTCTGAAAGAGAGCCTCATTGAGATGGGTTGATATAGGTTGGTTGTGGTTAGATATATACATGTACATCCATGGGTCTACAGATGGGTCATTCCATTACATATAGAATGTAATGGATTAAACCAATGAGGTAGAGTATGTGTTTATATGTGCACTTGACAAAACCCAGTTGTGGAATAGACCAGTCTATTTGAAAGATTCAATGTTCATATAAAAAACACAATGGAATATCCATTGTATATGTATTACCTGAAAGCCATCTCGCGTTTGGAACTTCGGGGTTCTTTTCAATAGACTGGCACGACTATTTGTACGCTTCGTCAAGCGGGAGCGCGAACAGCCTCTCCCCATGGGATGGGCCAATGTAATGAAGCGACGGAGTGATATCCATTGAATCCTCCTTCATAGAAAGATATTATCCATAGCTATTTCACCCATGAAATTTGTAAAAAAGCTCGAGGGGAGGGCTAGAGGACCGAAATGTCCTTCCTTTTCAAAGTGGCCCAGCTGCGACTTTTGGGTCCCGAGTATATGTACATAGATATATATGGACGAAAACTTGAAATGGAATTACAAGGGGCCAATCCTCGGCTTCCTCTCGAATGTAAGTTGAAAACATGGATTCTTTGGAAAAATGGATGCATTGCGTTGAGCTGTACGCTGCAGCCCAAGCTCGCCTCAGTCGGCCTAGCATGGGTCAGATGAGGAGGGAAAGGCGCAAATGTGCCATGGCGAGTCTCTTTTATTCGCGGCATGCAAGTGACGAGCGTGCAGATATCAAGTCCATTCACCTCTTGCGTCCATTGCATATTACATGTAAGTCGGCATTTGAACTGATTGATGGAGAGTGCATATGGTGTGGGATACCAGGCTCGAGCCTGGTCCACTCCCAGTTATCAGCTACGAGTACAGCCAGTGCCGGGAACACGACGCAGCGTACAATGTGCAAGCGGGCCTCCTCTTAGTCTATCCAGTACTCAATGTTTGAACGACAATGGATCCCGATAGAGAGACCCAAAGGATCCATTGGAATAGATCCATTGTCCAAGATCAATTAGAACATGAACTCCCTCCACCCTCTCCACTTCTTACGGCGGTCACACGAGACCGTACCGCCCGCCCTGCCTTATCCATCCGCTGCCGCTTAACAGCCTCATCTTTGAAGGTCAAAATACACGCAAGGAAGTTTGCCTCATAATTACATTTGTAATTTACAAAAGGAGCTAATCGGTGAGTTGTCTTGGGCGCCAAAGCCGGCACCTCGTGTCTATCAACTTTTGAAGCATTCGCCCATATATTCTTCGATTCACCGTCCAAAATTTTGGCGTCGGGTAACTCTTATTCACGTTTCGTTTCTTAGACTCCCAACATCGCTTACGCTAACCTATCCCCATGGCTGTGCTGGCTTGAGAATATCCATTCTATGTTGAGATTGTGTAGACCAATGCTCACACTTCTCCATGACTCGCCATCGAAAATATGTCGCACCCAATGCCTCCCAAGAGGAGCGAGAACCGCCTAGGCGCTTTCACCCGCAATGGCCACCTCCGGATAGCCGGTACCTCAAAATACTACCCCAGGAAGAAGAAGAAGACACTCACAGACCAAACTTGAGCGAATATAACCGTCGCCTCATCCCCGAAGTCGAGTCTGATGAGTCCGAAAAGTCTTACCATGAAGATGCCCAGGAGCCACTCTATACCACTAGAAATAACCAGGCCAGTTCATCACGGAGAACGCGAGGAGCAACGAATAAGCGTGCCGAGAGCGATCGCTTTGTTAGTGATCGGGACTACTCTCAGCCCATTCCGCTCCGGGGACACTACGATCGCAGCAACCCAAAACAGCCTGATGGCCTAGAACGAGATTGGCCAAGTCGAAGAGAAGTCGAGAATTATAGCAATGACAGCGATCATGGCTCCAGTGTAAGCTCAATGGAAACGGGACCCTGGCGTGGGGGCTACGCAGCGGCGCAGGGGCAAACGCGACAGCCCACTGATTTCGCTTTCGACCACGACATACCCTCTCGGTCTTGGCTGAATACACCGTCGTACCAAGATTTTCGAGACGACGAGGCGCACGAATTCTGGAAATGGGATCCAGCAAGGGAGGCGTGGGTGCACGTGGACAAAGATACAGGAAAGACAATAGTATGTCCGAGGGAGCTCGACTGACATTCAAGATCGGCGTTTCTTCATCACTGGTAACGGGGTCCTAACAGTTTTATCGACTATACAATCCATGGATCCATGGATCCATTGGATCTCTCAATTCGCGCAAATCCTATTGATGTGTACATGTAGCTACATCTCCCACTATCCCGTATCCCTATATCAAGGCAGTTATCTTCTTATCTAGATAATGAACCTTAGATAGGGGACTTACCTTGTGGCTTTTTTCTTTTTCCTCTTCACTATAGAAAAATCCAGGCCTCGTCGACGGCTTGAACTATAGTTTTCTATTATATTTACATCTACAATTTTGCAAGTTACAGCTATGGCATCGCGATCAAGAAGGTAAGGGCCATATTTTGATGTAGTTGCTCCATCTAGGACTGCACGTCTGAGGCTCGAGCCTTCGGTACTCCATGTGCGGGCCCAAATTCGTCCTGTCGTCCGCATTTGACTTAGTATCCATCAATCGAAGGGAGCCCAGATCTATCGTGATGGATATACCCCAGATAGGTTACATATCAACACATTTAGTACATGTGGCATAAGGCTATGTTGTTTTAAGAAGGGATCCATAGATTATCAGATAAATCAGAACTACCACCTATTCGTTATCACCTCTCTCTCTCTCTCTCTCTCTCTCTCTTTGGCGTCACGGCTCAGCTTGTTTCTCGCAAAGTCTAGGTCTTTAAAGTTAGAGTGTCAAATTGTTACATCATTGGCGTTACGAGAGTCTACACTACATGTAAACAAAATAGTATTGTTTTTAAAATTAAAAAGAGCATATATCCATGGATAGATCCATTGGGTATAATACATTACAGCTACCCTGGTTTCGAGTGGAGGGTTGATGAGAGTCCTCTAGGTCGTTTGTCTCCCTATTTTCTAATGTCCGACCACTTTAAGGGTCGCAGTCTTAAATACCGAGAGTACAGCTTTGTATACATGGATGTACTGAAGGTGACGATTTGATCAATGGTGTTTGCGTAGGCCAAGGTATTCACGTAAGGTTTTAACTGTTTCAGCTAGGAAAAGCTGAAAGGGCGCAGCAGGGGAATAAGGGGAGGGCGAGAGCTAGAGTGGATTGAGGGAGGGAGCCAAGTCAGTCCATCTGTGTGGGCTGATGGAAGGATTCAAGTTGATAGGAAATCAAGCTGGCTCACAAGTAAAGAATGGGGGAGCCCAGATTGGCCGATATGTCCATGTTAGATGGATTGATCCATCTCCATTCAATCGTATCTTTGATACAAGCCAGAAAGGATTGCTTGCAATTCCCGATCAAGGAAGCGCGGGTAGTCTTGCAAGTTTCTAAGAAACATCTTGCTGCCAATTGCTATATCTTTGCCTCTGAGGGCGGGCGTGTCCGTGCAGGCTACGATATTGCAACTGCGACAGGGCAGACCGAGTTCCTCAGAAGCGAGGGAAACGTTAAGTGCGAGCTGGTAGAAGCGTGGTTCCAGGCCCTCCCTCGACAGATCATTTTCATTGTCGGGAGTTAGCGGAAAAAGCTGAACTCCAGCCGCATCAAGAGATAGTAATCGATAGAAGTCGTCGTGGTTTGCAAGGAAAACCCCGCGGTGACGTAGGTGTCGACGCCGACGATAAACGGCCAGGAGCGCTGCTGGAGAAAGCTGATCAGGTAGGAAGAATGATGGTTACTCCAGCGGACCCCCATACGGGGGCCCAATATACGCGTGATGTCGTTCACAAGGGCGGCGGTCGTCATCAGGTTGGCGCACGCTGAAGTTGTGTTGATTGATCGAAGCCTAATGGATTCCCGTCTGGCCAAGCGGAGCAAGGACCCCTCGTCTATATTTATAAGAGAGCCGTGCCGCTCATTTGGCCCGAGCCTGTTAGAACGGAACGTTTGGCGGACTGGGGAGAACTCTTGCCGAACTATCAAGCATGCCATTGATGTAGGTTAAAACGGGGGTGGGGGGTGGTAGATGGGTCGCGCACCATACGGGAGCCTTGCGTGCAACTTTGAAGCGACGCTTGTCAGCGATCGATCCCGTCCTTCCATTGGCATCCATAGATCAATCTGTACATCCATGGCTTGTAGTTATTGGGTCCATTTGATCTAGGACTTTGATGCCCGGCGTTTTCTTGCAGCTCCTTACGCACATGGCCCAGCCCAGGTGGGAGGTGGAGGCGGGCAACCAAACGTGATGGATATTGATCTCTATTTTGGATGTCACGTAGTGATGGTGATGCCCGGGCAAAATTCTATGAGGAGAAGCCCATGCATAACCGGGAGCCTGGTCTCATCCCTCCCCCAACACGATCCCCAGCTTTGATGGAGATTTCCCGTCACCCGATCAGTCACCTGCAGTCGAGTAAGCTTGACCTGAAAAGCTTACCGTTGACTCCTCTTTTCTTCCTTTCCGTTCATGCAAGCGGGTGAGGGCGGGGGAGGGGGAAAAAGGGGGAATCACTTCTCGCGTGGACAGTGTCCATCTATCGCAATGGAGTGAAGCGAGAAGACATTGATCCAATGGGTGAGGCTGGATGAATAAGCCCACAAAGACATGGGGAGAATAGCATTTGAGTCTCGGTATTAGCGCTCCATGCCCATTTCATCATGTCTAGCATTCCGGAGTGACGGACATCCCAGGGCTTCGATTTCGAATTTGACTCGATACCATGTGGTAGAAAATATCCACGGATCCGTGAATGATGTGGAGGCTTCCACCTCGTCCGTACATGTAGCCACCAATGGATCCATGCCATTGTCCCCAGAGTTTTGGAGAGTTCGAAAAGTGTTCTGCCGTTTCCTGGGCGCTACTAGATTAGACTAGCGATCAAAAACAGCCCGGCATGTCAAATCCCGCACGGCACACGCGGGGTTGATTGATCGGGAGCATCCTTGGCGTGATACCGAATCTTTCTTTAATTGCGCGACAGCGGCTGAGCACGACCACCAGCTTCAATGGCTCCACGTTGCTTCACCACGTCACAGTCGAACTTCTCCCCATGCCATGCACCAAGCCTGAAAAAGTTGGTAATCGCAACTAGGCTACAGTTTGGTGATGGCGAAGTCGACTTGAACTCACCGACTTCCATTCTGGGCGGGGAGGTCCGGAACGTAGGGTCCAAGATGGGTGTGAGGTGCGTGGCGCCATGGAATGCACATGTTCCCGAGTAGAAACGTGGCATAATAATCTTGTATCTCATCTGCGGCCCTTGGGCGAAGTTTGCCATGAGGGAGTCAGTCCCACGACGTAGCCTCGTCCGTAAGAACCTCGCACGGACAAGGCTCGGGAGGTTGAGCCGTGGTCATGAACCGGCTTGGTGCCTTGAGCTAGGCACGTCATCATGCGGGGGCTATAGAATACATGATGGAGATAAGAGCTACACACGTACATATGGGCAAGGGGATAGCTTGCACAGATAACAGATAACTAAACCTTGGAGATGCCATTGCCTTATAAAACCCAGTATGGAGTCACTAGTACCGAGTCTCCTCCGTGTAGCACCTTGGAGTGAAAGATGGACTGGTAGGAGGGGGCCTAGGGTCTTGAAACCAGCATCTACTTTCAAATGAGCATAGGAAGCCATCCATCGGTAAATTGATTGATTTGCATTTGATGCATCAATGGATCTATGGATCCCGAATGAATTGAATGGGATCCAATGGATCAATGTATGCCAAACCCCAGAATTCCACCTTCTTCAGTGTTACGTAGGATGTTCTCGACTTCTACGGCCTCTACCGCGAGCGGTCCCGTGTAAGTCTCACAACGTCATATTACCCAAAAGAAAAAAAAAAACCGAAAAGAAAAGGAAAGCACAACAAAAGTTATACATTCTACTCCCTGCCTCGAATACCTGTCCCTGATCGTCCAAGTCTTCCTAACTAGACTTTGCTGGAGGTTGCTTTTGCGTTAACCGTCGTATCCAACAACGCACAGCATTGATGGCGAAGGAAAAGAAAAAGATGGCAGCCAGTCCCACGATGCCCAGCCAAAGGAGATGTAGCCTGAAATAATACTCGGTGTCGCCCATCGAGAACTGAACTAAAAACCATCCTGCCAGAAATATCCACAATAAGGCTATGAAGGCGTAGAAGTGAACCCGCACGTTCCGTTGAAATGGACTAGAACGATGCCTGCTCGCCGCCCGCGCTACCAAAGTTCTAGCGAGATTGAGTCCCAATATACGCACGACGAGTCCGAGTGTGATGATAAGGCCGAGATAGTCAAACAATATCATGCCTAACTCGCGAACACGTTTATCCATACTCAAGAGACCGGTGGCGAAGGTGAGCGGGAGGAAAATGGTGGCGAGTACCGTGAGACCCTCAAGTGATTCTGCCCGAACTTCTTCTGTTTGTCCCCTACACTTGGCTTTTACACGTAGCCACCCGTCCTCTAGCCTTTGAAGCTTTCTCTCATAGTGTTCCAAATCCTCTCTGAGCTCCATACTCACCCGTGCAAGCCACGGCGCAAAGGGTTGTGTGTGGGCGAGATTCCGAGATTCCCGATCTGCATCGCTCTCCCCAATCGCTGTACCATGGCTTGACTCCATTGCCAGCCATTCCAAGAGAGAGTTGACGCTTTCTTGCAATTGGCGAAGGTCTGATAGCATGTAATGAATGCTTCTAAGAACCTTCTCAGTCTCAGCAAGGACCAAGTGGGTATCGGGGGCGCCCCCAACCGATCCGAACCCTACCCCAGCGAAGAGCTCCCGCCAGAGACTTCCCCACGACTTACAAGCTGCACGAAACACATCCAATAGTAGCAGCTGGCATAGCCAGTCAGGTTTGCTATTGGCGAATTGTGTTGCTGAATCACTCGATAAGAGGAGATCCTCTAGCAACTCGCGACAAGTCGTCTCGGGATCCCGTGTGAGAATTCCGAAAGTCTCCCACGGCTCTCTCGAGGGGTCATCTGGTAAATCTCTGGCTGTCTTTATTACGGGAGTTCCCGGCGGCGAGAGCTTCCTACCCGGCAATGAGCAGAGAACTTCTCCCCATCCCATCTAACATCAGTAAGTGCAACTTAATTTGCGAGCTTAAAGATATGGAAAAGAGAAACGGGAAATTACACGAATCGATGAACTGCTATATGGGATGGGTAAAAGAGTTGCGGGTCGCTTGTAGTATATACAAGGGAGGAAGGGGAAAAACATAGAACTTACATATAAATCGATTGTTCTCGAGTGGGATAGTCTGGACGGTGACCCAGCTTTGTAGTAGAACGACCATGAGCCTGCTATACGAGACAACAGAAGATCTGTATCCCTTTATATAGTCATCCAGTAGAAGTGGATCGACTATCAGTCCCCACCCACCAAGATCATCGTATTGGTCGAAGACGTCAAAAGCGTTTGTCGGAAGCGGTGCGCTCTTGAGAGCTTCTATAGGCACCCTACCCAGCGGCAGATTGAAGCCGAACGGACTCCACATTATATGTCCCATCCTCCACTGGTCTCTCATCCTCGACAGATCATGAGCTGGGTTCCTTCGAGCTTTGAAGTGCTCCATCCGGAACTCGGACTCGGCAAGCCCTTTTGCTCTTTCGCCAGGTAAATTCACGGCATTCAGAGCGAGTTGGCGGTCTAGCTCCCCTCGCTCCGGAATTCCAATCACAACCCGGCACGAACCCGGCTCCTGGAAGAGAGGTAGGCGTAAGAGGTCATGGGCATCTTGGGATGTTGATTCTCCTTGATCTATTACCGTACCGTCAGCGGCGATATCAACCATCCGCATATGAGCCGTGAGCTCTTGTTCATCGGGTTGATTTCTTTGAGTGTAGGTATGCCACGTGTGGAGGCTCGGGAAGGCATCCGGCTCGGAATGAGAAAGTAGGTGTGGCGTTGAGTCCGTACTCTCTTCCACGGGGCCCGTGCTCGGTTCAGTAGAAGCCGCTGACTCTTCCCTAGACTCGGGGCTCGGCTCAGGCTCCGGTCTGGACACAGCGGATGCGGACTCCATTGCTGGTAGGTTATGGAAGACTTGTCCTGGATCCACTTGCCCCGGGCCTCCTCGGAGTTCTGTTCCAGTTTCTCCATCAATTTCCATGGTGTGGCTTGGATGTAGAATTTCAAAAGTATGTTAAGAGAACGTATTAGGTGGAAGAGAAAGGGAAACCAAGCGATGTGAGATCTCAAAAACTGTATGGCGTCGAGTCGGGGGTTGAACTTGTGTGGAGGTAGCCATGATGTCGAAGAAATTGGGACGCAGCACCGCAGGAGGAAAGGTATGAATTTATAATGAAGAGAGAGAAGCGATGCTTGTGAAGGGCAAGGCTCCCCCTCAAGCCCATTTGTTGGTTTGGCTGGCGGCTAAGCCGGTCGATCAGCGCCGCCACCACGGCGAGCGCTTCTCTACATGGATCCACCTGATGATTCGTTCAGCCGTGATCATTTCGGGGGCCACCAACGCCCCCCTCCGGTCACCCAATCGTTTCTAATGTGGATGCAAGATACCATGCATTGGGGAGGACCGGAACCTTGCTTCTTTCTCATCTTAGGGGTTTCTCCCTCTCTTTCCCTTCATACATGTACATATTTAACTTGAATATCAAGTGTCTTATCCAAGTACGGGCGTACCGAGGTATAGGGACCATCCTTCCGCAGCCTGCCCAGTCTTCGTGTGAACGAAGGGCCTTCTAACTGTCTCAAGGATTGGTTGAATGAACGCCCTTAAACCCCCAACCATATCGAGAAATGCTGACGAGTTCGCCAACTCCTTCCCCTAGATCTTCTTCGCTACGGAAGCCTTTATATTTTTGTTGAAACCCTAATTTGGACGATACCTCGGTATTAAACGAGAGTATCAATCGTCTCATAGATTGTTATGGGTGGGGGATCTGTAGAGCGCATGTGCGGTCTATTTCTCACATCTACATACATCCATGGATCTAATGATTTCCAGCCAACAAAGACTTAGTCCAACATTTCCTATCAACCTCTCTTACCTCTAAAAATCCCATCCTCTCATTCCCAAGTTAGCATAGAGGTGATGTGAGAGAGCCGCATGTGGCGAGTAGCATAGCCCTTTGGTTTGTGTGGAATTGGGCTTTTAAGAGTGATTATAATTAGTGACGAGTTCACGATGGTGATGCTCTCAAAAGACGGTCGTTGTGGACTTTTGCCACGCTCACACTCTGCATCGATAGGGATATGGGAGGGGTGTCTGCCGTTAATGAATTTGACTAATACCATCGGAGGCTCCATGTGTTCTCGCTTAAGCTGCATCAACTTCGGATCGCATCGGTCTCAGGGCTGTATCTCTGTCCCCATGAGCCGTGGAAGCCTTCCGAACCTCGAGACCTGTTACACAAATATGAGAGCTTATATTCAACCAGCGCTCCTGCCCAAAAGGCTTTGAACGGGACGGGCTGTAGAGTCTCAAAGATAGGCTTAGTCATCGCATGGACCCACAAGGACTAATCTTACTGCGATGTCTCCTGAAGCATTGAATGACCAGGGAAACGAATATGTGTATGTACAATATACCCGTATCTGTAGTATTAACGCTTGTATAATATAGGTACATCTACATTGTCCTCGAAACTGAGACACTACTACCTGTCCGCCTCGCTCGCACCAACCTCCGTCTGTTAACCAAGATCGAGACCTTGCGAAGCTTCACAACGGGGTTTCTCTCCAGCACCTTTGGTCAATGAGGCCCCGTCGGATCACATCCCTGCGGCCTCTGTCATCGAAGAATCTAAGAATACCTGTTGCACCAGCCGACAACGTTGCATGGGACTTCAACATTGAGCCACGAACCGCCCTCCATCTCGATTGGGAGCAAAGATGCTCGCCACTCGACCTCCAAACAGCATACCCGTTTCGCAGCTAGTCCTGAGCCATCCCCGCTGACACCCAATAAGAAATGGATCGCAATGGAAATAGTGCCCTGGCCGCAAAATCCAGGGCAGAGTTATTCGAAGATGAGAAAAGAAGGATCATAGAGTCGTGCTTCAGCAAAACAGACCCAGATGGATCCCGTTCGTCTTCTTCCTCTTCCGCCCGTTTGTTGCGTGGTGCTGCTAGTCGATGGCGTCCACGGGCCCTTGATTCTTCTCTGGGACTTCGCTGCTAACCTTTGATCCCCGTACGATTAGTGCAAGAGACCTACATCACCCATCTTCGCATCACCGAATACTCAACTCACCCCTCTAACCCGCCTCCCCTTACTCTCGAAACCCCGAAGTCGAGAAACCCCGAGTCATCATCGTCGCAGTCCGCAAGTCAGGACGCGTGCGCATGCACAAGTCCAAAGAAAATTCTAACGGCACCTTTTCTATTGGCAAAACGTGGAATCTCGACGACCTAACCCATATCCAATCCTATACGAACCCATCCGTCGATCCAAATCAGAGACAATGGGCCGGCGAAACAGGATTTCTCGTGACCATACAAAAACCTTACTTCTGGAACGCGCAAACGGATAAGGAGAAGAAGTTTTTATCGCCAGCTTGGTCAAGATTTATGGAAAGTACACAAACGGCAAGGTGCCCGAACTGACCGGTTTCGATCCGCGCGAGCTCGATCAGGTCCTCGGCCGACGGCCTCCTCCAGTTCGCCCACCCCCGGTGATTCTGCTAGCCAGCGTAGTGTGTCAGCTAGCTCCGGCATCAATGCTCCAAGGACCCCCATCCCCCTCCGCAGCCCTCCCCTGGGCCGCCTGGTCGCGTGTTCCCCCACTGGTACAAGCTCGCCGGCTGGGAGCTTCGACTCGTCGCGTTCTCAGAACCAGGCTGCGCTGAGGCGATTAGCTGGCAACGACAAAAGCCAAGATTCGCTTAGCAATGCGAATAATAGTAGCAGCAGCTCTTTTAATGCGCCGCCGTCGCGTGCTGATGAGCCTACCCCTCGGCCGCCCCGCTCACGCGGTGGAATGGCCGGTCCTGGTGCCTTTGGTCGTTTCGGTGACCCCTCTCCCGAACCCACGCCCAATCTTCCCACTGAAAGGCCACCACCGGACAGGCCCCGCCCGAGAAGGAGGCCGCCCATTGATCTCGCAAGACCGCAGCAGTTCGCTGACCGAGACCTCGTTCCTGCTCCGCTTATGAGCCCTGGCATGAAGAGGGAGCCAGTCGCCCCGCCCCCTCGTAGCGTCGATCGCATGTCCCCGAGAAACAACTCGCTAACACAGAGGTCCGAAACAAGCTCCATTAGGGAGAGATCCTTCTCCGGACAAAATGACGCGCCCCGAGAATCCCCACGTAGGGGCGACACAACTGGCAGCCTCCCTCCCAAGAGTCCATCTCAGTCCTCCTTTATGCGGGCAACACCTAACCCTGAGCCACCCTTGCCGCGCTCAGAATCCCCAGCGGCGTTAGATGCCGACGAATCGCGCCCTGGCCTGGGTCCTATGATCAAATCGAGAAGGGTGGAGCAAGAACGAACACCTTCGCCTCCACCTCCCGAGGATTCCGATGAAACCCGTCCTGGTCTTGGTTCCATGTTCAAGTCCAGGAGGCTAAATACGGATCCTGCCTCGCCCTCGGATGAGGATACGTCCCGCCCTGGTCTTGGCCCCATGATCAAAGGCAAGCGATCCAAAGGCGACATTGCCGGTTCGTTGTGGAAGGCGGCGGCGGTTGCGGGTGCCTTCAAACCCCGTCCTGGAGGCGCAGGTGAACGCCTTCGCCTCGCCCAGGCCAAGCAGGAAGAAGGCCCTGATGGAATTACCGGAGTTGTTCCTGCTCCACCTAGACCCGCCCCTCCTCCCGAGCCAGTTATTCCAGAGCCCGAACCTCCCAAGCCTCCGAAGCTCGAGGAGACCGTACCCAGCGTCCCCGAGGTCAAGATCACCGTCCCACCATCGAGCCGACCGACTAGCCTTCAGTCCTCGGTCAAGGATAATCGGCAGAGCATTGATGAAGTGGCAGCGCCAAAAGAGGAGCAGCAGCCGAAAGATGAACCGCGACGGACAATTCCTGCCGGAAACGATGGAAAGTACCTTGCTACCCTTGGTGTTGATGCGGCACAGATCTCCACCCTTCTTGCAGCCCCTAAGGGTGTACAGTTAAGAGAATGGATGGACGTTTCAGGCTTCGTACCCGGCGAGCAGATTCGCTCCTGTACCTGGGATAAGATGAAGGGTGATCTTGACCGCGAGCTGGACAAGGCTCAAGCCGGTGGCTGGCTCTCACGTTTCAAGGACGAGGACGAACGCATTGAAGCGATCAAGGATGGAATTGACTTGGTCATTGCTGAATGCGAGCAATTAGACGACCTTCTTACTCTATACAGCGCAGGCCTAGGGGTAAGTGGCTCAGCTATCCGTGTGCCAAGTGCAAATCAGTTCTAACGTGTAGCAAACAGACCATTACTTCCGACATTGATTTCCTGGAAGCTCAGGCCGAAGGTATTCAGGTTCAAGTTGCTAACCAAAAGGCGCTTCAAAATGAGCTCCGTATGCTTACCGATACCTGCGCTCTGGACCGCGACTGGAACGTGGAACCCCTGCGGCGCGCGCCCATTGAAAGGCTAGCGGCCTTGCCGACGTTGAGGATAGCCTCCTCCAACTCTATAAGACCATGCGGAAGATTGACCCGTCTCTCTGCGGCTACGATAACAAGAACAAGGCCGGAGGCGCGGCTTCCGAGCTTAAACCGTTTGTGGATGATCTTGAGCTGGCAACTGCCCTTGGCATCGACTTAGACCCTACCAATGGCCTAACTAGCAGCTACGAGAAGATGCGTGTAGTCCAAGATAAGAAGGAGATTTGTTTGCAAGAGAGCAACATCTTCATTAATCGTTATCTACGACAGATGGAGACTGAGTTCGACACCGCCTTTGGAAGCACGAAAAACATGCTCGATAGAGCTCTTTCTCGCAAGTCGGATAGGGAGATTTACCAGACTCACCGCCGGTACTTGTGGAAATACGTCGGCCTTACTCTCTATGCCCGTGATATTCACCTTGACGCTTGGGGTAACCTCATGCAGAAATACCAGGAGCAGGGCAACCCCTATTTAAGCCTGCTTTCGGTGCCATGATTGAATCCTGGAAGGGATATGCTAGAAAGGCCACGGGCGATGAAGCCGAGCTACTGTTTACTCACCAACCGGAAAAGCAGCATGAGGGTCTCGCAACGGCTGCCCGGAAGCTCACCGTCAAGCGCAGCCAAACCTTGGCAGGTCGCTTCAGGTCTGATGCAGTCAACAAGATCGTGGCGGACAAAGGCACCGATAACAAGAGCCAGTCATACGAAGTATTCCGAGGCGTGTTGGATGATTTAATCCCGCTTGTTGAGATGGAGCACAACTTCATCATTGACTTCTTCCACGCCACAACTTTGGAGCAAACTACCTTCGAGGACTACTTGGCGACACATCCACCGGGCCAAGACCGCAAGGCACCCGACAATGAGTGGCTCGGCTTCCGCCGTATGGAACCCGACCGCGAAATGGCGCGTAGGGTCACAAAGACAATGGAGGGCATGTTCTCTTTCCTCGAAAGCGATCTACAAAAGCTTGTGGAGTGGGTGGTGTTCAATAATCCACTGTAAGTACCTGGTTCTGATTCATTTTCTCTCTTTGAACCCATGGCCACGATTTGCTAACTTGGTATCTGCAGACACGCTCTCGGTGTTTTGGCATCTCTAGAGATAAAGATGGAGTCGCTGGGCGGCTCTAACCAAGAGTTCCTTAATGCCCTCCTTCAAAAGATTCGCTCTGCCCTTGAAACTCGCTTCAAGAAGTTTGTCGACGAGCAGATTCGCGCGATTGAGGAGAAGAAGGTCAAGATGGCCAAGAAGCGCCGAGGTGTCATTCAGTTCTTCAGGGTTTTCCCTCACTTCGCCGTCGCCATCGAGAATATTATGAGCGCATTCCACCCTGGTGCGGTAGACGTGCGGCATATGGTGAACGAGGAGTATGCGCGTGTCTTGAAGGCAATGTTTGAAGCTCTCAAGGTCATCGCGAGAGAGAGCAAGGGTGTCGGCGTTTCCGCCACCACCAATGACCCCGAGGATAAGGAGGCACTCAACTACCACATCCTCCTGATCGAAAACCTGAGCTACTTCATTGAGGAAATGAGTGACATCGCCAACGTAGATGTCCTCGAGGATAGGAAGCAAGAGGCTCTCCAGGAGTATAACAAGCATCTCGACCAGTACTTGTCGTCTGTCATGCGCCGTCCACTTGGCAAGCTATTAGATTACATTGAGAACGTGGAGGCGCAGCTTCAAGCGATGAAGACACCCTCTCAAATCGCCTCACAGCCCTCCAACTCCAAGGCAGTGTTCAACAAGGTGCTCAGCGTCTATGACTCGAAGGAGGTACGCAAGGGTATCGAAGCCCTAAGGAAGCGTGTTGAGAAGCATTTCGGTGACGCCGAAGAGGCAACTGGAGTGGGCAGCAGCGGGAGGGAGCTAGTAGACAAGGTCACGGAGGAGTGCGAGAAGTATTATGGCAAGGTTGAACTGCGCATCGCCACCATAACCGCGGAGGTGTATGGCGGCGATGTACTGTTTGAGTGGCCGAGACAAGAGGTTAGGAATGCGTTTGCGGGGAGGTAAATTTACGGTATCAAGCCTGGTCTGGATGATTTTGTGACCGTTCACAGATATAAAGTCATAGCGATAGAAGGGAAGTGATGGTGGGGAATTGGTTGATGTGTAACATTCTTGGCTGTCTTAAATGGGTTTGCGTTTTGGAGGAAGTTGATACCGTCGTATGAAGAAATGTGTTGCACGCGACGAAAAGTTATATGAAGAAGCCGTGATATCATCCTATAGCCATCGCTGTCTGTGTGTGTCTTACCAGAGGTTCTCACAATCCGCCGGAAGGCTGTAGATCGAGGGTGGCCGATTGCTTTAACCGGTATATTAAAATAACGCGTGAACAATCGGTGTGCACCCACTTTACGCGTCAACCTACTACGCTCACCTACCTCCTTTGATTGCACAACGATCATTTCGAACAAAGAGCATCAGACTTCGTAGCCTTCTCGACCCTACTATTTCCCTCACTCCTAAGCTGGTTTGTAACAAATTAGCCTCGAGAAAATATTTTGGGATCGCATCTCGACTCACCGAATAGCACGATGCCCCCAAACCCCGTGGCAAGGAGCAGGCTCCCGCGTCCAGGGTGTATTCACCAAGTCCTTCTCTCCAACAAATCCAATTCCCCCTCGGCGACGATCGATACGGACATATGGAAAGCAGAAGCCTAGGAGAGAAGGTCCGTTGAGGCAGCAGACAATCACGCAGATCGACTTTCTACAGCCCACGCACCCGGAGGAGCTAGACGAGATTGAGGGAAAGCCGGAGGTTAGCGGGAGTGCAGTCGGGTTCGAGGAGGAAGAGGAAAAGAGGCGGAAGAAGAAGAGGAGAAAGACTGAGGGGGATGAGCCGGACTCGGAACCGACATCGAGTTTTCACACGCAGACATTAACGCAGTTCTACAAAGGGGAGGGTTGAAGAGGGAGACGACCCGAGCCACGATCAATGACTCCGAGGATGAGGACGAGGACCAGAACTCGGATGGTGGATTGGACGAATTCATCACTACGGGGAGACGGGTTCGGATTAATGATGTCGAGGAAGAGATCCCCAACCGACGAATTGAGACCAAGAGTCCCTCTGTGATTCCGCAGACACCCTTGAAGAAGCAAACACGAGTTGAGATACCATCATCGCAACCATCGCCTTGCACGCCCATGTTGCTTCGATATTCTCCTCTGGGACCGAGGTCGTCACCGCTCAAGTCTCGGTCCTCCAACGTTATCTCCCCGACGAAGCCAGGCCGACGCACCGCAAAGGGGACCACGCCGCGCACTCTAGTCATACAAGACTCCTTTGCATCGGCCGTCACAGTCTCATCCGGGCCCTCGCAGTCATCGCTCAGGTTTGGAAAAGGGATGCAACGCACTCATCACACTATCCCAAGCAGCCAAGCAGACAAGACTATGCCTGAAGATAACGAGTCTGCGTCGAGGAGTGAGGAATACAGCGACGAGAACAAATGCAGTGTACCTTCACAAGAGAAAAGGCCGGAGCGCTCGCGGGTAGTGACCATCCCCGACTCCGACGATGAGGCGGAGGATCTTGATGATGGCGACAACCTTGACAATCCAGCTCGGGAGCAGACACCTACAAGGCATAGTGTCAGTCCCCCAAGTTAAAGGCAGCCAAGTCGGGAAAGCGAATCGAGCCTGGTGGGGAAAAGCAGAACGAAGAGGATGCTTATGCAGTTGGCGAAGAAACACAGTTTGCCCTTGACCTCCTCGCGTCCGGGACCGAAGGCACGCTATCGACAATTCAAAGTGGTTATCAGGAGACTTCCCAGAATAGCTCCCGGAAGCGACCAGACCCAGTGAAGCAGACACCAAGACAGACGCGGAAGAAGGCGACGGTGACCTTCTCATCCCCACAATTTTGCCCAGATGAGGAGGACGACCACGCAGCCCAGCACAAAACCCAAGTCTACACCCAGATGAACAGCCAGCGCGTGGACCTCGCCATCATTCGAGCTATGCCTCCCCCAACTGACCGATCGGATATATTCATATCAATCCACCCACAGCACGTGCAGAAAATCGTGAACGGCACCAAGGATCACGAGTTCAGGACATGGAAAATTCCCAGCACCGTTTCACGAATATGGATCTACGTTACCAAACCCGAGTCTATGCTCCGCTACATGGCATGCATCGGCCCCGCCAAGGTGCCCGGTGAGATTGTGAACGAACGCGGGATCGGCAATGCCGAGTTCAACAAGAAGGCGGGCAAGCCTGGGTTTGCGTACGAGATTGAAGAACTATACGAGCTTAACAACCCAGTTCCGCTTAAACGGATGAAGGACAACGGCTGGGTTGACGCCGCACCGCAAAAGTACGCATTTGTGCCCCCGGTGGTTGTGTCTCAGCTCCAGGCAAATCTTCGATGCCAACTCCTTCTTGATGATGACGGCGAAGGCCCAATCTTTGAAGACGAGATCAACGCCTCACAGCCCAAACAATCTGCCACGCTGTCCCAGGAAACAGGGGAGGTAGAGGCCCAGTTACTCAGCGACATTGCGTACTCGACACAGCACCCACATCGGACGACCGGGTACTCCCGCATCTAGTCAGAAGACGCCACGGCCTCGAAGACGCTCGGCACGGCAAACTCAAAAATACCACCAGTAGACCAGCCCGCGTCCCCATCTTCGGGTCAGAAACGTAAGAGGGGGCAGAGAGGACGATTGCGTCCTCCCAGGCAACGACGGCGAGCGAGTCTTCAACACCCTCGCGGTCTCAGGACCTTTCGGTCCCACGGCTTCCCAACTCCAGCCCGACCCAACCCATATTCCATGATAGTGGCAGCCCCGTGCGCATTCCCGAAGGGGACTTTGACCTGAGGACCTCTCAGCTCGTGACCGCGAGCCAACTGTTGCCGGAGACGTTGATGAGGGACGACGAGAGCGGGCCACCGATGGGCTAAGATTTCGAAGATGGCTTATAGATTTGGTATGGATACGAAGTGCCTTGCCAGAGTGGGCGGAGAGGTGCCACTTTCACCGACCATTTTGTAGTCTTATATACATACATGGCATGTTGACATGCAAGTCGAACTTGGGCGGGCGACGAGGAGCACAAACGGTCAAGAAAAAGACCGAATGAGATGGGAACACACACATATCCTACATGATATATAGCTTTAATGAAATGCCTTTGAACCACACCTCATCCCCCATCTCCCACAGCAATACACGGCCTCAACCCTTCCAATGATCGAGGACGGATATCGGTTTACCACACGATATCCATAAATCCGAGCTCGGAAAAAATAAGAGTATGTAAAAGGAAAGCAAAACCGAGGGGGGACATCAAAACAAGAAAAGAGAGAAAGGAACGGCCTAGAATCGGGTCCCCAGGACTGAGTCACAGTCGGTCAAGACACCGAAACCGCCAGGCTGGGCGAACAGACATGGAAGGACGCAATGTGAATACACGGATCTGGCATCTGCAGAAATGACGTACGAACTGGCCAAATAGAAGGCTCGAGACCGTTCGAGAGGGTCTATGAGGAAGAAGAAAAAAAAAGGAACTAAGAACTAGAAAGGGGATAGAAATCATCAATAGGGCAAGAAGGGCATAATAGTAACACCCCGAGCCGGGAGCACTTCATTCGTTGTCCTTTCTCTGCTGTGGTCCATGAATAGATTTCGGTGCCTTGCCCACCCCCTTGCTCAATTTCTCTGCACTATGCTACCCTCCATGCCTTACAGGGCCTGAAACAAGCGAGCACCAGGGCGGACCCTGCTCCTCGTGGCCAACGAACACTAATGTGGGTGCTGCGCTGTCGAGGGAGCCGTTGCCGCAACCAGGCGGGGTGTATTGGAGCGCACCCCCAATAAAGACACGACAGAGGGAAACTGTTTAGGGAGGAGAGGGGAGGGCAGGGAGGGGAGGTAGTGGAAGCAGGGCGCATGTTGGAGAGAACGGGAGAAAGGGGGAGGAAAAAGAAAGAAAAAAAGAACAAAAAGGAAGAAACATCAACAGAAACGAAAACAGCAAAGAGGGGGTAGATGTAGAACGACCAATACCAAAAATTGGCGGTCGTGCCCATCCTCGCTCTCCGTTGTCGCTGCCATCTCGTCACCCAGCCGCTCTTGTTCGATAGACCCCCTCTTCTCATCTTTCCCTTGAGCCACATTCTGCCGTGTTGACAGCTATGAGGGTGGTAAGTGCGTGCATTTGGGTGAGTCAAAGATGGATGGTGAGGGGCCTTGTGTGTTGTTTCCATATTGCGTGGCTTTCTCTTCGAATCAGTGACACTGGTGCACTTTTTTTCTCTTACCCGCTGCTTGTCTTTCTTTGTGGTATGGACCTAAATTGGAGGGGTGGAAGCAAAAGCTAAGGATCTACGCCGACTAGTATTCGTTGAAAGACTCGGTCTGTTGCAATCGTACAACTTGCGAAAGAAAATGTGGTGACAGGCGCTTCAATGACACCAAATGGTAAGCACTACAATACACCGATCCATATGTAATACATGTACAATCTTGAAGGGGTATTCCAATGAGACCCATTGAGTAGTCAATCCTATTATCATCAAGACGGACCGGTCAATAAGTCCTCCAAGAGTTGATTGATTTATCGCATCTATCGGCCGCTGTGCGTTCGTTCCCCTTCTAAAACAGGGGGCATGGGCACCGGGGGTGGGGGCGCACAAGAGAAACTCACCCTCCGATATTGACGGGGGCTCTAACCCTCAAGATTGGCATTGATTCATCACCCTTGAATAGAGTAGCCAGCGCATTGCGCGCTCCTTCTAGTGGGCCCTGTAGCGTCGCAAACCCAGCCTGGATGAATCTAGAGTTTTTCGCTCGTTGAGTCAAAGTTTGGTCTCGAATAGCAAAGTTGCATTCAACAGCACCCAAATAGTGCATGGCGTGGGGAGGTGGGGAGCCGTCGGCAAGGCAGCCAGTCAGTAGCAAACACGGACTGGTTGACAGCTCAGTGACTTGGGACGCTAGATACACAATGCGATGGAGTCAAAAGCGAATTACTTTGTAGAGAAGAAAAATTGCTCGGGAGACCGCTTGGCCAGCCATCGGGGGTGGGAATATGGCTAGGAATTGTTCTCATCCCCTCTGCGCCAATGGCGGGAATCCCTTGACGGGAGCTGGGAGGCGTCATCGCTCAATCACCGATTCGATTCAGCGAAAAGTCCGTGATAGGCAGGTTGGTAGCGGGAGGCCATCAGATCCCCGTCGATTGCTCGTTAGTCTCAGGGCCCCAACTACTCGATTCTGACCCAAAGACAAAAAGAAGAATGAAAAAAAAAAAAAAAAAAAAAAAAAAAAAAAACACACACACACACACACACAAGAGAATGTCCCTTTCTCTCGTTCCATGTGTGTGAAGCTTCGTTTTGCATGGGATGGGACGATGAGGGTGAGTCTTTCGGTCCACCGAGCTCTTCAAGCCCACTCGATCTCGCACAAGCTGGCTCAGTCGTGCAACCGTCCAGCATTTTTCTGCGCTGACAACATCCGCCGACTTTGGCCACACAAGCCCACCTGTTTTGATAGGACTAGGTGTGGGTCGGCTCGCAGTCGCTGGGTAGCGGAGGATGGTTGTGCGGAACCACTGACCAGAGGCGTCTACTGCAATTTTTCCTCAGACGACCAAAAGCCAAAGGGCTAGGGCAAACAAGCAACAGTGATCTATTGTGAATGCGATGCGTCTTGGTGATCTTCCGAACAAACGTGCACTGCACAAGCTGAGAAGAGCGTGCTCATGCTGAGACTTAATTTGGGGTGGAACCCGCTAGTTGGGCTCAAAAATGCGCTGATTGCATTGGCCATCGGGCTGTGGCCGGTTGCGATCCGCCCGGGAGCATTGCTGCCCAAAAGGCACCTGTGGAGACCCCTCCTGCATTGGCTGATGGCTCATGAATGGGCCATTGTCTTGTTTTATCCTCGCTGGTTTTCCCTTGGATCCCATCTGCCCCTCCCCGTCTTCCCGCCGAGCCGGAGCCAATTTTTCGACGGTGAGGTGGGAGTCTGGAATCTCTAGGTGGACACCCTTGAAGCTGCCATTTTCGCAACCGCGCTATGAGGCTCTGCTTCGCAAGGGATAGACTATGCTCCGTCCTCCCACCATCTTGGAGGCTGGGTCAGCCAAATCAAAACAAGTTGGCTCTTGGAGACGAAATAGGGTGGGGCTAGCGGGGGTGGGAGTCGCGGGCATGGATGTGGGCATAGGCGTGGATGTGGACGTGGGCGTGAGTGTAGGCGTGAATGTGGGACAGGATGGGTGAACCCAAGGCAATGTAAAGAAACTGCAACCGATGGAGCACCAGTCGTAGGGGTAGGTGCCACGGTCATCCCTTCTTTTTGTTCCATGCCGTTCCTCAATCTTGATATTTTGAAGACCAGGAGGAAGGGGAAGGAGGAAAGGAGAAGATGGCTCCAAAAGTATAAGAATGTTTGCGACCCGAGCTTCCAGTCTTTAGTCTTGTACCCATCCAGATCCTCCCAACCTACGTCCTTCTTTCCAAGTGCTGTACCCAAGTGCATCACTTTCCGAGGGCACCCTGTCCTTCCCGTAGCCGCCGATACGATACGACCCTGAACAGACTGGATACTTTGAAACCGCCCACCTACCGGCTGTAGTGATCTCATCAATTATTCTAGCCCTCGAAAGTTGATCAAGTACCTTCAAGTTCTTCCTATCTGAACAGTTTCTCCCAGCCGGGGTCACGTTGAATCTTGAAGAAGCTGCTACCTTTCTTCTTCCTTTTCTTCCTTTTTTCTTCTTTTTTTTGGTTCTTTTTCACCCTAGTCAGGTCTAAATTGCTCGCGAGACTATCTTGAGCTCACTTTTTCCATTTTGAAGAAACTTACTGGCTCCGCCTAACGGCTTCTTGGATTCTCCTCCTCCCGAATTGGTGATCAACCCTAACACGGCAATACTTCTGGACTCCTCCACTTGTGCGTTGGCTATTCCCTTTGGACTTCCGGGCTCGGTATTACTATGAGCGTCAATCAATCTCAAGTGAGAGCATGCCAGTGAATTGTTTGGAGAAAGAGTGTGTCTGTCGCTGTCATTGAATACTAACGCGGCCTGACGTCTTGCGTGCAAAGAAAGGATAGAGCTTCGTATCATTTTCGCAAAGGGAAAACGCGCATCTGCGAATGCACACCATTCGCCGAGCGAGCTCCCCTTACCCGCAAAGTAAAGTCATCTCTGCTTTGCGCGCGCATCCCTCTCAGCAGCTTCCTCCGCAAGTTCCACCCGTCGACAAAACAGGCTCTAGATCATTCTCCAAAGGTTACAAAATACTGGCGGCTACTAAGTTTATAATCCGAGGCTCTTCCACTCTAGTCGCACTTTGCCCTAGTCCTGCCCGCTCCGTCTGTCTCCGTCAACAGCCCACGGCACCCGTATATACGCAATCCTAGCAAGCTAGCTTGCCGTCTTTTCGACTCTGCCCCTCCCCCACCTCCCCCAATACCATTCGAGGTTTTTCTCCCACGATAAACCTCCTGCTCCATCGGCCCGGATTATTCCTTTCACGTTGTTTGCCCTGTTCCTAGCACTGCCTTCTTCTACTCCGTTCAAACCGACCGACAGCGACCCAATTTTCTTCTCGTTTTAAAGACCTCAAAGCGCCTCTCCCAGAGATAAGGGACTAGCATCTGCGGCAAACAATCATCAATCATTGACCCATTTTCCCACCCCTCCTCCCCAATTACCCCACCAACTTCGGCAAAAGACCGATCCCACAGCGCTCCACGAGCATAGGAAAGACAGCGAAGGAGGACGAAAAGAAAAGAAAACGAAAAAGGAAAAAGAAAAAACAGAAAGGAAAAAAACAACGAGCAAGGACTATTCTTTGTGTCGTCGAGGTCGACCCTGCACTGCATTTGCATCTGCACCTGCAACCTCCCCTGCCGCCATTACCCTCCATATCTTTCTCTCTCTTCTTATTATTCTCCTCGACCCTCTTTGAGCCTGATACCCCCTTCTCCTCCCACTCACCATCTCTATTACTCTCCTACTATTTCTTCAACACACAACATATACACGCACATTCAGCAGCACGGAAAAAGAAGGGTCGATTCCTGCGACGACAGCTCCCCTTCCTTTTTCTCTCTCGTTGCCATTCACCAACCGGTAATCAAGATTCTATCATGAAATCCAACCCCAACCAATTGCTTTTCCCTCGTTGGAGGCTTGCCCTTCGGTTGTCCGCTCCTTGAGAAACCTTTAAATTCACTTTCTCTCTCCTCTTGTACCCTTGAGACACTTCCGGCCATTTCCATCACTACGGCTCACAGCAACACACAATCCGACATCTTCCTGTCGAAAATCACATCATCCTTGTCCCCAACAAATATCTTGACTTTGCTGGTTTTTGACACCTGCCGAGGACAAAGCGGGAGAGAGAATCCCTAAAAGATCAACGAGAACCCAAGGTCGTATCTTTAGCGACGAATTAGGAGGCGGCCAAGACAAGAGAGCTTACGGCTCGCCTTCTCCTGCGAACCCCCGCGCTGCCAGGGTTTTTTTCCCTTCTCCCTTCTTCGATTTACCTTTACCCCACATTCGGGCGGCGATTCAATCACTCGTCAAGTGTGGAAAAAAAAAAAAAGAAGGCAAAATTCACAGTTTCAACAAGCAACGACCACACCTAATTTCTCTGGCGCTGGGCCCAAATCAAAATCGCTAATATCTAACCTTTCTCTTTCGGCCTCTGCCCGAGCCAATTTAAGAAACCAGTTTCCACTTGGCTCTCACACCCTTGATCCCCTCCAACTTAGTGCCTCTCTTCCCGCCCGACTAGCTTTCTGACGGCGGTCAACCGTGGACCCCCACCACACCCGCTAGGGCAGCCACTTTCTTTGCTCCGCTTCCAGTCAAGACCCCTTCCAAGGACCTCGAAGGGGAGGAGGAAAAAAAAAGAAAAAGAAAAAGAAAAGGGAATTGAAAAGCATCGCTCAGAAGCAGTAGCGCACTATGGGCAAAAAGGCACAAAAACAAGGGCCGCTCGACAATCCGCGGCCAAGCTGAAGCTGGGCACCGCGTCACCGCCAGAGACGCCGATAGCTTCTCCTGTTGCCAACCGCAAGACCAGCATTGAGGACAAGGGTCCATTTTTGTCAAAAACGAGGAGACGACGACAACCACCACCCCTTCCACTTGACCACGGTCTTGCACCCCACCACCACTCCCACGCTAATAATGTTAGGGTCGCCCACCCCGCCACCGTTCCCTCATTTTCCACCAGCGGCCCCATGTCAACTCCCTATCGGTATCCTCGCCCACCAGCCCCACAACCATCACCATCCGACTCCGACGACGAAGAGTCGGCCGATGACGACACCATGAACCCCTCACTATCGAGTGGGAAAACGGATTCTGAATCTGATTCCCCATCATCCCTCGGCTCCCACCAACCAATTACCGGGAGCCGCCCTTCGCCTCGGGTTGTAACGACCCATGGGCGTGCGGCTTTCGAAATTGAAGAGCTAAGCGACTTTGATCCCATGGACAGCGATCGCGAAGCAGCCCTGAAGCCGGCTGAGTACGAGTACCCAGAGTCGGAGAGAAGCCGGTCGCCGGCTCGCTATCCAGCAGAAGGCTCTCGCGGACCGTACAGAGCCCGAGTTCGTGAGCTCCCTCGGGAGTTTGTCAACAGCATGCGAAATCTGGATTGCGACGACTCCGACGATGAGTTTGACGCAGATGATATGGAGCACCATGATTTCGTTGTGCGGCAAAAGGAGCTCAAGAGGATCCATAGGATCAGTCACGGTAGCAGCATTGGCAAGAGGACCATGAGCGATCGTGGTGATTCCGACCACGAGGATTTGAAACCCTTTGAGAATGGCGAGAATGCACTCCACGACCGCCGGATGAGGAGGCGCGTTGGTGAACGTCGTGAAAGCCTATTCCATGATCATCCACCGGAGCGAATTCCTGAGTTAGAGGAGCCTGATAGCGACGCCGAGGAGCAGGAATTCAACTTTGCAAGGGAGTTGCCGTATTACGATATCGAGATCATGGAGGTCGACTCGGAATAAGTCAAGCCGAATAGCCGACGAAGGCTCCCACCCGATATACCGGTGCCGGCCGGCCACACGGCAACCGCAAGCTTCATGTGCTTGCTCTGCGACACGGAGCGGATCTCAATCTGCACCTTTGTAAACCGTTGAATTCTCGACCGGGAATATCCCGGAATCTTACTCCCACCACTATTTGACGACACTCGCTCTATAACTAGTCCAAACTAAACCTCTAGCGACTTTATCTTTCGGCTGAGGGCATAAAAAAGCCTTCACCCTTTCACCCCTTCGGATAGACGAGCAGATCCGGCTTCCAGCCCATTATCATCCCGCTTCTACTCCTTCTCATCGTTCACGAGGCTGAACCAACCTCTTTGGCTATACTCGGACTTGTGCCTGCCTACCTAGCCAGCCACATGCATGCTTCGACGTGCCGACTCTTTCCAAAAATTTGTTTGTCTTTTGTCTGTCGATTGGGTACTGATACCTCTAGACCATGGCGGGGCGAAGCGAGCATTGCTATTCTTGACGGTTTGCTTTTGCTGTCTTTTTTTTTGTCCTCTCTTATCCGTTTTTGGCTTTGTCTGTGATGACGGAGTAACGCCCTTGCTTTACTTCCTTTCTCATCACCATTTCATTCACAGGTCTTCTGATTGCAATATACAGGCGGGGATATCACGGTTGCGGGCAGGCGAGGTAAAATTTGGTTTAAAATTCGCATGATGACTTGCTTTCTTTTGTGTCGGGAAGCACTTGTATTGTTGAAGGACACATGAAGTTATGTGGGTAGGAATACTGGTCATGGGGCGATTGTGCGGGACTGGAGGAGCCATTGTGATGTGAGATGATGCTTCATGAGCGAGTTATCTTTGTTGCACTTTTTTCGTTTCGTTTTCGTACTTCAACGCTCATACCGATAGACTTGCTTTATTACAACAGTTACTTTTGCGCCGTCCTTTGGCCTCAATTTTCAAACTTCGCTGGGAAGCCGGGGTATGATGGTGGCGTGCTGCCAGAACCTGCGGGCAACAAAGCCTTGTGTGCCCTCACTCGACGCCGCACATCCCAACTCTGGTAAGGAATGGGCACAACGGAGACTTGAAACTACGGTATCTCCCTTCCCCACACAGTTGTGATTGATGTGACAAGATGACGCGCGCCGCCTACGATACATGTGGCACATGAAAGACGGACAGCGGCGCTACGGAGTATGTGGTGGCCGGACAGGGCTTACGCCACGCCACATGCAGATGGTGGAGGGATGGTGGAAGTGGAGGGCTCTGAATTGGTTTCAATCCCGATCTTTCCTTCGTGGGAGAATCATCAGTCCCAGTGAGCAACTCAGTGGCGATGTGATTTCCACGGAGCATACAGTCACCCACCAACCCATCCATCTGCGCCAGCCGAAAAATGGTGGTAGTATCGCGCTATTGGGCGAAGTCGTGCATGGCGAATCTGGACTTGAGATGGGTCCGGCCGGTATAGGCCTCAAGGCCCTCAAGGCCCTCTCGTGGTCGGTACATCAAAGTGGGTATTAGTAGTACTCACAAATCAAAGATGGTGTTTGTGTTGTGTAGCCGTCCTGTTATCGATAAGAATGGGGAGGGGAAGACACTTGACTTGATGAGGGTGCTCACCCCACCCCGCCCGCAATCGTCCAATCGCTGACTGAAATGACTTGGGCTTTGCCAATTTGTTTACACGCGATTGCAGCGTGCGGGAGCTGGTCCGTAAACCACCTGCGAAGGCAATCTTGGTGCTTGCGACACGCCCACAAATCACGTACGACTGCTTTACCAAGACGATAAATCATTGACAAACGCCTGCCGCATTTCCGGGATCGTCTGGGAACATTGAAGTAACACCCGTCGTCCATTTTCTTTTTCTTTCTTTCTTCAGAAGGGGTGGGGGTTTCATTGTTCCTGTCGCAGCCATGTCGCTGCTCTCCGCCCACCTTGAGCAGATTGCTTACTCCTGCGAGGGTATCGACTCCCTTCCGTACGTTTTCTGGGTGTCCCTTTCTCGTCCCCGCGGCCGTAAAAAATACCCTTCAGGCCCTAGTCGCGCGCTCTCTCGCACGCACTCTCTCTCTTTCCCACTTGCGCTGTTGGGAAGAAACAGCTTACCACCTCGCCGAGTGCCCCGCTAACCTCAAGCTCATGTGTGCCGCCATCTAGGTTCCCACCACCCAAAATCTTTACCAACGCCCTCCTCTCCAACCACGATATCACGACCCTCCTCCGCGACACCGAGCCCCACGAGCGAGCCCTATTTTCCGTACCCCCACCCGCCAGCACCGCCGGCGCGACAGAAGATCCTCCCGTGCCTCCACCTCTGCCTCTGGGTCTGCCGCCGCGGCCGCGGCCACGGGCGCCTCCACTTCCTCCTCGTCTCGGCGGCAGACCGTCTTCAACGTATCTTCGGGCGAAGTCACGACGGGCGGACCACCCACGCGCGCGTCGGCGCGGCGCAATACGGCGGTGGCGGCCGTCCTGGGCGGAGCGATGCACGAGAGGCTCCGACGGTCTGAGCTCTCGTCCAAGGACGACGTGGACGTCGAGGTGCTCCTGCGGGGCGCGGAGAAGCTGTGCGGGGTGTACGCGCTGCCCGGGGCGTCGCGGACGATTGCGGAGCTGAGGGGCCGGGAGGCGGATCTGGCGCGGACGACGGCGTACTATGAGGCGAAAGTGGCGGAGCAGGCGGAGGCGCTGGCGGCGATGAGTAAGGATTGGAGGGGGATGGGGGCTACGGAGACGAGGAGGAAGAGGAGGAAGAAGAGGAGGCGGATGCTGCGGGGGTGAGCGGGCAGATCTTGACGGATGCGGAGTTGAAGGCGGAGGAGGAGGAGGTGAGGGAGTTGGAGAGGAAGAAGAGGGATTTGCAGGAGAGGTTGAAGAGGATGGATAGGGATATTGGGGGTTGTTACACATGTGATGAATGGAGCAGGGAGGAAAAGAAATGGTAGGGAAAAAGAAGATTCATTATTCAAAACTGTTCCTTGGCATCGTTGATCTCCTTTGAGAGCCACGCTGGTGTCTTACCGGGTATCTATAAACCCAAAAGAAAAAGAAAAATATCTATGCCAACGCCTATATCCCCGCATGCAGCCGTATAACCTCATTTTATAAACATGAGTGATGAGAAAAAAAAGTGTGAAAGGTAAATCCCTCGCCCGTCGTCTACCCCCTTGTTGGCGGCCCGTATTCCACTCTCGCGTCCCACTCCTCGAGCCGCCGATAGGGACTCCGCAGAAAGGAGCGCAGCTCGTGTAAAAACAAGAGCGTGTGATCCCCTAGATGCCTGCGAACCAAAATCTCGGCTGCGCCGGACGCGGCTTGCATGTCGGCGGCGCGCAGGACGGACATGATGTACTCGAGTTTATAGGTGGAGAGGCGGTGGGGGAGAGGTGGTCGCGGCTCCGGTGACTAGAGGGGCCAGAGGTATCGGCCGCGCCGGGAACGGGGGCGGGTGGAGGATCGAGAGCGTCGAGGACGAGGAGCTCGCGGCGGATGAAGGCGCGGGCGCGGGATTGGAGGTCCGGGTCGTGGGTGAAGGCGTGCGGGGTGATGACGGGGCGGTAGCGGGAGTGCTTGTTCGCGCCGATGTGGAGGGAGAAGAGGCCGTGGCGGTAGACGTCGAGGCGGCGGGCGGGGAAGGCGGGGATTCGGGAGGATGGGCGCGGGGCTGGCGACGCCGGGGGTGGCGGCGGGGGTGTGGTGCGGAGGGTGGGTTGGTCCGCGCTGGCCAGTTCATCCAGGAGGGGGATGGCGGGGCGGCGGAAGAGGCGGCGGCGGCGGCAGTGGGTGGTTTCGCCGAACGGGGTGGGGCGGAAAAGACCAAGGTTCCGTCGGGTCCGTGCCGGACGCGCTGGACGGGGTCTTGCAGAGGGGGCAGGTTGGGCTAAGTTCGAGCCATTGGAGGAGGCAGTGGCTGTGGTAGGCGCAATGGCGGCATGGTTCGGCGCGTGCGCTGTTGTGGGGGCAGGGCGTCGAAGCAGATGACGCAGTCTTGGTGGGCTGAGGAGGTCTCTGGTGGGTCGTTGGCTGTGTCCTCTGGGGACCTGGGAGGTGATGCTCGGTCTTCCATGGTCGGGGATGGGCTTGGGCGATCACGATGGGAGGCGAGGGCTGTTTTGGAAGGTGGGGGTGGAGGATGGGGCCCGTTGGGCATGGTGTGTGGACAGGGACGGCATCTGGTTCCGGGTTGTTTGGAAGCTGAGGTTTTTGGAGGAGGAAGAAACGGGCGCATCCGGCGGAGCTTGTGAGAATTTTACATTTCAAGACCGAGACTGCAAGATGGATGCTGTAGCGAACTGCGCAAGTTGGTTGTGTTTTTCTGCTGTGGCAAAGGTGTGAAGAAGTTCAGTGCTTCAATCTATGGACGTTCTAGTTTTAAGTGGGGAGTTGGTGTGACTCGGGAAGAAAAGTCTAGAAGGGTCTGTGTCTCTTTGCCTCTCAAGACCGAACCCCAGAAAAGGCTAGTATAATCAATTTTGGAAACGGTCGTTGATGATCAAGTGGTGGCTTCCCGGATGAGCTAATCTCAGCAGAGCCACCCTTGTCAAGCAAACCTGGTCAGGTCGCGTTAAGTGGTTTTTCGTGGGCACTCGTGCCTTGGTCAATAGTGTCCCGGCCACTGTGTTGTGGTGCTCAATGCGCTCAATGGCAAGTGGAGCGGTACAGTGTCGCGTTGTTTAAGGCACCTCCACTGTTCTCAATTGATTTCCGGGCGGGGCCCCACTCTCCCAAGCGCGTCGAGCGTGTCACTTCATTTTCCCGCGTCACGTCACGCAAAACGAAAAAGCTTACTTGAAGTACACCACGAGCCCCCAAAACTCACCACCTAACTTTGGCCCAATCCTTACTCGAAACATTAAAAGATCGCCAAACACTAAAGACCGCTTTTGAGAGATTCGAACTTCGACATCTTCCCGCAATTGTCGTGTACCTTATCCTCTAGCTGCTCATCACTCCCTCGATTCTCAGCCTCTCCCTCCCCAGCCTACGCGTGGCTCGTTGGCTTCTTCGCCCCCTCCTTTCCTCCACATGGACGCCTTGAGGAAAGCAGAGCTTGAGGGCCAGTGTCAAGCCATCCGCGCCTCGCTCAAAGAATGGGAGCATGATTGGAGTGCCTCGAATGGCGGTGCAAAGCCGTCGCGTGACGCGATCAAGGCGAATGCAGATATAGGTAATGCGAGCCTGGTTCCCCTCCCTCAGTTGTTGAGTCGCCCTCTAACAGCTCTCTATCTTGTTTTAGCCCGGAAATATAAAGAGTACAACAAATTACGCGATATCATCTCGGGGAAGATCAAGGAGGAATCAGTCTCGACGAAGCGAAAGTCAGCGCCCCTCCCGTGCAGACGCCGGTAAAACGATCCAAGTATTCTAGACCTACCGAGACGCGCCAGAAGGAGGATATTCCGCCCGTGGCCAGCACCCCATCTCGCCATGACCTGGCTCCTAGTCCTATAGTACCTACCTCCATCGGCCCCACACCCCACAGGGATGGGAAAGTGCTAGGACTGTTCGCTTTTCTGGACACCGCCAACCCTGTGGCAACGCCATCTAGGAGAGACGGGGAGGCCCAGGCAAAGTTGTTGGAGACGCCGAGTAGGGGAAGCGAAATCGAAAACTTCAAGCTGGGGAGGACACCAACCTCGTCGTCCAAGAGGCAATATCTCGACCTACTTGTAACGCCCCTTAAGACCACGGATGGCAATGCACGCGCCCCCACACGCCCCAATCTGTCTCCAAGCTCCAATTCGGCACACCCGCGTTCTTGCGAAGGAAAACGCTGCCGGCGGTAGAAGAAACCGAGGAGTACGAGTCGCCCAAGAAGCTGAGGAGGATATCCAGGAAGCCGTTTGCCCGAGGCCTTAGTGCCATCGTAGCCAACCTCCGCAAGGTGGAGGAGGAGCACATAGAAGACCAGTTCGATGACGACGAGGCTGCCATGCGCGAGATGGAGGCCGAGAGCTTCGCAGCAACCCAGCCCGAGCTCAAGAAGCCGGTAGAAGCGGTGCCGATCGTGCCCGATAGTCAGCCTGGAGTGAAACTTCTGGGTGGATTTGACGACGAGAACGCTTACGACAGCCCCGTGGAGGACCAGACGGATCGAGGACGCCCCGTCAGAGAGTTCAAGAAGAAGGCGCCCAAACGGACTACGAGAAAGGTCATCATGAGGCCGATATTTAGCAAGCGGCCGACCGAGACACAGCCCGCCAGCGAGAGTGATTTAAGTGATGAGGAAGACGCGCCCGTACCCGAAACTCAAGTCGACGCCACAGCGCTGGGTGCACCTCTGGCTGACGATTCGGATGGCCATTCCGACTTTACGCCTGATCACGACCACGATGAAGGGGACGAAGCGGCCGGGGCAGACTTGGCCAAGGCGATACGAGCAGGCCGAAAGCGAACTACCAAGGCTCTCGACGAGGAGGCCGCGCAAGCCAAGAAGGAGAAGGGTAAGACCAAGGGCAAGGATAAGGAGAAGGCCACGGACAAGGACAAGGATGAAGGCAAGGTCCGAAAGGTGGCCCGCAAGGTCAATGAGCTTGCTCATGCCAACTTTAGGCGCCTAAAACTAAGAAACAACGGGGCCAAGGGAGGGCCAGGCTACAATAGCAGATTCAGGCGGAGGTAAAGAGGGCCGAGGATGGAGGTCTTTTTTTTTTTTTTTTTTCCTTTTCTATTATTCCTGCATTGTCATGAGCATATATCTAGGGTGGCGTCTCGGTCTTGGGGGTATTTTCGGCGGGCTGGATCACATTCATCGTTTTTGTTGGAATGAGCAACTGGATGTCTCATCCAGGACGCATGACGCTTGGCCAGGGTGGGTGGCCGTGGAGGCGGGCCTGATGCATGAGGCTTGCATAGCATCGCATAACATAAGGCTTTATGATTTTCCAAACATGGTGTATAGACTTTATTCGGGATCTACTTGTATTACTAGTCTTACTGCTGAGAGCTTGATGAGGTGGGAACGTGATGGAGAGCCTTGATCCTCGACGACGAGGATTCTTGTAACTTGACAACTTTTACCCTGAATTTGATGGTTGGTAGACCGTTGGCAGCGGTAAAGGAAGCTTGGACTGGTCGGGCGGAAACAGCTCACTTGGTCGAGCCGTCAAGTCTATCTGAACCATTGTAGAAATGAACGAGGACAAAGGTCCAGCCAAACGGATCCTGTCCCCAAGCAAGTTTATTAGCCTGTCAGCCATCAATGCCAGCGGGACTAGACGAAAAAGAACAACACCTTGAACTTCTTGAGGAAATGAGGACAATTAGGGGTCGTTGGCATGAATAGGCGTTGAGTGTTTGTTTGGTAGCCGATGATTTCACTCATGTCGTCGTCAATGCCAAGCTGCTACGTTGTGTCACTTTTTGCCCACGAAGCTGCCGTGGAGGAGGAGCAGCTCGCGGTTTCTTGCCCACAAGAGCTTCCGGCGCCGTCGATTGGGCGCCGAGCTCGCCCCACCCAGATGGAGAAGGGTCGGGGCTGGCAGGTACGGCCCAAGGAGAGTCGCAAGCCCAAAACGATTGGCCAGCAGCTTCCACCACTGCACCCGCCAACAAACCTGCGGCAGCCAATGGGAAGCGTAGGCGCCGAGAATTGCGCCAAATTTGGAAACTGCGACGGTTCGACGAGAAACGACAAAACCGGGGGAGAGGAGAGGCCCCAATTTTAAATTTCTGGTGGACGCAGAGGAGCCATAGAATAGGGCCGCGACCTGGCGAATCTCCGACACATGAGGCAGGCGCTTGGCCTAACAATAGCTAGCCCCGGAACATTTTTTGTCAGGGATAAACTCTTTTTCTTTTACGTGGTCTGTGGTTTTGTACTAGATGTGAGGAGCGTATGGCGAGAGAGAGCCGAGCTTGTTGAGAAAAGGCCCAGCTCCCTTCAATCTCCCAGCGAGCAGCCCGGCGCTCGAATGAGACGCGAATACTTGGGCCGCATCCCGGTCGCTTGATGGAGTCCGGCGCTCCAATCATTCCTTTCTTTTTTCTTTTTTCTTTTGTCCCGGCTGTCAGTAGGACAAGAGTTTAGGCCCTTGCTTCTATACTACCAGAAGCTGTAAGCCAGGGTCTCGCGCCTGCCGTGAGCAGCCCCACGCCGCACTCGCAACTGCTGAGCTCTTTGGGCGGGAACTCATATGCACAAGTCTTTTGAACCTCTCTTTGGCTCCGAGCTCGATCGATCCACTAGCTCGCAATTAGGCTACGCGCGATCGTTCCACTCAAAGCTCTGACGGTGTCCACCCAGACGAGCCTGGGGGTAGCAGCGTGCATGGCCTCGACGAGGCCCAGGGCCTATGAAGAGGATGCCTGCAGCTCGGCTTCATACAAAGACCTCCGTCTCCCTCGAAACTATCCTCTTCGGGTTCTTCTTTGTGATTCTTTGGATATTGTCACCTTCATTTCGAGTAACAGCAGGACAGCTTGGTCTTTTCTTTCCATTCCCTTTGTCTCTCTCTCATTCTCTCTTGCTCTCTTGCGCACCATCTGCCCTCTTTTTCACTTCTCAGCCTATTCTTCAGAAATCTTTCAGTAACCATTTTTTTCCCCTTCTTTCTTTTCTTTTCCTTGAGGCTCCTTCTTTTCCATAACACACACATTTGAGTGCTTGAGTGTTTTTCCCAGCTTGCCTAGCCACACTTTACAAAGGGCAATACACCACTTCAGATCTTTTTCAAACATCCATCAAGAAGGGACCAGGTTTGCCCCATAACTAGCCTCTCACCTCACACCTTCTCTCCTAGTCACCTCGGATCTTAGCAAAGATCTGACTCAACCTCTGACGTGTACTCGGCTGCTTTGGCCAGCCATCTTCTCTCTTTGTTTCTCATTCCCTCCTCCTCAAGGACTCTGGATAGTCCAAAAGTAAACCATTTCCGGGTCCACTCTTCTTACCCTTGCTTTATCCCCACCAGTACAACTATTCTCGAGTTCACCCTCCAAGCACTCCATCACTTCTTCCTTGACTCTTTTCACTGGTTTGAAAAGAGCTCTTCAGAAAATAAGAAAAAAAAAGAGGACGAGGACTAGTACTTGTTCTCCTGCCATCATAATGCGTCTCAACGCCGCATCTCTTTTGAGCTTCCTCGCTCTGTCTCAGGCCATCGAGGCTAGCCCTCTTCGCCTGATCAAAAGGTATAGCCTTGATTGAAGCCCAGGCCCTGGTGAGAAAGTCATTGCTAACATACCGCCTAGACAAGACATTTCCTCGTCGAGTGAAGCGTCTGCTACTGGTGTAGAGAACCTTCATCGAGGAGACCACGGGAATGGCGATGATCAGGGTGCGGATGACGATTCAGATACCGCCCCTGCCCTCATCGACCCTGAGTTAGTCGTTCACCTCTTTTGCTCTTGCTCACCCTCCCGTACTAATGGATATACTTTGTGTCACTAGGTTCCCGCCCGATGAGACTCCCAGCCCTATCATTATCACACTAACCCCTGGCGCTTCTGCCGCTCCTATCGAGGATCCCCAGAGACTGAGAGCGCCGTCGCGCCAACGGGGTCCGATGAAGCCACGCTTACCAGCACAGATGCGCAAGCTACTGCTTCTGGAGAGCCTACGGAGCCTGCGGATGAGCCCATCTCATCCTCAGCTGGCGCAGTCATCCCTAGCGACATTTTCGGCGAACCTCTGCCTACTGACATTGTTGAAGAGCCTCTTCCCACCACAGCCGAGGATGATGTGACCACGTCGGATGTCACAAACTCCAACGAAAGCACGCAGACAGCCGATGAATCGTCCGCAACGGATGCCCCAGCTCAGGATGTGCGTGTTACCTCGGGTGAGGGAGCCACTGCTACCGAGACAGGCTCTGGAGTCGAGGAGACGGAGGCCAGCACCGGAAGCGACGAGCCTACTATTTCCACTGAGCTCTCGGAAGAAACGGGTACTGCCACCGATGTTGAGGCATCCCAAGCCCCCACTGCTTCCGCCTCTGAGTCTACCGAGGCCCCTGAGGACGTCGCCACGGTTTCCGAGACCGATTCTCCCACCGAGACCTCCAACACCACCGACGAGCCGTCTACTATCGTGGATCCTTCCGAGACTATTTCCACAGTCGAAGCTACCGCGACCGAAGACCCTGCTTCCACCATTACCGAAGATCCTACCGCTACCGCCGTGGAATCAGATTCGGAGACCCAAACCCAAGATATTAGCACCGAGCCAGCTGACGATGAATCTACCGGTCCTGTCCCCACAGAGACTGCGACTGAGTCGTCTTCTGCTGCTGCCGAGCCTGCCGACCTCTTCACGTCCGAGATCATTCCCACTGGTACCGTAAACCTCGAGGTTCCTACCATTGAAACCGCCTTCCCCACCGCGACCACCGTGGTCTCCGATGAGATTTTGGCGGAGAACGAGGAGAAGGCAAAGAACTTGAACGAGATCTATGCTGGCATCAAGCCCGACTCGTCTTGCACCGCGAACCAAATCGCTTGCATTGAGGGCAACCTGGGCATTTGCGGCGAGGCCGGTGCCTTCCAGATCAGCGCCTGCCAAGCCGGCACCCGTTGCCTCGCCCTTCCCATGACCAACACCGAGGGCGTCAAGGTCGGTTGCTTCGAAGATCCCCTCGCTGGCGACCTGCCCGAAACCTCGAGTGCCGGAGAAGTCACCGTTTCCGTGACCGTCCAACCCACTATTACTGTCACCGCAATCGTCACTGCCCCGGCGGCCCCGGCTCCTCTCTTCCCCACCGACGGGCTCCAGTTCTCGTCCTTCATCTCCACCGTCCTGATCCCCGCCCCTTCGTCCGTGGTAGAAGAGCCCGTCCCCGAAGAGCCCACCGAGGCTCCCGAACCCACTGAGGTTCCCGAACCCACTGAGGCTCCCGAGCCCACTCCCGCGCCCGAGGCTCCTCTGCCGTCCGATATCCTCGATGTCATCGACATCCCCCTGAGCATCCCCATCGACCTCGGCTTTCTGAGCCCTGGAAACCAGGAGGCTGAGGGTGTGGAGGGCGCTGCTACTCCCACCACCGTCTTCATCACCGTCACTGTTCGCGAACAGGAGACCGAGACGGTTACGGCCACGGCCACCGTCACTCGAGACTAGTCTGAGACTCGGCGATTTCCTTGAAGGGATCGGATCTCTCCTCTGGAGGAGACGATACTCTCGAGCCACTTTTTATTATTTTCCTTTATTTTTCCTATGTTTTATTCCGTGGCTTGGCTGGAAAGGAAGGACAGCAGCCGTCCACACACGCACACACAATCACAAAATCGTACATATGCAGAAAGATGCACGCGCAAGGTTTCGAGATAGCGTCTTATCACAGACTATTTTATAAGAACCCATTGCCGCGAGTGAAGAGAGTTAAAAGAGCTTAATGAGGAGGAATTTGTGTACATGGTAGAAGCCCAAACAAAATAATCCAAAAGCAGTTTCACAATCTTCAACGCAAGGAGGCGGGGGTGCCTACTGTGAGCTACCGTTTTCCAATGCTCTTGAGTGACTTATTTACTATATTCGTTCGTGGATGTGGCCATACCCAGCTACGACCAGTCTAAGATGTCTATATTGCCTGGACCATCCAGAATTGAGTTCGAAAAATGGAAAAGAAAACCCGGAAACAGAGAATGCTTAACTCGGGGTTGAGAACGCAAAGGGTATGTGCTATGCTTGATGAGGGGCAGGGAGAGCCAGGGTAGCTATATACATGTACGGATGGATCCGAAAGGGATGAAAAGGAGACTGGGAAAACGATGCGACCTCCGCAGGTCGATACATGTATGCATAAAAGGGGAGAAGGGAAAAGCGCTGCGTATATGCGACAACGGAGAATGATTGAGATATGTCTCCAAACGAGCTTGTAGAAAGACACCCTCCCTATTCATTGGACAACCCTGAGCTAGCACGTAGGCTGCGGCTACCGTCCGGGATGGTAGAGGCCTCGCAAACACTTCGCGACGGGCTCCCATTGCCATAGATGGAAACGGGGAGACATACAGTCCGTTAGTGGGCTCCGCAGTGTTCCTTGGCGTCGCTACTGGCGCGTCCTCCTTGTGCGAATCATTTTTCAATCCGTCGACGCCGTTGCCATTGTCGGCGTCCTCGTCGTACATATCCCATAGGGCGCTGCGCAAGGAAAGCCCTAGGACCAACGAGATTTGACGCGCGACGCTGTTTCCCACCGACTTCCACCGGTCCCTTACGCAGCCTACCAGCACCTCGTGGTCTGGGAAACCCTGCGCCCTACGGCTCTCCTGGAGGGTCAGGAACCTCTCAGCGGCCCAGTGAGTCTGGCAGCCCGTCTTGAAGTCGGTGGGACACTGGGCGGTGGTGACAGTAGGAAGTAGGCGGGAGGGCCGCGTGCGCTTCCACGCTTGGGAGCCTTTTCGAACACGGGTGACTCCCGGGGCGGGGAAGAGGGCTCGCTCAGATAGTGTCATGACACCGTGGCCGTCGTTCCAGGCGGAACTGAAGCTCATGCCAGGAGGGAACCGCGGGATGGACTTGACCTGGGCCCGAAAGCGCTGCGTCATGGAGGCAGCGGGGACGTGGTCCGGGAAGGGAATGCAATACTCGACTTTGCCGTCGTAGAGAAAGGGCAAGTCAGCCGTGGCCTCGGACGCAGAGCGGTACTGGAAGGCGTAGGCCGAGTCAAATTCCCGTACCATCATCTTCTCGCCGTTGTTGAGCGTTCCGAGCCCGTAATTTCGCACATGGGGAGGGTGCGAGTGGGACGGCGCCGGCGCGTTGGGCAGCGTCTCGCCGGGCGCGGCGAAGACGAGGAAGACACGACTGCGGGATTGGCATGCGCCATGGGACCAAGCATCGAGGCAGAGCATCTGTACTTGGTAGCCTATGCCCACGAGCGCGCAGACGAGCTGGGAGAAGACGTCCTCGTGCCGGAGCTTTTGCTTCTGCACGATGCCTACCACGTTTTCGAGGATGCCGAATCGTGGACGGTACACGTCGACCATGGATGCGAACGCGGCCACGAGGCTCTGGTTCTTGCGTTGCGCTGGCGTCGTCTTGTCGTTGGTCAGCCTCGAGAATCCGGGGCAAGGGCTGCCTCCGGCGATCAAGTCCACACTCCCCACTCCCCACTGTGGGCACCTGCGCGCTAAAACGCCCTGCTATGGCCCGTTCTTGCAAATCGTCAATCGAGCCGAGAAAGGGCGAGATACGAGAAGGGTCTGGCGCGTTTGCCATGTATGCATGGATGGCCTTGTCCGCGATATCGTTGGCCCAGCGCATCTCAACGGCACCACCCTCCTCTAGCCCGCGTCCAAAATTACCTGATCCACAGAAGAGATCGAGGCCTAGTAGCTTCTTTTATTTTGGTCTTCACGCTGCCACGGCCAAAAGCTTGACGGAGAGAGGCGGGAGGGGCTTCTAAGGGCACGCATGTCCCACCCTCTTGTAATCTGTGCGTAATGAAGAATAGGAGGCCAGCGCCGTCGCGGTCGTAGGGGGCCGGGATCGGCTTCCCTGGCCGTATAGCCCTGATGAAACATTTTCTTTTGATTGAAGACGGATTGATACTAACGATCTCGTCCGAGTACACGAGCTCGTTAGGTTTTGCCCATGAGGCATTTGGATCTACCTCGGAGCGGCGAAACAGCCGACGGAGCACAATTCGCCGAGCACCGTAGTCACTGTCGATGATCTCGCAGGGCTCAAGTCTCGTATCCCCGCGTTTAAGCTCTGCCAACACAGCATCTCCAGGGCGGTATGAGTTGGAAAACTTGACTGAATCGGCCTCCTGGTTTTCGGTCTGGTGGCATGAACAAGCGCGGTCAGCATGGGTAAAGGTCGTGAAACGCTTCTCCTTCATGTCGTACGTCTGCCGACAAACAAATTCGGCGTCGGCTGCGCAATCTGGGTAAAACGCGACGCTGTGCACGCCGAGGACCTCCTCCTCATGAATTTCCAGCCCATCATGGCAAGTGCAGTGATTGGAAAGAAAGAGCTCGTTTCGAATCGGATACTTGAGTACGCCACAAATCGTGTCGACGGGGCGGTAATACCAGATAATCTGGAAGGACCGGCCACCTGTAGGTGAGGCATGCACAGATTGTACAATACCAAACCATCTGTTGTCCTTTGTATCGACCCCTCGCGGGTTTCCTCGACCCATTTACTGAGTGAAGGGGGTCGGGGGTGATGGATATGGTGTCACCCGGGCGGATGCTTTGAAGCATGTGTCTCCGCCACTCTTCCGAGAGATGATGCTCTGCAATCGGTCGCTCAACCTCGCCCCTTAAAGCTCTTTCTATCAGTCCAGTGCTCATTTTATCTGAAACTCGGGTCCGAAGCTTCTCTACTTTGGGCTGGAGCTCGACTGCTCTCAGAATCGAGCCAAACGGCAGGTGGTCAAAGCAGTGGGCAATGTAAGGCGTCACGATCGTTGGGGCACATCCGCGCTGCCACTGCTACTTAGTTCTCCCTCTGGCATTGGCGCTACTTTTGAGGGTTCGCGGTGCTTGACCCCATGGGCTTATATTCGTCGAAGAGCAGCATCTCGTGGAAGAGGCGGTGGCGAAGCGCGACCTTTGGTGACAGGACGCCGCATGTTTCTTTGTACAGGAACTCAATGTTCGCCGACACAGGGACGCAGAAATTCTGCTTCCCGTAGGCAGCAAACCAGCTTTGAAACGCTTGGGAGTAGGAGTGACGGAGAGCGGTCCATTTGTAAAAGTCTTCTCGGAAGTCGATGATGCCGACCCGCCGCCCTCCAGAGTGCAAGGCCTCGAGGTAGTCGACAACGTACTTGGCGAGGTTGGCGATCCACTGAAAGACAACGTAGTAGCGTTTGTAGCATTTTGACGGGCTTCCGAGACGGTAGTAGACATTCTTCGCGGTTTTCGCATTCATGAGGGATCGGATCCAGATCTCGCCGTCGACTGAATCGTTTTCAATGCCGTAGTTTCCGACAGAAAGTTCTTCAAATGGTACCCTCTGGACGAAGTACCGCTTCTCTCCGGCGCTGAGCACCCCGTCGAAGTAGAGACGACCGAAGCGTGCCTGTTTCGCGTTCAAAAACTGGAGCGGACGAAGCTCGCTGGCTGAGTTTCCCACCTGACCATAGATGGAAAAGTCTTCGAGTATGATCTCTACAAACTCATCTCCAAGATCGGAAGATGCGTCGTCCTTAGGCCCGGAATCCGCGTTAATCTGTTCCATCAACTGGTGGTGAGCATACGCCTCCCCACCTCGGGGGCAGGCGGAATGAAACCATGATAGGCTGATTCCGGGGTGACCAGGGTGGTTTCGGGCACGGCGACCTGGATATGATTTGAGAGTTGTAGAGCGCATCCAGAATCCGGCACCACTTCACCAGCCCAAACCCCACTTTCGTCATAGAGGGTATAAGGACCACACAGTGGTGCTTGAGGTTTTGAAGCTGGCCCACTAGACTCTGAAAGCCTTTGCCGCTTCGCCGGAGGTGGCCCTTTCGGTTCCTCGCGAATCTTGGGGGCGGGTTTCGGAACCAGAAGGTCTGACTCTACCCAAAACTCCATAAGGTCATCCTCGTCGCTCCCGCCGTCCTCTTCGTGTTCCTCATCAAACTCGGCTACCTTAGCCGCTTCGATATCGTCAGCTTCGATATCATCAGCTTCAATGTCATCAGCTTCAATATCGTCAGCTTCAATGTTGTCAGCTTCGTCGACGTCCATGGCCGGCGTGGCCTCCTCGTCCAAATCAACGTCTTCATCCTCGCCAGTTCCTTCATCTTCGTCAATTTCTTCGAACCCCTCCAGATCAGACTCTGAATCAGATACGAAGTCCAGGTCAGTCATAGGCTCGCCAGCAGCACCCTGGCCGGCATCACCAGTGACGAAACCCACCTCATCGGGGAAGACGTAGTCTTCAAGTGGAGGCGGCATTCTCTGATTTCTTTTTGGTTGGTTTACCCTTCCCAAGAATTTGTCATGCCAAACAGCTTAGGAAGGGGATAAGGTGGGAGAAAAGGCACAAAAGTAAAGCGCACGGGCTGCGTGAATCATTCTGGATTTCGATTACGAGACCGGTGAAAGTTCACGACTGAATGAACGCTTTTCCAGAAAGACAGCTCACTTCCAGTTTCATTCCGAGGCCTGCGCATCGAAACCCTTTTTCTTACGCGCCGGGCGCCGGCAGCTTACAAGCCAAGCGAGCTTCGAGAAGCAACGAACCGGCTAACACGGGATGCGCCGCAAGCAGTAAGAGTGCGCGAATGGATGCGACGCGAGAAAACAACCAAACGACGTCTCTAACCGGAGCGCGCAACAGAGCAGCCAAATATCCAATGCCGAATCGCAAAGGAAAAGAAAGACCGGAAAGAAAGGTTTATAGAAAATGAATAGAGAAAACAATAGCGAGCGACGTATGAATGCGCGTGTCGAACCAACCAGTCTTGAATTCAGGGTCACCCCTTCCGTTCTATTCATTGGGTTTTTGGCGGCGACACGGCTGCCCTTCCACACTCAACTTTTTGCGTATTATGTCCAATCCCACCTTCTCCACGCAGATGCGACTGTGGCGCTGAACAAACCGGCTGTGGCTGAGCACCCCAAAGTCAATGCCACTAATACTCCATCACATCAAGCGCCCATTTGGTCGAGGAGCTGAGATTTCAAACGTCTTGTTGGTATCTATTTGATTAGAATGATTTTACACTTTCCTCTTACAGTAGCTTCTTAATGCTGCACAATGACTACCCAGATAGCGTCTCATCCTCTAAAAGTGAACTGGCCCAACGCCGGAAATGCTAGCGAAGACAACCCCAATCTATATACAAGACTACGAAATGCGAGGATGCACTCCCAATTCTTCCACTTTTCTCATCACCGCCCCCAATATTCACTCCCAGCCACCGTCTCGAACCCAAGCTCCGCTCCAAACCGGCGCAGCTCTTCCGCTGCCCAATTCACCTGCAAGTAGCCCTCCACCTCGTCCCTACCCGGCCACCCCCGAGCGCCTCGAGCTCCCGCCTGGTAGGCTCAAGGAGGTCGTCCGGCACGTGCTCCTCCGCTAGAGCGCGGAAAGCGCAGACTGTCCGTCGCAGGTGATACCTGTTCTTCTCGTTGGCCGGGCTCCAGCCCTTCTCTCCAGAGCTGGCCCAGTGTGGTATCGACCACCGTAGCAGGTCGAGCATGCCCTTGTAATCGAGGAGGTGAGCCAGGGCCTGCATATACGCGTGGGCTTCCGTGCCCCGCAGCTGGCCGTACGTCTTGGGCATACTCCAGTCCTCACCCTCTGGCCCGACGAGCGGCGCGATGGGCGATGAGAGGCGTTCAAAGTTGGACTCAAGGTAGCGCGCCATCGGCCCAATGAGAGTAGTGAAGCTAACCTCGCCGCTCTTGGATGGTGCCGTCTCCGGAACAGCGCCTACGTCCGGAGGGGTGCGCGCCTGCCCTCCGCGTAGCTCCGAAGCGATGCTTAGAATGACTGGCTCCTCAAATTCTTCAACCTTGGGTTTGCGCTGGGTCTTTGGCTGTGGAGTCGCATCTTGGCTAGTATCCTCCTCTGTCGCCTCCTCCTCCTCCTCTTCTACCCCTCCACAGTCTCAATCGGGGGCGGTCGCAGATGTTGCATAAAATGCGCTCGCATGCCGTTGGAAATGGCCCTCGCCGTGTAAAAAACATGTCGCAGTCCATTGAACATGCCTTTCTCGCGGCGGAGAGAACGTCGCAATAGAGCAGAAACGTGGCGTAACCTCTCTCCCGGGGAGGGTGTCCCGAAAAGTAGACACCCCTCGGCGAGCTCAGACGGTGTAGAATCGGGTCCCAAAGCGGCCGCACATTCATATGCTGCCGACGCTGCTTGCGCGCAAGCTCCGAGTACTCCGTTACTAGCCTGATAGCCTCTGGAATCCGCGTGTCGTCGGTCGAAGGCCGGGTCTCCGCCAGCGCCGTCGGGTGGATCTGGCAGAGGAGCGCAATGTAAGCCTGGAAGACGCCGAACGGCACGCGATCGAATATCTTGGAGACATCCTTGTCTGACCGCTCTGAGAACCAATGGACGATATCTTTGTCCAAGGCGCTATCCTGCAGATACATGTGGAACGGGGCAAAGTGCGACGCGGTCCTAAGCAGAACCGCCAACGAGTGGCCGTTGAGCTTCACTTTGTCCGCGCGCATCCTCTCGTACAGCTGCTCCACCGTCGGAGGCTGCGCCCTCGCTTTTTCAAAGTCGCTGAGGTTGGGGATATGCACTTCCACGGCATGCCGCCCATCTCCAGGCAGGTAATGTTCATTTTCGGGTAGCGTGGCCGTTAGCTTGGCAAACAGTTCACCGTAAACTTCGGCGCTGCGCTGACATGACTCGGGTTGGCGCTGAAATACGGTCCACGCCTCGTGCGCGTTTCTAGTGGTGCGAATCTCCGTCGCCCACACGTTCTCGGGTGTAACTTTTGTGTCACGCGATCGCATAAACTTCGTCATGTTGGCGCGGGTCTGTATGGTGGGCGTCCTATCAGGACCTCGACCGGCGAGGATATCAATCACGTCATCGACGGGTGTTCTTGAATATCCCGCCTCCTGCATCGTCAACCCGGCCCGAATAGCTCGGGAGAAGTCATCTCCCGGGTCTTTTTCCTCATCCAAACCGTCCCGGACGACCTTGAACGGCGGCCACGACTTGCCGTGACGTAAAGCCTCATCGCGCTCCTCAATCGTCTTCTCCAGGCCGACCAAGGCAACGCGAATGGCTTCAAAGCTTTTCCTCTCCAGCATCAAAGGGCGCTCCAGCTCCCCGGACATCTTCAAGAGGATTCTTTGCGCCTCCCAGATGCGGTCCATGTATTGGCGCGCGGAGCGATCGGGGGCAGCGGCAAACATCTGAAGAGCTTCATTGTAGGCCTCATTCTGTGCCGCGTGCACCCTGTTCTCTGGCAGTATGCTAGGAATGGTCGTTCGGATGTGCGCCTCCATCAGTTTGGCGAGGAGGGGATGAGATCCGGCCACACCCGACAGCAGTGGAAGGCCATTCTCCGCATCGGGATCATAAAGGCTTGGCCTCCCCGCAGGCCAAAACTGGTATCCTTGTGGCCATACCATTTTGCGAGATACCTCACGAGCGAGGCAAGCGACTCTCTCTCGGTAAACACAGCGTTGGGTCTAAGCACAAGATTAAGCAGGGGCACAGGGTGGCAGACGTCGGAAGAGACGAATCTGTCCACCATTTCGTCCGCATTGGGGGCATCCAGGATATACTGCCATCTTTCCACCGTGGTACGGCAGTAATCAGCGCGCTCGGCTTCTTTGAGTATGCTTTCTTGCGTCCTATACTTCTGGAACCGTTCGTCCTTGGCGAGTAGTAGCTTGGAGAGGAGCACGGGTATCCGCAGGCGAGGGTAGGCGAGGATGAAGCGCGCGGCATCGAGAAATTCGGCATCGCTCAGATTTGTCACCCCGTTATCCAAGAGGCTCAAGAGAATCGTGGAAGGGTCTTCCGGCAGTCACCCCTTTCTCCAGCTCGCCCCGTCCCTGACGCAACTCAGCGGCCCACCGTCCATCATCCTCAGGGGCACTGTCTATATTTCCAGTTTGGCCTCTCTCTTGTTTAGATTGCTTACGTCGATCCCATATGCTCCGGGGCTGCCGCTCTCGGATGCGCGGGCCCTTGGTGCCCTCGCCGGGTGTTTGTATTGCCGAGTCTTCTGGTGGAGCATGACTGCTAGCCCTGGTCTCTGGAGGCTCGGGGATTTCGGTATTGGAATTTTTCGCGGATTTAAAGACTTTTAGTTCGTTGCTTATTTAGCGGTTGTCGAGCGCCGGGAGAGGGTTTTTGCTTCACTCGAGGAGTCGGGCGTAGTCCACCTCCATCGACACGGGCTGTATGGCTCGAGGTTGATAGCGGTCTATTCCCTCGAGTCTCCCCAAGTTCTAGGGCAGGATTTGGCCCGCCAAGTGGCACCGTTGCTCGGTCTGCGGAATTCGTCTGAGTCGCAGCAGAGGCTGCATATGCGGAGCGGGTTTGGAGTCGCCGTCGAGTCCAATGCTAAGCAGAAGAGAGGGACGTTAGTAAACCCCTTTTGGGAATTCTAATGCACAAGGGCGTCAAGACCCACGATCGAACATGCGCCATTACAGCGCATTACCAAAGGCGACACATGGCCGCCAATCTTAGGAGCCGCCGCAAGAGCATATGGCTGGTTCGCAAGCTTATGGTGGAAGCATCGAGGGCGCCCACTGCAACCCGCAGCTGCTGTAACGGAAATGGTGAAGACCTAATATCAATTTGCCCTAATTCCGCGACAAGGGCTCGAATTAGTCGACGATCGGTTTCTAGGCCAAACAACTTGAATCGCTATCTCGCGCCGTCATTGAACTTGGGGCTCCCAGACGCGCGAGGTCGAGAGCTTGAACCTTCCAAATAATTTTGAGATCACGTGGAGATAAGATAGTGACTTGCAGGGGACTAAAATAGTGGATGCACCATGACAGCTGAGGAATGGCGAGCATTTTACTGGATCTTCACCTCCGAGCCCCGAAAAGGCCGTAAGTTTTCAGGCACACGCTTCCGAGGTTGCCTTACATTGCAACTTTTTCTCTTTCTCCACGTTTTTTTGGTTCCCTATTGGAGGACCCTTTCTTGTCAATTCCGCTTCCCATGCAGCTGTATACATTTTCTCTCCAGTAGCTGTGAGAAACCTCCAATTCACTCGCTTCAAGATAAAATCCAGAGCAGCGACCCCACGGCTCTCCTCACAACCGCCGCCCGACCGCCTTTTCTCTCCACGATCCCCCCTCCCTACGGGTCCCTTTCAATGGCGCCGACCCATCAATAATGCGCTCCACCACATATACACGTATGACGGCCCGGGCAACACTCAGCCGCCCGGCGGCCACCCCCACCGAGTCCTCTCCACCACCGCCGCGCGGCCGATGCTCACGACATGGACCCTCGCCTCGACCTCCTCCCCCGCGCGCGCCTACGCCGCTCCTTCCACCCAACCCCCGCCTTCATGCCCCGCCGCCGCGACTTCTTCACCTCCAACGTCTACCTCCAGAATAAAGAACGCTTCGAGCGAGGCCCCAGCCACGCCAACAGCGAAGAAGCGAGCGGCGCCGACGTGGACCCGGCCGCCCCCGGCGCGCACCCGGCGAAGCGCAAGGCCCGCACAACGGGCGTCAAAAGTCTCTGCGCCGCGTCGCCATCATCGCCCAGCAGCCGCCGACCAGCCGGTCCGCGACGTCCCGCGACGGCGGCGGCGGCGGCGGTGCCCCTCACCGGCCTTGATCAGCGCCGTCTGCGTCGCCGAGGGCTTCAACATGACGGCGGTGCCCCGCCTCCTCTCCGACCGCGGCTACGAGATCGACCCGGACGGCACGGGCTTCGAGGCCGCCGAGGTAGTGCACGCCCGCGACCCCGAGACCGGCGCCGACATCTTTGTCTTTCCCTCGGGCACCGTCGTGACTTGGTCCCTCCCGACCGAGGAAATCGTCGGATACCTGCTCGAGGCCGCCGAAGACCTGCACGAACCAAGTCGCCGCGAAGCCGAGGATCTAGACTACGTATACGACCGCTCGCGCGACACAAGCCTCATCAAAGACGACCTCGTCGTCCTCGGCACCCGTCGCGAGGCCACACTCAACCACTCTTCCCCACCTCTTCCGCATCCGGCCCCGCCAGCGCCTCTCTCGACGCAAACACCCACGACGCCGAGCCCTCGCGCCTCAACACCACCCTCGCCAAAGTCGCCTTCTCCTCCGGCCTCGCCCGATCCACCAAGCTCGCCGTCCTCGAGGCCGACCTAGCCTCCTACTTTGAGCAGACCCGCTCTATCCCCTCCATCCTCTCCCAGGGCTCCCGCCTACGCCTCTCCCGCGCCTTCATCCACCAAAGACGGGTGAGCTCCTCAGCCTCTCCGCCCGCCTCAACAACTACTCGGAGCTCACAGACTCCCTGCCCGACATCTTTTGGGACAGCCGCTCCGAGCTCGGCCTCGAGGGCTACTACGACCAGGTCGGCCGCGCCCTCGACGTCAACGTCCGCATCCGCACCCTCAACCAGCGCCTCGACTACGCCCAGGACATTGCTAGCGTCCTGCGCGAGATGTCGAGCGAGCGCCACAGCACCCGTCTCGAGGTCATCATCATCCTCCTCATCGCCGTCGAGGTCGTCTTCGAGCTCAGGCGGGAGTGGAAGGAGCACAAGGCCCAAAAGGCAAAGGCTCTCGAGGCTAACACCGTTGTGGTTACTACCTAAGCGGGAGGTGTAAGAAAAAAATAAGAACTACGAGCTAAAAGGGAAAAAAAAAAAAAGAAAAGGCCATGCAGCAAGTCATAGGCGGAATTCATAGACACATTCTCGAAAGCATGAGCGAGCTCGGCGCAATCCCACGTCTTTGTTAGCTTGAGAACATATTAGCGCTGAAGAACATCGGCATTGGCTTCCATCATTGGATCATGAAAGCTGTAACCAACATGTATTAGTACTAAACAAGATCGCCCATGAACGGGCAACGACCGATAATGATTAGATAGACCACTCCGCTAAACCAAAAATAGCATTCATATTTCTCAGAACTCTCTTACACTGACTGCTCACTTCTTCCGCTCGATGAATTTGAGATGCGCCTCATGCAAAAAGACCGTGATGGAAACAAATTGTAGCCCGTTGAATTCCGATAATTTTGGTAAAATATTAATAGATACAAGAGCGCGCTCTAATTCTCACCCAAAGCAACCTTTTCTTTCAATCCTTACATCCACCGAAGCAGAACTATCTCGATCTGCGTAGTCTTCTCCAAATCATCTCAATCCATCAACACCCCTGACCGCCTCAACGTGGAAGGCGTCTTGAATTTTTCTTCTCCGGCCTATTGATACTCTCCCAACCCGGCTCTCGAACATCTGCATCCCGCAACATCTATGCCGGACCAAAAGGGCGAACAATCGAGTGTAAAAGAAGGTAAAAGAGGGAGAAGAGACTCCATGAAATGGGGAAGAGAGTCGAAAGACGACGGTTCGCCAACCCAATAATTAAGAAGCCCCACAAAAGAAGAAAAAGAAGAAGCAAAACAATGGGAAGAAGAGAAGCGAAACAAGACAATACACGAACATGGACACCACGTTCCATCCATACCAAAACGCCTGCCGAATCATGCCGTTTCCTTTCCCATGGAATCAAAGCATGCGTCCACCCGGACCGGAGATATTCGAACAAGAAAATAACTAGAAAAGCAGCAAAAGGGGATGAGTGTATATGCTGTGGATGCGTGCGTGCGTGCACGCATGCGTGAGCGATCAGGAACCTCATTGACGTGTTGTTACGAAATCGACAGGTCCGTTCCAACCTATTCATCTCCGTATTTATTGGCTCATGGGAACCGGTCCGTCTGGCCGAGGCATCATTTGAGGCGCCGGTTGCGGGGTCAGACCCTGCCTCTGATCGGGCTGGCCAAGGTGGACAGGAGACGCCCTAGGCACCGATGGGATGATTGGGACGGGAACGGGAGAAACCTTGGCTGGAATCTGGTGCTGGACGATGGGGGAGCCACCTTGAGAACCACCGTTCATGATCCTATGCTGCACGGGGGCACCTGCTGAAGCACACCCGGCATGTTGGGGCGCGCAGGAACGGGGGCCGGTGAGCGGTTCATTGTCTGCCCAACACCTAGCCCAATTCCGGCGAGACCGGACACGGGCGAATTGTATCCGCTGTTTCCATCCCTAGCCGCCGCGCGCGCTTGCTCCAGCATGCGCTGCTGTTGGCTGTCCGTCATTACTGTGTGGTATCCAGTGAGTCCAGGGGCGGTGCTAACACCACTAGGCATATGCGGCGTTCCCGAAACGCTCGCAGCCCGAGGCATCGGGGACCTGTGTACGTTTTGCATCTGGTGCTGAACAGGGTGCCATAGCGCTGCGGCGGCGCCTGCTGGACCTGTTGCACCTGTTGCTGGACCTGTTGTTGGACCTGTTGCTGCTGCTGTTGCTGCTGGTACGGGTTTGGTGCATAGCCTTGGGGCTGTTGGGGCATGTGCGGTGACGCTGTGCGTTGCGGGACGCCGCCGTTGGGGTAGGCGGCATACTGAACCGGAACTCGGGGTACCTGCTGTTGCGGGTATGCTGGCTGCACTTGCTGAGCAGGCTGAACCTGCTGGTATGGGTTGGCATACGTCGCACTTGGGCTTCGATGCTGGGGTGCGGCAGCATAGGGTGCAGGGAGGGCTGCGGCCGCTGGTTCGGGGTGTGGTGCTGCATGCCTTGATGGCCGTACGGCGTCTGGGTCTTAGCTAGCTGAGGAGCAAATGGCGCAGTGTAGCCATTGGCTCGATACTGCTGGCTTATGGCCCTTTGCGGCTGAATGTGGTGCTGCGAGGGCGACTGTTGGGGAGGAATGGGCCGAGGCGGTTGGGCCTGAGGCGAGGGGACCGGCTGGCTCGATACGGACCTGTAATAGTGAGTCTGGGGAACGGGGGTCCTGGCTTGCGGGTGAGGCGTGTACTGAGCGGGATTGCCAGGGTGGTACTGATTAGCGTTATATGGCGTCGCATTGTGAGCACGATGCGCGGATGCGCGCGAGGCAGCGTTCGTGTTGGCGGCCTGCTGCATCTTTTGTTGTTGCTGCTGTTGTTGCTGCATCTTATGCTGGACTTCCAGCCTCAAACGTTCCTGGGCCGCGGCCTCATCCTCCGCCATGATACCGTTGTACTCTTCGAGCTCGATGGGGACCCTTGTGCTCACGAGCAAGTCATTCAGCTGGTCTCCCTGCAGCTTCGCAACGGCGTAAGGTGGTAGGCTCCGAATGATGGATTGCAGCAGGGTCTTGAGCGTCTCATAGGTGGCGAGCTCATCCTCGGACGGCGAAGGCAGTTGGCTGTTGGTAAGCATATCTGTCTCACCTACAGCCAGCCTGTTGGTGGAAGTAACAGACTTGGTGATGTTGCGGATGTGCTGGAACGAGGAAAGGGTGAGAATCAGATCATGCACCTCTTCAAGCAAATCGTCCACGTCCTGGTCAGCGGCGGTCTTCACGGTGGCCGGTGGTGGCTCAAACACAGTCATCTTTGCATCGTCGCCCAACTCCGTGATCACAGTTTCGATGAGAGCCGGATCAATCTCGATTTCCACAGGTTTCGCCTCAATCGCCTTATCAATAGTCTCCCCTCTTCCGTCGAGTCTGGCGCGCCATCCTGCTTCGGCCAATATCGAGCCGGGATCAGGTCGTAGAACTCATACTGTCCCTTTTGCTGCCACCAGATACGACCGGCGAGAGTTGATGGAACAACGGCACCCGAGTCATCGCGGGACGGGGAGAAACTTGAAAGGCAGTCCGGAAAAGGGACTCCATTTCCGACATTTCCAGTTCTGTTGATGATGGCTTGTGGCCAGCCAGGCTCTGTGCTCGCTCTCTCTGCTTAGTTTTGATAGGTGATTCGACGGTAGCCTTTGTATAATCGAGGTAGTGGCCGACAGACAAGACCTGATTAGGGTATGCATTCGACCACTTCGTCCAAGGATTGTGAGGTTTCGGTTGCTGGAAGCCAAGCACGTTCTCTTTGGCGTTGGGCTTCGCCTGTGCCTGTTTCGCGGCTGTGGGCATAAGAGGAAGGCGGTTCTTGGGTGCAGGAAGGGTTTCGCCAAGTGTCTTGGGTACTTTAACGGGCAGCTTCTTCTCGACACCATCCCCGCCCGAGATCATGACGGTTGACTTGATGCCGGATGGAAGCTTGTGCGCGAGCGTTTCCGTCCTGTCCAATACGTCTTTGGTCGTGAGAGGGCTTGCGAAGAGCGTGATGGGCTCCTCATTTCGACCGGGAACAGTGACCGCAAGCAGATTCTGTTTCGTCGGAGTGGGCGAGGTGATTGGCTTCGCGTGAGGGTATGCGATCTCAAGCTTGCAGTATTTGCGGCATTGGTTATGCAGAGTAAACACGGCCTGGGTCTGCTCGAGGGGAAGGGAACTTGTGAGGCGCGAGCGAGTGATCGCCGTCAAATCATTCGCCAGCTCTTGAATATTCGCATACACTCCTTGAGTGACCCTCTCGGCGATGGTTTCTGGCGGGGGCTTGTCGCATCTTCGGACCTTGCGCGCTTTGCAGGTGGAGCGCCGTCCACCGAGGGGACAGGTTGTGTAAAGGCTGAAGGGGTCAGGTCATATCTGTACCGAGAAAACTCGCAAAGTCAGTAAGATCAAGGCGGAGGCCGCAGCAAAAGCCGCACGAAGAGAGAGACGCGCTCCTGGGGGATGAATGATGGCCTCTTCGCAGATGAGAAGAGGGTGGTCAAACATGCGAGAGATGATGGCACGGTAGAAAATAGATGGGAAGTGGAGGGCAAAAGCATGAGGAGGGTAAAAGGCCAGGAAAATGAACGAGGTTTGATAAGCCCACCTTTGGAGAAGCTTTAGAAAGGTCTCGATCTCCGCCTTGGTGTGTTTTAGGGCGGGTGCGGAAGAGCCGTTGATGGCTGGCGTTCCATTGGAAGTCGGCCTCTCGCCCTGCGCGGTTTGTCCGGCATCAGTTTCATCGTCGCGTTTTCGCTTGCTGGCGACGGCGATGGACATGTCGGCGGGCTGCTGGGCGTGTTGCTGGGCGTGTTGCTGGGCTTCTAGAGATTGGATCGCGGGCGAAGGCTGATGCTCAACCTTGACGGAGTCGTGGGTGGTAGGCCCGTTCACCTCGGCCACCCCTGGCTGCGCCATGGCTGCGTTGTGGGTGAAAAGGTCGGGTCGTCGCTCCGATAACTTGGCGATGGAGCGCGACTCGATAGGCTCGGCGCGGACAGGTAGGCTCCTGTGATGGAAATATCCGAGTTGGCGAGGACAAGAAGCGATGGGAGGAAAAAATGGGTCGTGGATGGAATGTAACCTTTTTGACGAGAAGAAAACGAGATGGGACGAGGACAAGTGGACGTAAGGGGGATGGGGAGGAAAGGATGTGGCGGGTGATGAAATAAAGGTAAAATAAAGACAATCAATGTGGCCGTGTTCTGCAGGACAAGATGAGCGAGCCGGCGTTGAAGGCGTCGAGTCGGTTCGTCGATAAATCGCGACGCGCGCTGGATTTTGGTGGAATTGGAAAGGTTCCAAAAAAGCGTTTTGGAGGGGATTTTGGCTCCTTGCTGACTATTGCCGTTTGGCTCTGGCTCAGGACCCGGACGATGGCCGGTCACAGCTCTCTTTTTTCTCCTTTGTGCTAGTGAGCTGGTTGGCTGGTGGCTCTAGGCAAGAGCGTAAAATTACGTGCAGAGGGGGAAGAGATGTGCTGCGCGAGGCGATGTCAACGTGCTGGAGGTTGGTGCGAAGGGGTGAGGCGTCCTTTCGCGGCAACAGAAAGAAATGGGGGAAGGAAAAAAATAGGACCAGGTCAGTTCCCACTGTGAGAGATCTGGCTGTTGGCAAGCTCAAAGTGGAGGAAGGAAACCCCAGTCTGAGCTTCCCTCGGCGGCGCTGGGGAAAGATAGGCTCAAAACTGCTCACTAGCAAATCACAGTGAGCGAGGCCACTCAATCTGTTAGGGCGGAAGAAAAGAGATAGGAGCCAGGGTCTCCACAAGAACGGCAAACACACGGGCAAACAGAGACACCTCAATCTCTATCAGAAAAAGCGAGGCAACAATAAGAGAAATGGAAAAGAGGGAAACAGCCAGCCGCGTTTTTTTATCTACGTGCCTGACCCTTTCCCAACAGGTGATAGAAACGTCAAAATAATTGGAGGGCCATGCAGAGAAAATTCGGCCATGGACGGGAACCCCAGAGTACACTCATGACTGTGTCAATGGCCACAGCAGACAACATGAATCCGATGTGAGGAGATCAAGGGAGCAAAGTACCCATGTCACTTTTTCAAAGGTGGTGGGTCCCTCAAGCACACGCTTATCCTTTTTCGGAGACCTCTACGACATGTAGTCACGTGAGTCTTCCCGTCCGTCATCGCGCGCCGGTTTGGCCTGCCAACCGGGGGCTTGTGGTTCATGTCACAGATCCAGCGTGGAATGCGTAGGAGAACTGAGCCCCAGAAATGGGCTTTGAGGAACGATAGCTGCGATACCTAGGGATGCAAAGGTTTTGACCATCCACTGGCGGGTTTCACTGTCAGCGGCCGCCATATACGCAGATGTGCAGCGAAATCGCAGTATTAGCGGCAACCATGAATGATCTCCTTCTTTCACCCATAGCCATGGTAAGGGTAATATCAAAGCCACATAATTCGACGCCGGATTATCAAGGATCACGGAGCGCAGGTTATATACATGTCTCACCTTGCCAAACCCCAGGGCCGAGCTCTAACCCAATCGGCAGTATCTCCCAAGGCGCATATGTCAAGCAGGCAAAGAGACCCGCCAGTGGCCTTTTACAGGGATTTCCACCGCACCATCAGCTGGCGAGCTTTGATGATTGGTATCGAGCTGCTGAGTTGATCTCGCATTCCTCGCCAAAGGCTGCAGTGATGTGTGTCAATTGATCGGTGCAATACAACCGAATCGGGTTTACGCTAATTAGTATTTGACAATGACAAGGCTTAAATCAGAGGTAGTTCCAATGGGGCAGCGAAGACGGGAACACGGCACGCCGAACTGGGTGAAAAGAATTCAACAGCTAGTTACTTCCTAATGCTAATCCGTAAACCCCGTATTCCATGCTCTGAGATTGTGGCGTTCTTGAGGTGAATGTGCCTTGCTCTCGGTAAGGGTTTGATCTGGGGCTGGTATTGTCACGCGAGAAGCTAAGAGATGGTCCGCTAGAGGAGAGAAAAAAACAAGGAGACAATGTTATAGTCCCCTGGTCCTGTGGCCCCTTTGCACATATTCCTCTGGTCCTCGCCCCTCCAACTAGCTTCACTTACACAAATCTCGGGCCTGCATTACTATGTGCCACGCCGATCCCTTCAATTGAAGGGAATTCCAAAACTAACCATATGCGTTACTGAGAAACGAGAAACGAAAGCAAAGCGAATAAAGAAAAGGGGAAAAAAGGCCAACCAGTAAAAAGAAAAAGGGCACCGGGATATGAGGAGATGGTACAACGCCTAACTCTTACGCCTTGGCCTTGGCAACACCGACGCGGTGGTTGCCGAGGTCATAGATGGAGTAGTATCGGCGGAGGAAAGCATCTCCAAGAATGGCCAGGGGCCGGTGGGGGCGGGGAAGTCCATGCCCTGGAAGGTAGAGATGCAGCTACCCTGAAGCTCAAGGATGTAGTCGTCGGCGCTGAGGGGGAACTTGTAGCCGGCAAGCTCAAAGGTGATGTCGGGAAGCTCGCTCTTGCGGCTGCAGTCAATGGTGTACTGGCCGTTGTAGCCGCGCTTGGCGCCCATCTCCTTGTTCAGGAGCTCGGCAAGAGAAGAGGGAAGGATGTTAAGAGAGGTACCGGTGTCAAGAATGACGCCAGTGTCCTCGAGCTCGGCAACCTCGTCGCCATAGGCGATAGAGTCGAGATCGACCTCCCAGTAAGCCTTCCTGCGGAGGGGAATGTAGGTGATGTCACCATCAATGTGGGACTTGTCGATACCACCGAAGATGGCCTCGCTCTCACCCTCCTCGTTGGCGAGGTAGAAGGCAAAGACGGGCTCATCAATGATGCCCTGGTTGACCATGTTGTAGAAGGGGAACCATGCGGTTGACAGAGATGGTATCATAGCCGAGACCGAGGATACCGTCGAAGCGGCCAAAGGCAAAGGCAAGACCGGGCTCCTTAGTCGCCTCGGCAAAGTCTTGGTTCTTGATCTTGAGGTCACCAATGGTCATGGTGTCCTGGGAGACGAAGCCTGAAAGGCTGCCAGAGCCATAGTGAATCTCGAACTCGGTGCCATTGGCCTTGTAAGTAGAGGACTCGCCAGAGTCGTACTTGTTGTGGAGGTAGCAAGCGATGCTTCCGCACTTGACCGAGGAACCCAAAGGTTGGAGCTACCCGTATCCAGGACAACCTTGAAGGTCTGGGGAGGGCTTCCGATCGTGATCTCGGAGAAGTCTGGTAGAAAAGACATGGGTCAGCCCGCTAATTCAGCGACGGGTCCTATCAAGCACTGGGTGGGAGACACTAGGACACTAAAGCAAGTACAATGGTATACGTACATTGAGCGTTGAGGAAGTTGCTCACGGGAACGGGGTGACCTCCGTTGGCTTCGACATTAGTGTTGAAGACGGCATCGAGGTGATCCCTGATCTCAGAGCGAGCACCGCCCATATACTTCTGGCCGATGTTCTGGACCTGGGCCTCGATGGGGACGCTGGCCTATAGTCGGGCACGGTTCTCGGTCAGCCATGTTTCGCCACTTTGGAAGACGGCGAAAGGAAAAGCAGCCTCGGCTGGAAAGCGGAGGGCTGTTCAAGACTGTTACTTACCAACTGCTCCTCGAGGGAGATCTTCTTCAACTTCATCTTGTGGACGGCAGCCTGAGAGGAGCCGAGCAGCACAGCTGCGGCGACGAGGGCGGACTTCATGATGGGCGGTGGGTAGCGCAATCGGAGGCTTCTGAAACGCTGCGAACGAGGTCGGAGGAGAGGGAGGTCGACTCAACCAAAAACAACAAAAGCTTCAGATGAAAATGGGGTATAGATGATGGGCGAGATGCTGACAATAAAAAAATATATGTGCAAGCGTCGAGGAGGAGCACGGTCAGACGAGAAGGGAAATCAGGTCCTGTGTTGTGTTTTGATGCTGGAGGAGGATTGGGGAGGAGGAGTTGGGAGGAAATGGGATGACGACGATGATAAGAGGCCGGGTCAGCCTGGGGGCTCTGGGGGGCCGGGAACTGGTCTCGTCAAATAGGCAGTAGCATAACAGCAAGTAAGGTACCGCAACCGGGGAGACTCAATGACTAGACTTGTTGTTGGTACCAGGGTTGGGGTAGTTTCGGCGAGGGGGCAACGGGCCATTGGACATGTCTTGTGTACTTAATAAGGTGGTGGCGAAAGCGTACGTAACTAGTGTACCTCGGTACGCCTCCAAGAGGCAGGTACCAGGCAAGCCGAAGCGTCACTGCGTTTCTTGAAGGAGTTGGGAGGGAGGCCAACTTCAGCGCAAGTCAGCCAAACACCCTGGTAGCTAAGCTGGCGGTGGTGGGCACCTGGGCCACACCAATTGATGGGCACTTGAGCCCCCGAGGGAGTTGCTCGACCTTGGCGATTGCATCCCAAGCTCCGACACCGTGCCAGCAGCTAAGCTCGGTTCGCCAATTCAATGGACAATTGCCTGAGTACCTTTTTTGGCGCCCCATCTCCGTCCCTCGTGACGCAATTGCGTCCCCAATCCTCTCCACCCGAGCTTGTCCTCCGTAACAAGTCATGTCCCAGTTTGACCTAGCGGTATTATCGCCAGGCCAAACCCGGCACAAATGGATCATGGATCAATCCAAACTGCCCATCGGGAGAGGATTGACTTGCCTTTCTCTAAATCCTACGGAGAGATAAAACGGCCCTGCCATCTCATTCACAGAGCTTAACGGAAAGAAGAAAGAAGAACAAAGAAAAGAACGAGTGGCAACTCAACCTCGCTCGTCGGACCCGGGGAGGGGGCAAAACACCTCTTATTACCTCAGTGTTAAAAGCGAGTGAGACCCTGTCCCCAGCTTTTGCTGGCATAGTCCGAAGCTCTCGAGGCTCCGAATCCCAAAGGGCGAAGAAAACGTCCGCTACTTGTTTGGCCAAGCGGGGATGTTTTATCAGATCAGGTGGTCACCCACCCTTTTCCATCCTTCTCCTCCCCCGCACGCTTTAAGCAAGGAAACCGAGCTGCCTGCTCAGGAACCGGGCAGGAGCTGCACTTCGGGTCTGTCGCGGCCCTGTTCTAACCACAAGCAGAAGGGTCGTCTCCGTTGGGTTGTCACTGCACATCGCGGATATGAAGGCGCATAACTCTACAACATCGCGCGCTTGCGTGAGTTATTCATTAGAACTGCTAGAAAACAGAGAAAGGAGGATCCATGAAGAATGCATGGATGCACAGAACGCAAAGTAATCTGGTCTAATATCTTATATATACTAGAATATCTTGAAATATATTGACTAACTCAGTGGTCTCAAAATGTAGTTTATTCTATTTAGTCTTTCTTCATGATAAATGTTTTCCTTAAAGTCCCCCCACCCATACTCCGTTCAGATCTATATAGACTCGGATGAAGCCGGATGTAATGGATCGCAGGACGAGTTGCTGAGTAGCCGCCTGTCCAACACACAACGTCTATAGCTCATGGTTCTACACTCCACCACTTTGCCGATGCAGCCACCCGTACATGTTCACGCAAGCGAGGCAAATGAAATTCAACGATACGGCGTCTCTCATTCAACCATCTACTCTATCAAAGAACGAGCTCCCTAAACGGAGCAACAAGGCCGCCTCCCCTTTCACGCCAGAAACGATAGCTTAGTCCCGAAATCAAACGCTCATCTCATCAACCCAACCAACCCACGCCCTTCGCTATCATCACAGGCGCCCCGTGTGCTTTTCTCGCCCTACACCCGCTCTGAGCAATTTATCGCTGTGCATCTACAAGCTATTCCATAGTAAGCTTGGTAGAGCGAACAGTCGTGAGGAAAAAAGAACAAGCTTGCATGGAACAAGCCAACAAGAGTGAAAGGAAAAGACGGAACTAGAGAAAAAAACGCAAGGAGAAATAAAAGAAAACGAAAGAAAAGAAACCAGACCAGCCCCAATTCACCCATGTTTCCCATTTGGTCAGTTTGCTGCTCCGTTGCATCGCTTCCACAACCCGTTTTCTCTCCATCCCGCCGGTCCCGGGCCACTACCCAAGATCATAGACGGGCCCGTTGCAAACTTGGACACCTTACACGCCGTGAAAAGGAAACATGTAAGAAGCTAAAATGAACTGAGAGAATGATATGGGTCGTACACAGAGGCTCTTCTCCGGGAGGCGATCGCGACTGCCGCTTCCTGTACCCGATTAATCTTGAAGTAGCATGGACTTGTAAAAAAGAAAAAAATGAAACCGTGGCCTGCATGCATCGAGGCTGCTCGTCTCGTTCGCGTGTGCGTCAGCCTGATGAAGAAGGCAAAGGAAAATAAAACGCCGCCGACAACCCTCGTGGTATTATGTAGAAGCCGTGCGCAATTGATGTAAAAAGTGTGCGTGTGAACGAGGACACATGCAGAGGCGCTCACGGGATGCGCTGCCCCTACAGATGCACCACTGAGACCAATGTGAATTTGTGAAGAGAAGAAAAAACAAGCCGAAGACTGACGGAACAACGATTTTTTTGGAAACAATGAACAAAGAAAAGGGATAAGGAACCATGACAAAGGAAAGTAACAATACAGTAATGATACCACAGGAAGGAGCAGAACTGGAGCCACCAACGTGCTGCTCTTTCCTCACCGATCGATGCTCTCGGGGCTCATCATGCCGTTCGGCTCCTCCTTGTCCGTCTGGCTTGCGTTCCCCTGACTCTGCATGCTCTCAACTCTCTCCATTGACGGCGCGGCGCGGGCCAACGCGCCTAGATTGGGCCCCGACCCGTTGAGGTTGGGTATGTTCTTCAATTTCTTGGCCGGTGTAGTGTTCGCTGACGCACCTCCCTTCTCAGGCGAAGCATTCAGCTTCCCCTCAGCCATCTGCGCCTCCAGCTTCTTCTTCTTCCGCGCGAGAGCGATTTGCTCCTTAAGAGGTCGCTTCTGCGGCGACGAGATCTTACCCGTGGCACCGAGGCGTGGACGGGGCCGCCTCTGCTTCGGCGGTAGATCCTCGTCCTCGATCAAAGGCTGGTCGCTATTGGCGTGCAGCTTAGCCAAGAAGAAGTTCTTAACGAGACCAATGTGCTCGTGAATGCTCTCCTTCGTGACCGGCTCGTAAGGCGGGAGCGTGGCCAAAAGATCGACGTTAGCGGCACCAGACGATTGAGCCTGCTGGAACTGGCTGCGGACGCGAGACTGCAGGAGATGCAAGGGAACAGACAAGGTATCCAAACCCAGCTCCCTCTCCAGTCCGAGGTTGCGGAAGCCAAAGAAATCTTCGCCTAGCTCCTCCGCGAAATCACCGCTCACGAACTGCTCGCTGCCATCCTTGAAGGCCCCGGCTCCGTCAGCACCTGCGTCTGACTGAAGAGCCGGGCGAAGAAGATCGGCCAAGTGACCCTTCATGCGGTCGTGTATGCCCGTCAGCTTCGTGCCAAGTCGCGTGACATCATCTCGCGCGTACGTCTCGAGGGCGCCAACGTCACAACCGTTCTCATCCAGGGTATGAAGAAGAATTTCTTCCGGCGTAAAACGCGGCTGAAACTTGCCACTGGCGTTGACGGCCGAGGACTTCTTCTCAGCCTCGCGATAGAGGTTGAAGGTGCGGATCAGCTTTTGGAAATAATCTGCCGCTGCGTTGGTGAGCGTGTCAACGGCAGCCGGTTGTAATTCCTCAAAGCCAGCATGGTATAGAATCTTGCCGACGGAGCGCTTGAGGGCGTCTTGGCACGTCTCCCGCGCCATAACAGGTCCCTGATCCGAGATGAAATGCTGATTGACATCCGCTTCGATGAACGGATCGTAGTTGGATCTTGGAAACTGGTTCGCGTAGACCTATTTTTAAACCTTGTTAGCGGACGGGCACCGATTTTGAACGAGTTGCCTTATTGGAATGCAATGCCTACCTGGGACTGGATCTGCATCTGCCTGATCACCGCGATCTTGGTTGACAACCTTCGCGTCTCCTGTATCTGGCGGATATTCGACTCCATCTTTTTCGTAAAGGTGCTCTGAGGGGATCTGAAGTGATCCGGGGGTACGACGGAGAGCGACCAGTCATGATGGTTGATGACCTGGCCCTCGCCATCCTCAGTCCAACGGAGTGAGGGCACTACACCAGGAACGAGGCTCACTGGCTCGTAATAATCGGGTATCACTTTGACCTCCTCACCCTCCATTTCCTCAGCAAGGGTCTCGTTGGCCTGGGGTTCGCTTTCTTCTTGAGCGGACGGGTCAGCCTGCCGGTCTTTTGCCACGGCCTGTCTCTCGGCTTGCTTCTGGCCTTTGACGAATCGCCGCATCGCCGCGCGTGATCGCAGGAGAGCGGGAGCATCAACGTTCAACGTGTTGTCCTTGAACAAAGCAGACCGCTCCTTGGCCACGAGCGCTCGGTCCTTCTTTGTGACTTGCTTCCAGATCTTGTACTCTTCGTCCTCGTACACCTGGGCTGCGACTTCACCAAGAGCCTCCCCTAGCGCCATCTCATTGAGTGAAGGCCCATCAAGGTCCATCGCATCAGCACCGCTGCCAACGCCCCCAATGCCATTGATGCCGCTCGGAGTCGCAGAACCACCCAGAGGAGTTCCAAATCCATTGCTACCGTCAACCTCGGAGCCTTCTCTACCCTGCTTTCCTAGCAGACCGTTTAAAAGGGGCTTTTGGTCAATGATGGGGGTGCCTTCCTTCTTGTTAGCTTGGGATTTGCGAGTCTTGTTCAAGCCCTTCGAGGCCGCCCCGCGGCCGCGAGAAGACATGATGGGTTCGTCGTCGGAATCTTCCCCGCCATCATCTTCTCCTCCGTTTTGTTTTCGCCTTTCCTCTGCCTCGACTTCGGCTCTAGGGCGAATGACAAGGTCCGGTATCAGAGGGATTAATTTTTCGGCTTCCTTCCTCATGCCATTGGCCATACGTCTCAGCGGATGGTTCATATCTTGGTTATACTTGAGGCAGTTATCCCAGATGAGATTGAGATCGGTCACGAAATCGGTCTTGGATTTGTAGGTCAAGGATTTGAGCTTCTTTGTCATCGAACCCATATCCATGGGTTGTTTGATGACTGGGAGGGTAGCGGAGCGTTAGTTTTTGATTGCGCGACGAGGCCACCGCCATACAAAGAGGGATGTGCTTACAGTTATAGTAGTCGGGGGCATCCCGCTTATTGACCTTTGTCAAAAGGGAGTCGAGTACTCGGTATGCGCCTTGAGCTCCGTCAAGACCTTCTCTAGCGCTTCGTAAAGCTCCTCTTGGTTCACATTCTCCTCACTCGCCCATTTGCTTCGGTTCTTTCTAACTTCGTTCATGAGGAGGCGTAGCTCGGCGTCAGAAGCACGAACTTGATCGCGCTTCATATCGATACGGGCGATGAGGTGTTTGAGTGTGAGGCTGGACGCGCCCAGGTTGGCGCTACTAAGCGACCCGTGGCCGTTTTGCGCATTGGCATTGGCACCCGCGACAATACTAGACGTGTTGTTATCCATTTCCGCTTGAAGCTGCTTTTCGGATTCTTCCAGCTGCTGTTGCTCAATCATGGCGGTCCTATCATTTTCAAAAGTGTAGAAAAGGGTATGGAAACTCTTGCGGACTTCTTCTTCAGTTGCATTGCGCGCTTCTTCGAGAAGTTTTCGCGCGTCCTCGCTTGTTTTGGGTTGATTCTGTGATGAATTGCCGTCCTTTGACCTGTTGGCGGGTGATGTGGCTGATGGTATCGCCGGACTATCGGACTTGGATGGGGATAGGAGACTGGCGGCCGCGGCAGTGGAGGCATCGGCGGCGCTCTTGCTCTTAGTCGGAGACCCCATCGCGGGAGGGTTGTTGTCTTCGTCTTCCTCATCATCGTCATCATCGTAGTCATCTTCGTCAATGGTTCTCTTGACCTTCTTGCGCGGTGGCTCCTCGATAGGGGCATGGTCGGTAGTGGGGAGCAGCGAGGTAGAAGCCGCGGGGGCATGGACAGGGCGCTCGAGTTCGGAGATCGCGGCATCATTGTAACTACCGTCCTCTCCAAAGAGCAGCGCAATCTTCGCCTCGCTCTTGCGATAGAGGTCGGCGAAGTGAGCGCGTCTGCCATCATCTTCAATATCGGATGCCTCAGGCATCAACATTGGATAGTTATCAACGGGCGTCGAGATTCTGGCGACGCCATCATCGATTTTTGACGAGAATGATCGCGCACCGATAGATCTAGACATTGCGGATGAAGGCCAAGCGTTCTGGCCATTGGGGAGGTACATGTTCAGTCCCTTGGTGATGGAAACGACTGTGGATGGCCCGTCGCCATGCGCAGGAGATGCGCCCGTGGATGGCCGGCTTTCGGTGGGGTAAATGTTGTCTACGATGGCATTTGTGAAATGAGCGACATCGAAATAGATGGGATACGCAATCTGGCAACGAAAATAGCCTCTTGGGGAGGTTGTTTGATGGATTCCGATGGATGCGTTTTGGCGTGTCTCGGTGAGGTGAGGTTAAAAGGATTTTGGATAGGCGTGTACTATGGTCCGGGTGCGGTTTCTCAGTGGTTGAGGCAACTTTTCTTCACTGAGCGGTGGTCGGAATTGGTAGTAATAATGGCGTCCTTACGGCACATCAGTGGGAGCCGATCAAGGTTCCTTGTACAATGGACGCCGGAAGACAGCCCGGCAAGAAACAGTAAACACGCCCGTGGATTTGGCAATAATAATTACGTGGATTTCTACATGTCTACAATTTTCATCGAAATCCCCATCTCAATTTGCGATTTCTACATGTCAAGTATATCCAAGCAGAGTGTCTTCGCTGAGGCAGTAAGTGGCTTGTACTTTGAATTTGAAACCCACGAAATTCGGACGATTCCGACGAACGAGCAGTAGTCAGCCACCCAGTGAACCATCCGTCCGTTGCAGGCCTGAGCGGCCAGCGACTCGGACACGGGGAAAGAAGTGTTGCCACGTGACTTGCCTTCGACCAACTGAGCCGAGTTTCATGGGGGAATGGTTCGAGGTTCTTGTGGCGTATCAGCTGGGGGTATTGAGGCTTGACACAGAGCCGTCTATCAATTTGACTGATCCAGTTAATGGGGTTGGGAGGGTACAGTAAGCAGAAGTCTGTCTTGGTGGAGCTGGTATTACGTAGGACTGCGCCGCTCGTGTTGCACAACGCCGCATGAAGCTGGGGAAAGAGTCTCACGATGAGGAGCTTCAGGCATCCAACCTCTCCCCTATCCCATCCGAGCCGGATATAAATGCCCCTATAGAGAGTGTTATTTTCTCCACACCCTAGATTTCCCAAATCGCCCATACCACTTTTTCGAAAGAGGCTACAAACTCAATCATGAAAATAAGACTCCCCTTCGCAGGTAAGCTTCGAATCACACCACCAAACGTCTCAGAGTTGCGAAGCGGCAAGCTTGGCATCTTTTTTCTTCCTCTGTCTTTTTTTTTCCCCTCTCCCCAACTCCCCTTCTTCGAGTTAATGTCACTAACAACACGGCTGTCGTTTTGTAGGAGCTTTTGCCGTGCTCCTGCTCATCCTCGCGTATGCAGGCTTAAGCTCTGTCCAGGTCGATGCGCACGTCAACGACAAGGTCCTCCACTGGTTCAGCTTCTTTCTTCTCACATGCATCTTCTACTGGATCATCGATACGAACCGCCGACGCACGCTTAACCTAACCTTGATGGTTTGCACCCTCGGCCTCGGTGTCGGCTCCGAATTCCTCCAAAGCGTGTTACCCAACGGTCGCAACTTCGACCTCTTCGATATCGTCGCCAACATCGTGGGCAGCCTCATGGGCGTCGCCCTCTGCACATGGTATCATCAGCGCATGATGGAGAGACGCAGGCTACGGAGACAATACAATGCTGTCCCCGGCAGCGACGAGGCGGACCTTGAGCTCGGCGAAGGCCACGAGAGCGGCGTGGTAGATGGCTCAACCGCCGGCCCATCTGCGAGAACGCTGGAAGAGGAAGTCGATAACTGGGACGAGAATGCGTTGGATAATTGGGATGACGATGACGCGGACCTTGACGGCGCGAATAAAACGACCGAGAACGATCTCGACAGCGGCGACATTGGAGACACCAAAGCGAAGAGACACGACTAAAATGGGGCGGAAGGAGGGGCATTGTTTATTTCCTGCTGGCAGTATGTTTGTTCATGAAAATTTTGTGCTATATATGGTTTTCGAAGTTTTGGGAGGGGCTCTCAAGGGGCAGATCCGGCGCAAACAGAGGCTAGGGCTGGGTTTGTCTGATTTCGCATCGCGGTAGCGATTCGAAAAGAAGGAAAATGTGGCAAAGGAGGTCTCGGTGGACACGGCGTCCCTAGAACATTAAATTCACACACATACACAGACTCTGATACAACTATTATAAAAGCGTTGCATCTCATGCATGGCTAGATTCTCTATCCAAATACTCCAAGTACAGCCAGCTTTTGCCGGGGCCGGACTCCAATGCTAGCCTTCATACAAAGATGGCACACTAAAAGTTCTCCGTTCTCCTACCTAGACCTTCCTCACCATCCAAAGTATTCATTGTGCCAAAAGACATTTCTTCCCTGGGAAACCCATATGCCAACATACTCCCTTACCCTCAGCCCCATCTCCTCCGGGCCGCAGACCAGCACGGCAACCCTCTGATCCTCGTTCCCACCCTTGAAGGCCTCGTCAACAAATTGTTTGAGGTTCGGCCTCTGCCTCGACGATAACTGGCGCTCCGCCCTTGTCGCATCCTTCGCAGACCTGCTGCCACCCGCTAGATCCGACAGTGGTATATCCGCGGACGAGCTGCGCGATGCCCTTCCACCGCGCGGCGGCAATGGCGCGTATGCATCTGCGTCCGGGGTTTTCCCGTAACAAAGACATGGACCGAGGGATCGTCGAGAAGGCGGGACGAGGATACGGTTTCGGAAGGGTTAGAGGAGCCGGCAAGTGCCCAAGACACCTCGGATGCGCTGCGAACGGCCCAAACAAGCTCGACGTTGATCGAGGCATCGGCGGCCTTGAGAGCCTTGTAGATGGGGATGGCAAAGGTGGCACCGACGCCGCCGGCCACGAGGAGAACCTTGTCCACATCCCCAGAGGCGAGATTGGGAAACTTCTTGGCAATGGTGCCGTAGGGCCCTTCGATGGATAGCGGAATCCGGCTAGCTAGGGTTTCGCCATGGGCTCCACGGCCGAGTTCGAGGAGTCTACGCGTCAAGGGGCCCTGCCTAAGTCTCGCAACGAGCACGAGCTCCCCGTGCCGTAGTTGACGTCTGCCACGGTGAAAGGGTTGAACAAGAACTCGAAAATAAGGGGGAGGAAGAAGGGAGATTGAGCCCAGAGAGGGTGAACGTAGGGCGCGCACCCCACGGGATGCTAAGAAAAACGTGCGATCCCGGCCTCTCCCCGAGCTGTTTGAGCTTGCGTTCCGGGAGGGTAGCGGAGATCTTGACGAGGTTTGTACCTTGGATGATCTCGACCGTCGCCGAAGATAGAGAGGTGGCGAACCTCCTGACGGCCAGATCGACGACGAAGAATACGATGGAGGAGAGGATGTAGGGCCGTGTGGGGGTCGCATGGATGAAAATCATGCCGGGGGTGACAAAGACAACGAACAGGTGGGTGATGAAGAAGAGCCGGTACGACCATTGGCGGACGACGGTGAGGGAAGTACCATAGAGTACGTGGTACAGAGTAAAGGCGGAGAGACCGGCAAAGACATCAAACTCGAAGAGGCGACCTGAAATTTGTCGGCGGCTACAAAGAACCGTAGATAGAAGACGAGGTGTAGCCAGAGAAGGATGAAAATGAGACGCCCCAGGACTCGGTGAAAACGGTTGAGATCTTCATGTGAGGTGCGGAACGCCGCCGCGTAAGGATTGATGGTCTTTAGGGAGAGGAGATGCTGTATGGGCAGCTGAGAAACGCCAATAATGCCAAACCGCTTCGTCAAGTGAAGGAAATCTACCGCGCGGGTTAGGAAGGCAAGTCCGGGCATACGGATTAGCTGTTCAAGGGAACCTACCATGGCCTGTCTCCAACAGACACAGTATCGCGAGCCAGGATGCCCAAACAAAACCAAAAACCCATTCATCCCGCAAGCCAACGTGATATCCGAAGATTCTCACGGGCTCGGAGAGCCACCACTGAGCCTGTTTTCTTACTTGAGCTAGAGCCTTTCGCCTCGTGTCACCGGCGTCGTAGTCAGATCGCCACTGGGGAGCGGCGTCGTAAGCCTGCTCCCGTTGCCAGAGAGCAAGCGCTCGCTTTGCTAGTCGGTAAAGCAGGACCAGCAGGATGGGTACGAAGGCGGATGCAAAGGCATAGCGTCCGTACCGGTCTAGAACGGCGCGACGGGCAACCTTTTCCGCCTTGGTTGGCTCAAGGTTGATTTCGAAATGCCACCAAGCCATGGTCACTTTCTAGACTATTGGGGGCTTTTTTAATCTAATTCGGCAACCCAATAACCCAGAGTGCAGAGCACAGCCGGCAACGAGGACCACGTTTGAGCAAGGCGAATGTACGCGTTTGCAAGTGGGTGAGGATACGAATCGCACGAAGGTCGAATCCTCAATGGGGATGCAGGACGCTAGCACGAACCAGGTAAGTTGCGTCGCAAAGATCCAGCTGCGATTAAGGGGCCATATATCCTTGAAGGCGGACCGTCCTAGGCTTTTGGACGGCTGGTTTATCCAATTTAGGTGTGTGCCTTATTAGAAATCCGGTGGTGTGATATCGAATCCACGAATTTCGTCCGAAGAGTTCGGAATATCCTTGTGCGATGCGCCAGCGTGGAAGGTATGAGAAGCTCAAGAAAATAATAGCTGGAATTGATGCGACAGGTTGTCAAGACGGCACGGAACGAAAGCGATAGGCAGGCGGCAGGGTCGAGCCTGGTGCATTGCAAGGTCAGCCAAGGAACGAGAAGTCCCCTAAAAGGTCAATCCAAACTGGCGGGTGTCAGTTTAATCAGCGATTGGCGATTGGCTCAACGGGTCTTAGACTGGCTATTTCGGGAAGCTCAGCTATTTTTAGCCAGTCTGGGAAGCTCGCTGGATGCTTGACAAGCAAGTGGCCTCAAATCATTGATCCAAGTCTCGATCAAAGAGAAACAAGAAGATTGTGACCTAGCATACATCAATTGTATATTCAAGGGCTTTGAGTGAGCATGGAAGGAGATATTAGAAGTTGCGCGTCGGCCCAACCCACACGACGAAGCCCTTATAGCACCTTCTTATGATCCAGAAGAGAGGAAGCCCTGCTTCCAAGTTCAAGCCTGATAAGTGTCTCAGGCCGGTTACAATTCTCGGGGATGCCATTTCCTTCGTTTGCCAGACAGACAAAAACGGTGCGAGCCTTGTCAGTTATCTCCTCGGGCACCTCAACGTCAGCCTACGCTGAGTAGGTCCTTGCTACCAGCATCACCAAGGCCTCCAATTTACCTTTCCGCGAAATGGCTTGAGAGCTGATTAGAGTCCATGAGCACCTCACGGAACAATCTCGTATCTAGGTCATTTGTAGGCCTATCTATATATATATCTTTCCCTGCGCACCCTACGTACGCAACGTCCATCCTATAGGCAAATATCTTTTTCTCCGTTGCTAGGCTCTCTCAAGAGTGTTCAATCGAAGCCATGCGTTTGTATTGAACGATACAATAAATGTCCTGATCAGAGGCATTGCTCATCTTAGTTTGCGTGGCACCAATTTATCTCACAACACATAGAGTTCTCCTACACATCGAGAGCGAGATGTCATCCTATTCGGCGGATTACATGTCCATTCTTCTTAGCACACTGCCCAGTGGTGGTCCTCTAACCCCGGAACTTGAGAGTATCGTCTCCATCATTGGTATGTTTTTAGCAGCACCTCCAGTCTTATATCCTCATCATCCGTCTATCTTTCTAAGGTGCTATTTATCTTTTGTAGATGCCCTAGAGTTATGGTTTCGACCCACGCCGGTACCCTACCTCGTCAGCCCGCCGACCTCTCCCCTGTGCGGGAGCGACGCCCTGGCTCGAAGTTGGCATCACTTTAGTTTTCTCTATGTTCCCGATTCAACATCTGCTAGGACAGCATGGAGTCAAATTGTATCGATTCGTCGAGAACTCTTGGCTTGCCACGCACCCAGATCACAGGGAGGCTTGGAGCCTGTCCGACGCCGAATAAACATTCCGTCCACAAACGAGTCTCTCCCCCAACCAACCGGGGTCGAACTGTTCCAAGACCGAAACGGCCAGCTTGTGCCACCTCCACAAACACTTTCCACTCTGCCTTCTCTCCCACCTTTAGATATCCAAACCCCCATGCCTCCAAAGCCCGAAGCCCCTCTACGACATGCCGACAGTCAGGTGCCCATGGACCCCTTCACGCAGACTCTCCATTTCTCAACACCCGGGCCCTAGAGCGGCGGGACTGTTGAGTCGCAGTGCTTGGAGGCAACTAAGAATATTCCAGCGGAAGATGAAACTGACCATCCTTGTACGTGTCTTCACGGCTAGCGCTGGCCATGATTTCACGTGGTGGCCCATCTAACTAACTACATATGCTGCCTAGATTCCGAGCATCCCGCCTGCACGACGGCATTGGATGAGCTGGATCGATATCTCGAGGCCTCTATAAGTAGCACGATAGATGGACCCACGCCGGGGACAGAGGTCCACAGCCTCCGCCTACTGGTATCAAGGACGAGACACTTTGGGGTTCGCCTGTAAGAGACTGCGATGCGTGGACGCAGCAGATATGCTCAATCTCGCTCAGCGATCAAGTTTCCGCTCCCATGAAGCCGTTTCCTCCCGGGCTCCTTCTTGCTGACACGAACCATCAGGGTATGTGCGAACACACCGTCCCAACATTCACAGGCGAGACTCAGGGCCTCCAGGAAACCCCTGGGAGTCCAACCCCACCTTGCTTCTATACAGTGGTGCCTCCTGAAGCAACGAGCAATCCTTCGGCCACAAACGTATCTCACAGCATCGACGGGGTAGAACCATTAAGCGAGGAATCTCTATCACAAGACGCAGGGCCTTGTTCCATCCCTCAACCGCCCACCTGCGCCTACCGCCACATCATACGGAGCTCAGATCACTTTTACCGCATACGCCGAGAATGGCTCAAGCGCCTCGAGTATCCCGCGACCCGTCCTGTACCTGACGAAATGATGGACCTGACCTTTCCCGTCACGGACGGCCAAAAGCAGCAGCGTGTCGCCGAGCTATTTGCGGTGCTTGTCAATGGAGACCAGGCTCACGATACTACGGCAGAGACATCAAGCGCTCGCAGCGGTCAATTAATCCACCCCCGCCCGTAGGGCTCGTTAGAAGCGGAGCGGCAACGACGCCCCATTCCAAAAGGTCGAACCTTGAACTCGAACTGCTTTGCTGGAGCATCTTGGTACGTTTTTCTTTTCCCACGCTTTTGTGGCTCTCCAAATTCCCGGGTACTCGAGACATCAACGTTCTCTTTTCTGCTAGGCCATATCTAACTTGATCCTGTATAGACTGCCACCATGTATAGCCAGCGCAGCGTACCGCCGGCTCCAGGGCTCGATCCAGACGCGTCCGCATGGGAGAATTACCTCTCCTTTGAGAAAAGATGGGCGGCGGTGTGTGGCGCGCTTCGAGTAATATCTAGGCTTCCCCAACTACTTATTCGCTCGCTATGCACACAGCTAACAATTTCCAATTTGACTCCCAGGCTCGCACCGCCTCCTCTCACTATCTGCCGAGAGAGTCGTGGATTCAGCGTCTAGCGAGCGCGCCAGCTACGTACGGGATGGCCCACGACGCTTCCTCATGCTACCCTTAAAAGCTTTTATTGGGCTCCCTTTTCATCTATCCTTCGTTGCCCTCTCTTCTCTTCCTCTACGCAATAAACGGTAAAGATGAAGTCATTCCCCACCTAGGTGCCAAGGATTCTAGATTCGAGAGACGAAGTCCTCAAGCGCCGGTTCCAATACCAAATTTCTCACTCAACCTGACGCCCCCACCGCTAACCAAAAGCTACATGTAGGCTGTCGACATAGGAGACAATATTTCGATCCTATATGGCCTCCTAAGTGGTGCAATGCCTAGACTATTTGCTAGTCTTTAGGATGGGGGAAGGACTATCGAAAGAGCAAGGTTGTTTTACAAAGTACACATGTAGAAGCAGGTATCCAAAACTGATAGATTTGGAAAGGGAAATGAAGGAAGCAAAGGAGAGTCGCATAAATTCGAATTCAGCTACTACCCTGGTGTGTATTGCGCTTGCTTCTGTACATAGCACATTTTTGGAGAGAAAAGAAAGGAAAAAAACTACAACATTGCCATCTATTCCCAAACTCCTGGAGAACCAGTGAGGTTCCGTTGTAGCAACAACCCATATATGACGAAGTCCAGATGTTTGGCTTCGAGGCGGAGCCATTCTCATAAAAGTCATTGCCCATAACTGACCGATTCTAGAATAAATCCCTCAAAGCATCACCAAAGCTTTCCATCCCCTATGCTGCTCTCTGACTTAGTTCTCTGAAAAGAACATGCCTTTGAAGAAACAGCTTGAGAAACGGACAGATGAAGGAGAGGCTTGAGGGGGAAAAGGAAAAAAAGAGGGGCGCGAATTTTTGCAAAGAAGGGTAAGTAAGAGATGACAGTTGAGGAAACTGTGAGAAGAGAAACCATGGAAAATGGAGTGAATCAGGGACTTTCTTAAACTCCTGAGGTGACTAGAAGGGCCTCGATATGATACTCCCGAATCGAGGGCGCTCGTGAGTATGTGCATAGCAGTCTTCGTTTTTATGACGAGGAAAGAAGAAGAAGACTAGCCTTCGTATGCTGGCAAGGGTTAGCTATTAATACAGGCCGCGGCACGACCTGGGACAATAAGGCAGTTACTTGTCGCCAATCACTTAAGTTATTGCCGGAACCGTGCCAACTGTGCCATGATATTTTGCACCTGAGCATCTGTCCCTCTTGCTCCTGGCGCAATAGGAGCTAGCCCGGAAGGACCCTGTCCAAAACCGGTGGCTGGATTGGGACCGGGACCGGTTGCGTACGTCCCGCCGCTAGGATATCCTGCTTGGGAGACTGGAGGGGAGGTGAGCCTCCTTTGAGTTGTCCGAGAATAGCTTGAATGTCGATAGCGCTAGGGGCTGAGGCCGGCGCTGCAATACCTTGTTGGGGAGCCCTGGTTTTTGAAGCTGGCTCAGAATTTGCTGCAAGTCAACGCCAGCAGGAGCGCTCGCATGGGTTGGAGCTTGAGGGTATGCGCCAGGCCCTGGCTGGCCGTGATGATAGGCACTCGCCGCTGCCGGAATCATGGGCTGGGTGGCCGGAGGTTGACCGTAAAAGCCAGTCTGAGGACCACTGCCATATGAGGGTTGCGCCGTTTGGTAAGAGGGCTTCGACTTGGTTTGCGAAACGAGATCCGCCGCGGTCGCTGGTTTCAGACCCTGGTACTCGTTGAAGCTGACATTGCTGAGACCGCGCGAAAGATCGTATAGATGAAGGTACACCTCACCACGGTCCTGTCCCTTAAAATCAAGTTCGACGATACCACAAACTCCATCTACGACCAACCGACTGATGATGTCTTTCTTGATGTGATATGCGGGGTTAACGATCATCACATCTGTCCGCAAGCCCCTCTCAATAAACGCGCCCCGTACCCAATTGACGAAATTGGGATCGACCTCTTGTAAGAGTAGGAGCTGGACGTCTGGCGATGCTGGAGTTTCTTGCCCATATGGGCGGGAGTCATCGCCATGACGGGATGTACTGTAGGGACTGCGGCTGCGCTTACGATACGACTCTCTGTCTCGGCTGTCCCTCCCTCGAGCCCGAGGAGACATGGACCGGTCCCTAGATCGATAATTTTCAAATTGCCGGTCCCTGCCATAGGATTCTTCACGACGATGGGAGCGGTGATCACTGCCTTGGCGGCTGTGACCTCCTTGGCGCGGTTCGTCTCGGCTTCGTCTACCAGACTGACCGCTATCGTGCCTACCCCCTTTGTTGACCGCTTCCCGACCCCGCGGGCCACGATCAGGAGACCGAGCTCGCTCCTCCTTAGCATCCTTTTTCTTCTGCGTCCTCGAGAATTCAAGGTCTAAAGACATGTTAGCAAAAAGAGACGAGATACTTGGTGTTTGAAATTCATCCTGATGACATACGGATCTTGCGGCCCTTCACTTCCACGCCTTGGAGATTTTCTACAGCGGCCTGGGCTTCCTCTAGAGTATGATATTGCACGAATCCAAACGCTGATTTTAGCGATATCTGCGCGAGTCGGCCGAAACGATGAAATAGGGCGAAAACGTCGCGCTTCGTGACCTTATCGGATGACAAGTTTCCTGATGTTGTTGGATTAGCCTATGAAGGGGTGAGATGGGAGGCTGTCATTGGGACTACTTACCAATAAAAACCCGAGATCCTTCTGGGAACCTATCCCACTTTTGCTCGGCCATGTATCGCTTCTCATCGGTGACGTAGCGATCCCACATTCGGTGGTAGTTGGGGCTAGCGGGCTCTCCCCAGCATTTTGGGCTCCTGAGTAAGTTCCAGGAGCGCCGGCTGAAGCCGGGCCGATGGGTGGCACTTGTGGTAATGAGGGATTGGTGGGCCCGGGAGGTGGACCTAATGCCGCCATCGACTCCGTGGTTCCGGGAGGTGGGGGTGGGAGATGGCCTGGAGCGTGAGGAGGGAGGGATGATGGGGGTTGGGCGCCCGGCGCATGCGTGTTCAACATGGCTGAAGGCGATGGGGGAGGTCCTGCCTTAGGAGCGCCTGGGGCAGTGGGAGCTCTAGCTACATCTAGAGGAATACGGTTCATGTCCACGGAGGGGCGAGAAGGGAGATCAGCAGAGGCAGGAGGAAGCATTAAAGCCCCGTTGGCCGAAACACCACCCGTGGGGGTCTGTGAGAGGTCATCCGCTTCGGTTGGATCACGCGCGGTGGAAACAAGACTCGACAGAGCTTTCATCCCGTCATCACCCGAGGACGTTAGCGATCGAGCTTGCTCGTTACTAGCATCCGCATCAGAGGAAGCGTTGAGATTCATAGTGGCTGCAAGGGACCCTGGACTAAGTTGGACTGGCAGGTCCGGTCCGGTCATGGGGATATCGGCAAATGACAAGGCCATGGAGGAAGGAGAGAGATGAGTGGCGGCAGCGGCGGCCACCATAGTATTGTGATCGCGAGCGTGGGAAGCCTTCGACGGCTCTGGTACATTCGACGCAAATAGCGGCGTCGAGGTATGGGACAGCTCAGTCCCCGGGATTCCGTTGCCTGGGCTGAGCCCTCACTGTTCATGTCCGAATCACGACTCCCTGCTTCTTCATCATTCTCCCCATTAAGGGGGAATCAAAAGTTTTGGCATATTCGTCGTCCATCTCGGGCTCTACCTCAAAGGTGGTGGTTGGTGCGGGTGGTACTGGTCCTGTCGACGCCTCTTGCTCGGACTCGCCATACAAGTCGTCATCAAGGTCCGCATCAGCGTCGGCATCATTGTCACCACCTAGCATAGATCTTTGGCCTGCGGCAATGGCGAACGCCGCAACGGTAGGGCTATCAGTCATAGACGAAATGCTATTTGCCTGAGCTACTCCAGCATCGTCGAGGAAATCGGCTTGGCTTTGTAAGGCGGGGAGAGCAGAAAGCGTGGTAGTGGTGAGGGGGAGGGAGATACGGGGAAAGATTGGCTATGGTGTGGATCTCGGGGTTTCATCCCCGGCGCCCGTCGAAGACATTTTGAGGGTGCGTTTTGGTTAGGGTGCGCCGCTGACAGATGCCTTGGACATGGGGGTTCACGTCGTTGTCGGCCTGGCGGGAAAACGGGAACCAGACGCAGTGGTGTTGAGGTCTTAGAGGGTCCAAAATATTGTCGGAGGGTAATTGTGCACGGACGAGAGGGATACTAAAAGCAGATACGAGGACCGAAAAGAAGAGGGTTCTAAGGTCGCATAGATGGATGGAGGTTGGCAGGGTGGGAAGAAGTCCGGAAGGGATCTGAGTGCTGAGGGTGGAATAGATGAGGACGAAAAGTGCTGCAGCAGCAATTTTAAGATCTCGATTTTGGCAGAAACTTTGAGAGGCCGAGTGGCACAACTGAAGGAAAACAGTACAGGGAGCTCCTTCTAGGGCAAGCTCGGGTTCGGTCACGCTGGCTTTGAAAATCAAATTCCTAGGATCGGAAAGAACGATGGGGCCAGCTTATGAGAAGCTTTGGGAGGGGGCAGGTTGAAGGGAAGGACGGGCGTCCTCAAGATTCGGAGGAAGGTGAGGCGGAGCCGATGAGGACTAAATGTGGTGGCAGGCGCAAGGCTCGCGGGCGATGTGTTCAAGAGCAGGCTGCGAGGTGAAAAATTGGACATCCAATACAGTGTTGCACAAGGCCTATGAATTAGGCACCTAAAAATACTCGGCTGGGAGAGTCCCAAACGTCGAAATAAGAGGACAACGCCAGCAATTCCTTTACTCCTTCGTAGAAGATGGGACGCCGTCGTTGAAAATCAAAGGCGGAGGAGGCGGGCGACATTTTCCACCCCTACGATGAAAATTCTGGGGCTAGACTACTTTTGGGTTAGGCGGGGAAATTCTTCCTCCGGAGAACGACGGAGCTCTTGGGTCATTCCGACGAAGAACTTCCCTAGATTACGCAGGAATTTTCCGGTGTGGTGCTCCCAGCTGCAACCGGCTGTCCGCCATCTCGTGAGAGTTTGCTGGCGACCTGTCTTGCCTGTTTGATCCCATGCCGAAAGCCTCCGTGTCCGAAAGGTGCTTGGTGCATCTCTGATAGCTCCAGCCATGATGGCCAATTTCTTCCCAAGAGTCGCGGAAGCCAAGCTTTGGAGGATAGCGGCTCCCGCCCTTCAGAAGATTCATTTGCGCAGCTCCTCTTCCCCTCTCCTTCTCGCACGGCAAGCTCACTATGGGGCTTTCGAGGCGAATCTAGACGAGGCCGATCTGGCGGAGGCTAGACAGTGGCGTAAAACCTTTGACGGACACCGTCTTCCCCAAGGCAGCACAACGTTTGCCAGGTCTAGCGGGCCGGGTGGGCAGCACGTAAACAAGTATGCAAGTTTCAGGAGCTCTAAGTGATCATACTGAGCGGGTTAGAGACTGACCTTGGTGTCTTTGATTACGATCGTAAAGAACGGAAAGCAAAGCGACAACATCGTGGCCGCTCAAGGAACTCAGCACATCACTTCCCAAGCTCATCCAAGAGAGGTTACGGTCCTCTCGATACTACGTCACTAGGAGCGATTCATTGACCTTCTCAGCGCAAACCGAGCGATCTAGAAGCTCCAACGTTGAAGAAAACAAAGACAAACTTGTTGAGGAACTCCTTCGAATATATACCGAAACAGTCCCTGGTGAAAGCGACCCCAAAGATATCAGGAAGCATGCCGAGATGTAAGTTTTGCGGTTACTTTGTTCTTTGCTCTTATCTCCCCTCCTTCTTCCTCCGTCTCCTGTTCATTTTGTTTGCCCCCTTCATCCATCGCCCTTGTCTCCCGCCGTCGTGTGCTTATCGCTAGCGAGCTACCCAACACGAGAAGCTCACAGCCCACCTAGTGAAAAATCCTTTCATCATAACAGAATCAAGAAAAGAAACAGCTCAGCCACAAAAACAATCTAGACGGTCGTCTCCTAATGAGTAAACGACGCGGCGCATAGTTGGAAGAATATAAAGCAGGATTAGAGAGGGAATAGGCCGGTGGAGCGGCATTGGTAGGGTAAAGATCCCGTGGAGAAAAAAACTTTGGGTGGATCAACTTTTGTATATTGAGGCTGTCTTGAAGGTGACGCCGAGTCGGGAATTCCCCTGACGCGAGGATTCATACTCGTAGGGTATTGGATAAGAACCGAACGCGGCATCGATGTAATGATGCACTTGGCAGGTTCCAAGCAATTAGGGCAGGAATAATGAGACAGACAATCATTGACTGTGGTCAGCATGGCTAATTTTAGGACAACATACCGTTCGGAAGCAGGAGTGAAAGGCAGGGTGAGCGGGGCCAGAGGCAGACTCTGTGTTCCCACATTGCAGCATGGGGATCCTGCCGTTGGAGGTGCTTGACGCAGCCCATTCCCAGGGAAAAGATGTGAATGGTCTGCCCTACGAATAGGGCTTGGAATCAGTATCTTCGAGAAGGTGAAAGGGCAAGACTGCCAGAGTAGAGCTAAACCTGTGGTCAAGGCACGGATCCGTCGCTTGCTGTTGGTACTATAAGTTTGGGAGTGTCCGAAAATCCCAAACAGGGCTATGTCGCGAGAATGTCTGAGAGAGGGGTTGGAAGCAGCACGGTAGCATCTAAATGATTATTATGGAGCGGGCAAAAACATCCAGGCCTTCAGGCGTGCCATCGCTGCAAACTTTGGCTGAGCATCGAATGCGAGGCCGGCAAAGCAGAGAGCGTTGAGGGTCTCACATTTCCCCCACTGCGCCGTGGATTGGAAATCAGTCGGTCTGGCAGCTCGGACAGGTTGTTCTAGGCTTTATGATGTGGCGCACTTTCCAAGCAAATAAAACTCAGGAGCCAATCCTGGGACAAAGACAGGTTCTGAACCCCCAGCGATCTGCCTAACCCTGCCTTCGCCGACCCGGCTTCTTGCAGGGCTGAACGCGGGATATGGAACTAGCTGCCAATAGCCGCTGCCATTGGTGGCGAGAATGCAGCGAGACCCTCGGAGGAGGGGAGGGAGAAGTAGAGCGAGACAGAGAGAGAATTTTCGGTTCCCACTGCTTGAATCTTTTCAGTCCGATGAAACGGAACTTCGGTTTTCTTCGTTCGTATGTTCGATACTTGACAGAGAGCTAATACACCCTTTCTTCACGAATGGGAGAAAGTTAGTGGGACATCTGTCGGATCGTCTCTCGTGTTCCCCTTGGGGCTAAACTTGACAGTGTGAGTGGCATGTGAGGGAGGAGCGGGGTGGGGGTTCCACTCGCGGGACCCATTGGCCGTTTCCTGAATCTTCCCTTCGTCTCCTTTGCGCTTTTCTCGTCTCGACATGCCTTTCGGCGGACTGGTACTGTGCTATTATCCTTAAAAATGGGAAAACTATGAACCACCTACCGCCCGTGTAGGTCCCAAGTTTTCGGTGTATGCGAAGGGGTGAATGGGCTATCTATCAAGTTTGATGCTGCATTAATTCACGGTTCTACCCCTCCATTGCCGCTACTCTCGAGGATGGCTCTATCATGACCCCAAGGCAGTATCGGCTTCGTACAAAGAGACCAACCAGGCAAGTGACATGAATGACCGTGCTTTTGGTCCTGCGTCTGCAGGGCACTTGGGCGGTGCGTGAAATTATACAAGTTGCCTTTGGCGCACCTTCCTTTGAGGATTCCTCTGGGCCGGTCCTTCCTCGTCCATTTTCTGACCCGACAAGCGCTGTTTCTTTCATCTTCTCACAAGCCAATTGACAATTTCCAATCGCACGCTCGGTGGACCGCGCTCGAAAGAGGAAAACACAGTTTCTCTTGCCAAATCTCCGACATTCGTCCCGTCTCCAATCTGCGGGGTTGATCAAAAAGTTGCCCAACCCTTCTTGTCTTTAAATTACCCCCTCCCCGCTTCACGGGCCCTCGCCTGCGCTTCTCAGCCTGGTCTTCCCTTAACTCCTGGCCCACCAACTCGGGCGCAAACCGACTAAAATTCTCACGACCTATTTTCTTTCTCGTTGTAACGATCACTATCACGACGCAAACCGCGACGCAAACCACGGCGATATCAGACTTCCCTCCCGCCCCTTCCTCATCCCACACTAGCCTCCACCCGGGGACGACGGCGACACTCACCAAACCGCGCTTTCTGTGGCATCTCCTAACACCCCGCATTGCTGTCCTGAGTCCCCGCGGCCCTCCTCCCGGCACCATGGACCCGCAAGCAGCGAGTCGACCTCAACCTCAAGTGCAGCCTTGCAGGTACAAGGTCGGCAAGACTTTGGGAGCTGGCTCCTACTCGGTCGTAAAAGAGTGTGCATATAGAGACTGGCAGATATTATGCGGCAAAAGTGATTAACAAGAGACTGATGGCTGGGCGCGAACACATGGTATGGTTTCACTTCCTTTACTTTTCATTTTTTTAGTATATCATTGCTGCGCCGCTCCTATCAAGTACTTGCGACACACGCTCGTGTGGAAGATGTCTCCCTAGAGTACCAAATAGTGCCTTGCAAGGCGAGGTCCCAGGCTAATCGTGATTCTGATTAGGTCCGTAACGAAATCGCGGTTTTGAAACGAGTGTCTATGGGCAACTCTAACATCCTCACCCTTGTCGACTATTTTGAAACAATGAACAACCTCTATCTGGTCACTGAGCTTGCCCTAGGTGGTGAGCTCTTTGATCGCATCTGCCGGAAAGGATCTTATTACGAGTCTGACGCCGCCGAACTGATTCGGGCGACGCTCTCCGCCGTGGCCTACCTCCATGACCACGGTATCGTACACCGTGACTTGAAGCCCGAGAATCTCCTTTTCCGCACTCCCGAGGACAACGCTGAGCTTCTTATCGCTGATTTTGGCCTTTCGCGGATCATGGATGAGGAGCAGTTTCACGTCCTTACCACCACCTGTGGTACTCCTGGCTACATGGCTCCTGAGATTTTTAAGAAGACTGGCCACGGGAAGCCCGTAGACATGTGGGCACTGGGTGTCATCACCTATTTCCTTCTCTGCGGCTACACGCCATTTGACCGCAACTCGGACTTTGAAGAGATGCAAGCAATTCTGAATGCCGAGTACAAGTTTGAGCCTGTGGAGTACTGGTGTGGTGTTTCCGAGCACGCAAAAGACTTTATCCGCCAGTGTCTAACCATCGACCCCAACCGCCGCATGAATGCCCAGAATGCCCTTCAGCACCCTTTCGTCGCTGGTGATGTAAGTAACGGGGCCAGCCAAGAGGGGCAGAATCTTCTCCCCACCGTCAAGAAGAACTTCAACGCGCGGCGAACCCTGCACGCTGCTATCGATACCGTGCGTGCCATCAACAAGCTCAAGGATCGTGGTGGAGCGATGGCTAGCGATTCTTCGTCGTCTTCGCCCTTGGGAGAGCATATCAGCGGAGACAACACCCTGAGAGCCCCGATTCCCGCGGATCCTAATGCCATGGACCTCTCCGACGGCGGAGGCAGCCGGTCGGCGCCGCAGACGAATGACAGCGGCTACCGCTCCCAATCGGGAACAAGTCAGAAGGATGTGACGATGGACGGAATGTACGACGTGCCCTCAATCCTGCGGCCCGGATCGAATGCGAACCGGGTAGTAGAGACGTCTAATGGCCTCTGGAGCCCTGCCCTTCAGCAACAATAGAGGAACTGGATGAAGCGCAAAATCACGTGGGGTCGAACGTGGAAGCCACCTACGGGCGAAGGCCGGAGACGAGAATCATCCTCATTTTGACCATCCCCAGGCTCGGTTTATCGGAAAGCAGCAAGTACCCTCGGCATGGGGCCTGGATCAGATGGGAGTGAATGTTAGTCCCGGGCTTCCGGTACACACGCAGGCAAAAGGTGTCCGAGTTGACGCATGAACAGCTGGCTTCCTTTTTCTCTTATTTATTCCTGTCCTTCTCCCTTGGTTATTTTGGCGGGCGTGCATCTCATGGCTTTTTTCCTCCTTTTTTATCGCTTTCCACTCACTTACTTTGGGATGGAAGCCTTCTTGTGGAAGTCTTCTGATCTCTTAGTTAGACACAATAGGCAGCCTCGTCCCGTAACAGACAGCAGGCTTTTTTCTCTCTTCCTTTTGCTAGCTTTCGGCTGTTTATGGCTTCTCTAGACTGGAGAAGCTAAGGGTTTTCTGGGTGCAGGTATACCTGTCCTTCCTTTGCTTCTACCTAGCCACCATCGGCCGTCATCCGGCCTGCTCCAGCAGGTTCGAAAAGTGTTGGATGTTTGTACTTCTCTTTTGGCGAGAGATGAAAACGAAAGGGGCCGTTGGGACACGCCTAATTCTCTTTTCTTTTCTCTCTCCTTTTTTGTTTGTTTTTCTTGCTTAGTTCTCGGGTACCTTCTCATCTTCTTGTTGGGAGGACCTTCATGAAATGATATCCCATACTCTTTGTGGAGTCTTCGTAGAATAATTAGTGTCCCCATATACCGAGGTATATCTCTATATCTATATAAACTAGTGGCTAAGTGCTGGCAAATTTAGACGAAGATACTCCCCGTGGAAGAACCTGGACGGAGTGAAGATGGTGTCACGCATGTCTGCTCTTCTATGCGGCCTCGTCATACCGAGGTAGTGACAACATAAGACCAACTAGGTCCACCTCAACACCAGCATTAAGATCTAGGTACGGGCCCATCCAATAAATTTAATCATTTAATCCCATATCGAGAGACTGAGCGCGCCCAAAACCTACCTCAATCATCTCAGTGAATCCAATTCATCAATGGTTGATTGAGGGGAGTGAAGTGGGCCAATGAGGGTGAATAGCAGGCCCCAAGCGCCCAATTGTATACAGTTGGAGTAGGGACCCTTCCCCGCGATCTGAGCCTCAACATCTCAAGGATGGGAACCAGCCAGGGGCGTTGTTGTCCCATGGGCGGCACAGCACAGCCCATGAGCTCCATGTCTCGTTTCAAACGCCAACATCACTGGATCCCGATGACCGCTTTACAGCTAGCATTAACATTGCCCTTGTAAATCCCGTGCTCTTGCATTCATTCCATCAATCAACGGTTTAGCTTAAAGACGGTTATACCCCCTTCTTTAGACCTCCTCTGCTGGATCATTGGGGACAAATTGGATGACCCCGCCGAGGCGTGAGACCTCTTCCGCATCGTTGCCCTTGAATATTCCTCGATTTCGATGAACTTGTGTTTGCCGATACCAGGCCCAATTTCTCTTCCAAAATGTATGCCTTTACTTTCCACCCACCAACCTAAGCCTATCCTCCCACTCCCCTCCTCTTTTCTACGCCCGCCTCCCTCTGCCCTTTACACCATGTCCCCTTTCTTGTACCCGAGCTCTCCACCGGCCCGCACTAACCCGCACCTTTTTCTGCCCAGGATCGACCCGGCCCTCCGCATCCGCCGGGCCATCCATGCCAACGATCCGCTCCTCGCCCAGCGCATCCTCAAATCCCACCCCAACATGCTGCACAACCCCGACACCTCGCCGCGCGGGTTGTCAAACTCCAACCTGCACCTGGCAGCGTCCCTCGGCCACACCGAGGTGGTTCGCGTGCTGCTCGCGCTGGGCCACGAGACGCCGTGCGCGGCGCTCAACGAGTCGCACCAGACGGCGCTGATGCTGGCCGCGTCAAGGGCTTCATCGACTCGGTTCTTGCCCTGGCGGAGCACAACCCGGCGTCCATCCCGCGTCGGGATGCCCGCGGCCGGGACGCCATCATGGAGGCGAGCCTGGGCGGGCACGATACCGTTTTGCAGATCCTGCTGACGTGGGATCCGGAGGGCGCGGCGGCGGCCGTCTCCCGGGCGGACGCCGACGGCAACACGGCGCTGCACTTTGCCAGCAGCAACGGGAATCTGCTCGTCCTGAGAACCTTGCTGGCTGCTGGGGCGGATCCGGACCGGAGGAACGTGTGGAACTGGACGGCGATCAGCTACAGCGCGACTGTCGCGGCTGAGGTGTACCTCAAGGGCCTTGTGGCGGAGGCGCAGAGGAAGAAGCTTGCGCAGAGAGAGAGTGAAAAGGCCGGCGGGGTAAGGGTCGTGGATCAACCAGAGGCCTAAGGGGGAAGGGAGAAGGAGGAGGAAAGAACGAAGAGGCTGGCTTGGATACAGCTAGGCCCCCAGATTGTAAGACCACAGAGGGGATTGTCTTGGGATTTCAAGACTCGAGAACGAAAGAAGAATTCAGCTTTTATGCTAGTTAACTTGTATTATACCCCTAGTTATTTCAATATCTGACCCGTTGGTTTTCGTTACTTCTCCCCTTATCTTTCATGTCGTGTCTGTTTCCGTTCTCTCTTGCTACCTGATGGCATGGTGATGAGAAAGGTGCCCGGGCGCTGTTTTTCTTTACAAGGGCCGAGGCGATGATATGAGGATGTGGATGGCCCATTTGCCGCCGGCAGCTCCTGACTAGTTGAGCCTTGTTCACGATCCGTTCTAAAGGCAGGCTGCGACTGCCAATAACCCTCCGCCGACTGGGCAAGAGAAAGCGTGATGGGCGAGGGAAAGCAACGAAGAGGAAGAAGGAAGGTGAAATATGAGAGCACAACAGTTTCAATTCCGCAGGGCCTCATGGCTGCGGTCGAGAGTAAATGGCCCATATATCATGTCGTCTGTTCTAACGCAAGATCGAAGGCGGTCGGGGCACAACATCCCACAGGTAAGGAGCGGCGCCCATTCCCCAACTTCAGTTCCATCCATTCGCGTCATGGACATGCGCTGTCATCCGGTAGTATCCAGCGTCTAGGGTATCTGGCTGAGGATCTTGCTGCGGGCTCGGCGAAGCACTCGTGCTATGGCTATACCCCCGGAGGGCTTCGACTCTTAGACCGTGGCAGGTGACAGTGCCCATGTAACACCCCCGCCGCCTCTCATGTGAACTGCTCAAATATCGGGAAAGCCAAGGCCGCCTCGATGCGGACCTACTGGTTTCGCCGTAGTCGGTCTAGCTACACATAAGACCGTGTGCGTAGAAACAGCGACCGGAACACGGGACAGTAATTCGAGCCCAGGCATCAGGGATCGGCCACCAACAACAAAGATCAAAGCCGAACGAAATGGCGATAGAGGCGGGGCATCCAACCATTGGGAAACATTCAAGGATCACTACGAGGATCATTCAAGATGTAGTATAAATGTCGACATGGGGCTTGCTTCGCCCCGGAACCTGGGGTTGCGATCGCTTCATCATCACTGCTTGCTTCTTTAAATCATCCACGCGTCCTTGCCCATGCGCTGTCAATTTTTTTAGATTTGCTATTTCCAAGCCACCGACAAAGATTCGAGAAGTGCTTATGCGCCAAACATCGATTTATCACCAGCGATAGATGGTTCACTTCCATGGTGAGGACGTTCATTTCTATGGCATCTCAATATCCCAGGACTGGACGATAGTATACGCGGCAGGGCACCTTTGCTGCTTTCTCCAATACAGTAGTTTATACCATACAACTTACACGACTATCAGAAGCATCGATAGGATGCGCCCAAACAATTCAAGGCCGTGTGTCAAAACTACCTCCTTGCTTCTCGGCTGAGATTCACATCAAGCATAAAGAGAATTGCATGGTGAGCGTCAACGCTCTGCAGAATAAATGTTTCTGAGCCCGAGACATCCTAGATAGGAGCTATCCTTAAGGGGTCCATAGCTCAGGTGCGTGTAGGTAGTCTTGGTATACCGAGGTATGATGCATGGATGGATGGAGAAAACTTTACAGCCAGCCGATGCTACACGTTAAGTTCCCGCCCACGGTCTCTGCAGAAGTCTCCAAACTAAAACGTTGATTACATTGTGGACTGGAACACTACTTTCTCCCGTAGGTGAACTACGTTCAAGAGAGTTCAGTCGATGGGCGCCCGACAGAACCTAAAACCCCAGCGCTTGTAATCTCCTGGTTTTCGTTCCTTCCTCGTCCCTTGTATATCAATTAAGACCATTTGAAAGGGAATGAGAGCTAGGGGTTTGATGGCACATTATTACGCACACAGTCTGACGCGTTCCCCACCAAGCCACCCACGCCCGTTACAGGCTTCGTACTCCTTGCTCACCCCTAGCCACTTGCGCGGGACAAAGGATCAACGATAATCTTTTAGCGCCGCGTCCAACGCCGGGCTCTTTCCCGCTTTGAAAAAGAGCCAGGCGAGCAGGGAGAGTAGATCTTGATGAACACTGACTCGATATGATATGCCAATGCCTCGTGGTTGGTGGAACATCCGACATTGACATCGACCTCCTTAGTCATCTCTCTTCCCCGCGCGCCACAGCCTCAAAAACCAAGTCAGAACAGGTTCATTCTGGCGCTTTCGGCATGCCGATCTGGTGGAGGCTCAGCCCTGCCCCTCTTCTGTTCAAGATCGAGCCTAAAGTTCATGGCGAAGCAATGGGATCGATCTGACATCATAGCTGCCTGTACTGTTGCAAGCCTCCCAACAGTGCTAGGAGGTTCGCTAAAGCATACAGCCAAATTCAAGCAACTAAAATACACCAAAGAGACTGCTTCGGTTCGGATTACCCAAATCACATGTTATACTTGCCTCGTCATAAATGCTCACGGAAAAGTGGGGGCCAGCTAGGAACGAAGAAGTGGAGGAAAATAAACCGACGTGGATGGACCTCTCGAGACGCCTGGCGAGGCAAAGAGGCTTCCGTACCCCGTCGCGGTGGAATCAATCGAACGCTCGCTTGCCTCGCTGTTCATCCCGATAACGAGAGAGCCTTCTCTTGATACAACCGGGCTCGCTGATCGATGATTATCTTGGGGTGACCAACCACCTTGGTGGCGGGGCTTAGTCCCAACTTCTCCAACCCCCTCCCCTGTGCAGGGTCTTCAATGGTGTCGGTTGGCATTTGCTTGGCTGGTGACGTGTGACCACAAAAAGCTCGAACCTGGATCGATGCAGAAGAGGAGCCAATACGCCAAACTATGCTTGCATTGAAAGAATTGGGAAAAGAAGAAAAAACAAAGCTGCGTGGGATCAAGACCCACGCACAGCATGCCCCACCTCGCCTGGGCGAATGCTGAGAGAAGGTGGGCAAGTGGATATCAAGCCTCACCAGAATTTGCGCCGCCTAGCGCTGGCCGGTCTAGGCCCGCACCCGGCGCCGCTTTCGTGGAAGGGACGGAGTGGACGAGAGCGTGACTTGACTATTTGAAAAATAAAGAAAAAAGATTGCCGGCGTTACCTAAGAATAAGGGCTAGATGGTGCGCGGGACGCTTCTGACTCGAAGAGGAAAGACCAAGTATAATCGTGGATCTCTCACCGCCCTGCCAGCGGTGAAAGTCTCACCCCCGTCAGAGGTATGTTTCTATTTGGAAAGACGATGTGTGGGAAATACTCTACTGGGACCATTCACTCGTGTATTTTCGAGAGCAAACATGTAAGCTGCTTTTGATGAGCAAATAACAAAGGGACTGGGTTCAATGTTGGCTGGATCTCAGTTCCAACAGTCAAGATTGAGGGTCTGTTTTGCTCGCAGAGTTCGACATCTAGCTCTAGGAGAATCAAGTTCAAACCACCCAGCTGAGGGACTCCTCCGAGGGAAAAAAAAAAAAAAAAGGTGTGCTAGGCATCGGCTAAGAATGATTGGCATTCCCTGCAACAATAAGGACCCTGAACCATAACCATGTAACTTGGCGCTTCTTTTCGCCCTGAAGAGGTTTGGTTCCACTTGCATCTTCAACGAAACTCGTGACACCGCCCCTCCATCACATTTTATCAGTGCTCGGGGACCGCGCGGAAGGTGGGCGACTTGGCGACTGAAAGACGTCCTTGGCGGGGCAAGCAAGGAAAAAAGGAAGAAAAAGAAAAGAAAAAGAAAAAGAAAAGGAAAAAAGAGCACGGGTTGGGAGAAACACCCAACCAAAGCGGTGGCACAAACGCAGGCGGTCAGAGGACGAACGAAACAGAAAAGTGTGTGTGGTGTGGTGGTATCGGCGGGAGAGATCAAGCAGCAAAACGTTTCGAGCCAGCTCAGGGATGCAGCGAGCTTGCCTCGGAATTCGGTATTTGATTCTTTTTTGACGCACCACCACTGCGACATCCTCCTGCATGTGTTCTAAAGGTCGCGGCAACCCTCCGAGAGGTATCCCTTCAAGCCCTTCTCTGGCGGAAAAGGCTGATGATAGATACTATTTGGGGGAACTGAAGAGTACCGAGGTAGGGTATATACATCTCAACTACGATTGGAGGCTTGGGGGCTGCCGGTTGGGTGGAAGGGGAATTCATTATGAGGTTGATGCAGTCTCACACGACAAAGAGATTCGTTACACTCCGCGCATGTTTGGCCCGTTCCCATCACATCCCGCTATCTTCTGCACGGAAGGGGCAGGAGAGCTGGCAGAGTCACGTTTCCTTCGGTTGTCGAGCCCTTTGACTCAAGCGAAGCACAACTCGCACTAAAACAAGGTCAAGAGCCATCATCCCACCCCCTTCCCGGCCGTAGCTGCATGAAGACGTGGGTTGATGTTCCTGCAAGCTTCGCAGAGAGTGTGCTGGTGCCGCCTGTCCTGGTGACGTTGGAGGGTTGGAGGGGAGGGGAGAGGGGTTAATACTGCATGGGGCGGCTTCAAAAATCTTGATCGTTCCATCAAATCTGCACGACGAGCCGGCACTAGTGAAAGCCGCAACTGGGCCCGATTCGAAGGGGGGCCTCGAGAGGGCAAGGGGAAGGAAAACACTGTCTCTGGCCCCGCAATCCCAACGAGACAAGATACTGAAGCCGAGGAGGGGGGAGAATGAAGACAAGGAGGAAAAATACTTGTAAAGAGCCCGACTTGGGGGACTGTGTTGAAAAAGTGAGGGCAAAGGAAAAGATAAGATCTCCACACTGGGCGGTACCAAACCCGGGTTATTCCTAGGGGAAAAAAAGCTTGACGCTGAGGCGGACAGAATGCTCAGGACTTGTACCCGTTGAGGCGGGAGAGGAGAGGGTGGGGGTGGTCGATTGGCTCAGATCGGATTTTAACATCTGCAGCTAAGCTCTCTCGGTTTGCCGCGTGATGGAATGATCGGAATCGGGGAGGCTCAGTGCTTGAGAAAGGTGCGCAGTGGCATGTGA